TATAGTCTATATTCGCTAGCTAACTACTAGTAAACTACGCTCTTATAAAAAGATATATATTAAATTCTTTAAAAAGTATTATAAACTAACGAATAAGTATAATAACTATATTAAATAAATTATATATTATAATATTATATATTAGAAGATAATTATAATATATAATTTTATTAAGTACTAAGATATAGAAGTATTATTATTTATAATTAAGAGATTATAAAAAAAAAGAGAAGAAGATCGAGATAAAAACTTTTTTAAATCTTTATATCTAGAGTTTATAGGCGAATAATAAGAAGCGTAATATTATAAGATAGATAAATTATTATAATAGTTATTATTAGCGATTAATAAAGATTATTATTAAATAATTAAAATTAGATACTTTTCTTAAAGCTCTAGCTACCTTTATTCGAATAGATTAAATAAAATTAAAAAAATATTATCTATTTAAGAAAGATAATAATATTAATATATATAAGACGAATTATAGATAGATATATCGATATTTAATTCGCATTTATTTTAATATTCGATATTAAAAGACTTTTAAAGAGAATTCTTTAGATATAGCTTATTTATCTAAAGATGTCGTTATCTATAAATCTATTAATTAACTCTTTTAAAAAAAATAGTATAGAGATTACGCTTAGATTTATAAATATAATTAATAGATCTTTAATGCTAATAAGATTCTTTTAAGAAAATTAATAAGAAAAATATTAGTTATAATAGAAGTAATAGATCTAGCTTATAGAGATTTTAGATAAAAATTAACTTATCTATAGAGTATTTTTATAGAGATATTTAAGTATTAATATAATAAATAAGTTTAGAAATATTATAATATAGTGGAAGTAGAAAGAGCGTAGTTATTAATAGCGCGAAATCTAAGAATTTTTAAAAAATAACGATTTTATAGCCTCGTAAATATCGAGAGAAGTATATATATTATACCCGCGTTAATAAAAAATAAGAAATTTTATTATATTAATAGCTTTATTAACTTTAATTAATATAATAATATTTATAATTTAAATTTTTTAAATAAGAGCTATAGAGTAGTAAAGAAGATTAATATACGCTATATTATAAGATAATAGAGATATTAAAAATCTAGATCTTAGAATATTAGAAATAAGACTAAATATATAATAAGTAAAATTAATTCTAATTATTCTTCTCAACTCGAATATCTTTTTTAACTCGAATATTTTTTTTAACTTAAATACTCTTCTTAATTTAAATAACTTTTAAATTATCTTTAGAGTTTATTAAGCGAAGAGGGATTTTATAATTATAAAATATATATATAAATATTATAATTAGAAAGAGAAGAGAGGATAAGCTCTTCTCTAGTTAAGGAGATATTAATACGCTTTAAAAAGTATCTAGCTAAGTATTTCGACGTCGAAGACTACTATTAAATTAATTCGCGACTTCTTATAATTTAAAGAATATTATCGCCTATAATAAGAGTTATTATTTAAAATTTCTCTAAGTTATTAATAGTCTATACGATAATACTAGAATTAAGATATATTATTTTAAAAATATAATAAATTAGAAGAAAGTCTTAATGTAAGCTATTATAGAGAGTATAAGATAATAAGAGTTATTAATAGTCTATATAATAATATTAGAATTAAGATATATTATTTTAAAAATATAATAAATTAGAAGAAAGTCTTAATATAAGATATTATAAGAAGAGATTTATATATACTACTACTCGCTATACTCTTATATATATAATTATTTAAAAATTAAAACTTCTAACTTAAGAAAATCGATTTCGATTTTATAAGAAAAATACTTAATACTTTAATAAGTATTAATATATATAAATTCTAAAGAGATTTAAATATTAAGAGAAGAGATTAGTAGAGTTAAGGTTAGATAATAAAAATATAGATATATATTATCGATCTTTATATATATTATATTAACTTTAACGTAGTTATAGTAATAAAGAAGTATATTAATAATAATTTTTCTTCTTAGATAATTAACGCTTATAAGATATATTATAAATAATAATACTCTTATCTTTAATAGAGAAAGTAGATTACTTAATATAGTAATATAAATTTATATATATAAATCTAATATCTAATAATAGTATTATTAAGTTAAATTAAATCGAGCTTATAATATAATTAAGTCGAGTTAAACTTAACTTATAGAGTCGAATTAATATCGCGAATTATAGAAATAATAAAATATTAATATAAGACGATTATTATTTCTAGAAAAATTATTCGAATAGTATATAATAATTACTAAACTAGTAAATATTATTTGAATAGTATATAGTAATTACTAAATTAACGAATATTATTTAAATAGTATATAATAATTACTAAATCGATAAATAGTATTTTAATAATAAATAGTAATTGCTAAATTAATAAATAGCGTATAAAAAGTAAATTATAGTTACTAATTGGGCGGAATTTAGACGAATTTTAATTAGATTTACTAATCTAACGAATTTTATAATTTCCGCGATTAACGCGCGATTAGCAATTTTAAATTTTATAGAAACTTTTCAGATTTGCAGATGATAAAGAAATAGAGAAAGAATATAAAGAATTTTAATATATATTTAATATAATAAGTAGATATCTTCTTATTACTCTCTAATTCTAATATATTTAATACTTAAAATATTAATTATAACGATAAAATTAGACTTTAAATATTTACTTTAATTAAATATAATATTATAGCGAAGATCGTTATAATTATTATAGAAGTCTCTTATTAAATTATTAATTATTTAAAATAATAAGCTTATAATAGAGAATATAACTCTATTATATTTAAAAAGTTATTATTATTATATATATTTAATATTCTTAAATCTAAATAACTCTCTATTATTATATTTAAATTTAAGAATATTATTTTAATTATTATATAAAAGAATCGCTATAATTATAAAAAAATCTCTTTTATATTAACTACTAAATAAGAAATCTTCTTAATAATAATTCTATAAATACTTAAATATAATAACTTTTAATTAATTAAAATTATTAAAAAATCGTCTCTTTTAATAACTTAAATAAAAGTTTATTATTAATTTACTTTACGATATAAAGATTAAATTATAAAGAATTAAAAGAATATAATTTAAATTAATAAGATTAATATAATTTTAAACTCTTAATAAAAATAAATATAATAAAAATATTAGCTCGATAAAATCTATATTAAATTCGCTATTTAATATTATTTTATAAATATTATAAAATTTATATTTTAAGAATATTTCTTATATAATAAAAAGAATTTATATTATATTTAAAAGATTAAAATAATAATTAAAAAAAAGAAATATATTTAAAAACTAGCTATTATTAATAAGATTTTAAAATTTAAAATTAAATTATAATAAAAACTCTAGATTAATATAAGATATATAGATTTATATAATCTTTCTAGCGTAAAATCTTAATAAAAATTTATAATAGAAATTAGAAAAGTTATTATTATAGAGAAAAAAGAAGAAATTAACTAATATCGCTATTAAAAGAAGATTTATTTATATATATTTCTTTAAATTCTTTAACTTCTTTCGCTAATTAGATATAGATTCTTCTTTTATTACTTTTAAAATTTATTTAGAAATATAAAAAGAATAGATTTAATATAGTAGTTATAAAAGATAAAATCTTAATTTATATCTTAAAATTTTAGAAATTAATTTTTATATTTATAAATATATTTAAATTATTATAATATAAAAACTCGCTAAATTTAAACTATATTAAATTATATTAGTTTTAAATAAAATAATATATTACTTAAAATAATTTATTAATAACTCGAAAAGAGACTAAAAAGCGATAAACTTATTATTAAAAATATAAGCTTTTATAAAAGAAAATTTAAAAGTAAATAGAATATATATTTAGATATATTATTAAAGTTATTTATTTAAAAAGCGATAATAAATATAAAGAAGATCGTTTTAAAGAAAATATATAATTATATAATTTAAATAAGCGAGTTAATAAGTATATATATAGTTATATAAAAAATTATTAAGAAAAATAAAGCTATTTAAGAAATTTATTAAATTATTAAAGAATATTAAGAATATTAAGAGTTTTAGCGTATATATAAAACTTTTAATATAGATCTCTATATTAATATAGCTATTATATATAAACTATAAGTAGAATTAATATATATAAAAGAATAAGATAGAGCTAAGCTTAAAAATCTTAAATTTATATATATAGTTAATTATTAACTTAGAGTTATTACGCTCTTTAATTAAACTAGCTAAGTTATTATAAATAAATAAATTAGCGTTTATAACTATTAAAATCTCGTTCTTCTATACTCTTTCTTATTAAATTATAAATATACGTTATTTATAATAGTAATAACTTTTTTATTTTCTATTAAAATTTTGATTTTTGATTTTTTTTAATTTTGAAGCGCTATTTACGCTTTTCGAATTTTTAAGAATTTTAAAAATTTATCTTATAATTATTAAAGCGTAAGGAATTCAAATTTCGCTCACTAAAGTTCGCTTATTAAAGATCGCTTACTTATTTACTCGATAGCCCTAATTAAAAAAAAATTATAAATTTAATTCATAGGCCTTTACTCGTTATTATATAAAGATTTAAAATTAAAAAAATTAACTTTAATTAATAAATAGAAATAAGTAAACTTTTTCATTCGATAAATTTAATAACTCGATTGAAAATTCAATTCGACTCGTTCGATAACCTCGGTTTTTATTTTGCATTAGCTAGAATTATATAACTAGATAGTGAGTATCAAGTAATCGTTGTAGAGTTAGCTCAACTCTGACTCTTAGATTCCGATTGACGGTCGCTCGCGAGCTGGGTTTAACACTCGACTCGAGGGTCACGCTACGCGGTATTTGAAGCTAGATTTATCCATCTTCAATCACATCATTGGCTTTTCTTCTTTGTCTTGAAAAACGATCTATAGTACTGTTGCCCACGCTCTATCACCTATGACTTTTTATCAATCTGTATCGTCACACTTGTCCCCATGCCGACTAGAAGGACCATGTTGGCGTCCAACTGTGCGCGTGTGCACGCCATGCTGATAGATACCTGATACATAATTGTCGATTGAAAGTCTAAGCTCTGAGTCGAGGGACTCGTACTGGGGCTCGTGCCCGCGCTTATACTTGTGCTCTTGCTGGCAGCCACGTCCGCTGAAGAAGCCTGAGCAGGACTTGCTTCTGCTCCTGTCATATTGCTGAGGGTAGATGGGGCCGTCGCGGGCTGGGACGGGGTGTGAAAGGTGCTCAGCGAAGTAGTGAGGTTTATATCTATGGGACTGGTGTCTACGTCCAAATCAGTGAGGGTGTTAATGGGGTCATTCGGATAAGGGGAAGTGGAGCAGCAGAGATCTACCATATATGCTTTTCGGCAAACTCGTGTTCATTACGCCTGGTTCCGGAACGTTGTAGAAGTAGCTTTCCCCTGGTGTCGGGTACTGAGAAGGGCTGTTCAGCCCGAGTAGAGTCTGGTATTGCATGTGATTCGCCCTGTCGATCGCCAAGTTGTCCGTGGATATGGGCTGCGCCTTATCATCCATGGAATTGGCAGAGACGATACTACGCGCGGCCCACGTGTCCCATGATGTGAGGTTTGAATCTGGGATCTGAATGCTCCTCGCCCCGGTGTCATGATTTGCTCCCTGGGAGTTGGGCATGACTTCCATGCGGGAGGTGTGGCTAGTTTGATGGAGCACCTCGTCCTCGTTCTCACCGTCTTCGTTGTCCTCGTCTTCATCCTCGTCTCCGTCATCTTCGTCTCCGTCCTCTTCGTCGCTTGACTGAGCTACCCTGTCGCCTTCAATCCAACTGGAGCATCTTGGGGCTTCCATGTTCCAGTCCACTTCCTTCGTAGAGGTCGCCATGGCAGTCTCAGAGATAGCCGGGAGATCCTTGTGTGCCTTCTCAGTGGTATCTGCATTTGCCTTGTTCTTGTCGTTGTTGTTTTGTAGCCGCAGGGTCGAGTAACGATTCCTGAGAGCAAGCGTGGTCCTGCTGGGACGATGCGAAAATGCGATAGTTGCCCAGTTGGTGCCGTAGGTGAGAACTGCATGTAGCAGGTTCGCGTCCTGAGAGCCGTCAGTGACCACAGAACAAGAATGTACTTAAATTCGGGATGTAGGTGGAACCTCTTCTGCAGTCCAATCACAATAATTGATGTTCGGGTCCAGCACCTGGCTCCAGTGGCTGGAGCATTGGTCGGGACTTCTTGACCCAACCTCGCATGAGACCCTTATCCAATTCGTCCCGTACCTGCGAACAGCTGCAATGAGCCGTTCGTCCTCTTCCTCGGACCATGAGCCCTTGGCCGTGCCATTTGCGAGACTGTTCCACCATCTTCTGCGACAGTCTTTGTTCGTCCGTGCAGGTACACACTTTGCCAACTTCCGCCACAGTAGCGGGCGCGATTCCGCCTGAGCTGTGCAGGATTAGGATCATGTGATAATGGAGGCGAGAGAGAACTACGGACTCTCCCCTAGACTAGACAACAGCGAACCAAATCGTTTTTCTTTGGGTGTGCATCTATTCTAGGGGAGACTAGGTAGATATCTCGAGTTCGAACTCAGGAGCCGAATTTGGAACTCACCGGTCTTGACAGCTGATCGGAGGAGAGCATCCTCCTCTGCCGTCCACTTGCGTCTCACGCGGGCCATGTCATTGGAGCCCGCACTGCCTCTCCGAAGGAATTCAAGTTGATGGATGGTTACTGATAATTTGGAGAAAAGGGGGAACTTGGGCCTGCTTTCTCGAATATACTCGTAGAGGCAGCAGGAGTCGGTTCGAAGTGGGAATCATTTTTGGTGTGGAGCATGTTTTCACGGGTTGTGGTGGTCAGCTTCGTCAGCTCTTGGCCCGCGTAGGAACGTCGGCATATTGCATGGGAGTGGGCACAGATACTGATCCTTTATGCACATGGTGAGACCTAATCGCAAGAACAGCTCAAGATATTCAGCGCCGGCCTGTCTCCACACCGCAAGTTCCGAGGCGATTGTCTTCAAGGCTGAGCAATGTCACTCTTTCGTTGTTGGCACCAGGAATATGTTCCTGGTTAGGGATGATTTTTTCGCCTGTCATATAATTAGCTCCCGCAGCGGAAGTGCCCATTAGCACCGCCCTAGTCTCGGCCCAAGACCGTCGATCCCATCATCCCACGCATTGGTGTGGACCCATTTATTTTAGGCTGGGGGCTAGCCAGGTAGCCGAGGCCCTTAAGGCAAGCAATCTTTGCTAAGTAAGGTGAGCTGACTCAACGACGGCAAGAACAGCAGCGGCGGGAAGATGAGCAATGTGCATTTAGCGAAATGCTAGCGCGCAATGACGAAAATTAGGAGCTAGGGAGGAAACAAGGAGGAAAAGGACGGAGAGGGAACGTGTTACTGGGTAGGATGCACCCGGAAGGCCGCCCAGAAAAAGGGAACCACCGCACACCAATGCGTGGCATAGGTAGTAGCAGGTATTTAGTTCAGTAAGAGAACCGCATAGTAATTTACCTAGGTACATTCTACAAGCCGTCCACGCCTAGCTGATGTGCACTGCCTGTGACCCCCAGGTTTCATCGCCCTTCACCCAGCTCAGAGATCGACCGATTACCCACGAGCGAAATCCATCGCTGCGGAAAGTCTTGAGCTGCTGCCACAGTCTTCCTCCATTCAAGTTCGTTTCATGGAATCCAGAATACCACGAACACCAGCGAAATCAAATTCGCTCAGTGTTTCCTCCCAGAGTCTTTCTGTAATCTCCTTTCCCTCGGGTGTGTATAAGAAGCCGGCGAATCTGAACAGTGTTTTGCGTCTTAGCCAGAGCCGGGAGTGGGTTGTGGGAATGGAGAGAGCTTACGGGTGGATCTGCCAACTCATGATAAAACATCCATGTGACTCCGATCCTTTGTTCACAAGGGCGTCCAGATACGTCGAAGCGCCATCCTTCTTAGTTCTACCAGTGATCGCGCCGAAGAGTGCGGCGGCTACCTTTTGCCCCCCGCGGGCGTCCCGGGTCAGGTCTGTGCCCTTGACGAAGCCTGGATCTGGTAGATTCACGATAACATCGTTGGCCGAGACATAGTCGACGAGTTTCCAGAGAAACATGTGCGCAAGGACCTTGGACGAATTGTAGCGATCGATGGGGTCAAAGTACTTGGGGTCATCGAAGGATGGCAGGAGGGGCACTTCGTTCCGATTGGGAAACTTAGCAGCGAGAGCAAGTGCGGCGTTAACAATTGTTAACCGACCTGCGGTCCCGGGTGGAGATTTGCTCTTGAGACTAGGAAGTAGAAGGATGGTGAGTAGCACAGTTGACAAGTAGTTGATCTGGATAGTTTCCTCGTGGCCGGTGCTACGAACGGTATCGAAGGAAAGCTTGCGTACGCCGGCATTGAGGACAACCATGTCCAGGCGAGATAAATCGGTATCGACGCGTCGAGCAAAAGCCCGGATGGAATCCATCGAGCTCATATCCAGCGGCCATATCTCAATTTTTGCTTTGGGGTACTGCGACAGGAGTTGTTTGGCAGCTGCTTCTCCTTTCTTAGTCGAACGCACGGCAAGGATGAGATGTGATAGTTTGAATGACAAGAGTTGGCTGGCGGCCTCGAGACCGAGTCCAGCGTTGCCTCCGGTGATGATGGCGACCTTGTCGGAGAGGTTGGTGGTTTGTGATGGCCATTCAGGCTTCGCACGAAATTGATTGTGGAAGAAGACATTGGGGAAAAAACGAGCGTTTGAAGGCTGCAGGTCCTTTGAGCCGACCATGTTGGTTGAAGTGTGAGCGTATTAACTTTTGGAGCGGGAGTGAGGGTGAAATAGGAGTAATGGTTAAAATTGTTGTTATGGAAGTGTATATTAGGCAGCTTGCCGTCTCCTTACTTCAAGGTAAGTGAGGGAATTGTTCGAGCTGGCCCGAGTCACATGACAGGGTTCCCCTAAGTCATAGGTTGGTTGTAGGAGTCGCTGATTGGCGGTACCGGGATTTTAATCATTTCAAACTCGATGAAATTGATGCTATGCTCAGAAAGGAATACAAATAGTAATAGAAGGCAAATGGTGGCTACTTCCATTCGACTACCTTATCCCCAAAACAGCATACAATCTAGTCTTGGGGATGATAACAACGCTATGCTCAAATTGGCAAACAATCTCAGCCGCCACTCCCGAGGTGCTAAGCTAGTGTCCGCTAGCTGCTGCACTAGATCCGGCCCGACTCTAAGGTACTTTAAGGTACTTTGTAAGCTGAGATAAGGTAAGGTAATCCGGAAGGCTTAAGATCCTTGACGCCTTTTTCTTGCCTCGGTTAAAGTATTCCAAAGAAATGATTGATAAGTACCTAAAGTACATTATTTGTAAGGCTGCAGTAAGCGGAGAATAATAATGCAGATCGATGCGCGTCTGCATATATCCCACACACCTTTCTTCTGCTCTTTTGATCGCTTTGACTCGCCGTACCTCAAAGCTAGAGATCTGGTCACGTGACGTGCCATTACCCTACACCCTTGATTCAGCATACTTATTGTATGCAGCACTTAATTGACCTAAGCCGTGAAAGGATTAGAGTAGACTAGGGTACCCAAGTTACGCGCTCCACCCGCTGTGCTGCTGTAAAGTCACACCCGAACTTCTCAACACTGTGCCCATGTCCATTTCTGGCATTCGGGCCAACGCTTTGACTACATGACTGCTCTAAAGCGCTCGGGTGAGTAATTCTCTGGCCAAGGTAGTGTCGATTGATACTGGATCTTAATTGTCTCGTTGAGTAGTAGGGATGCCTTTCGTGGTATCGACTAGTGTAGAAAAGCCTGATCCAGAGGTGCGCAAGCTCATCAGGAGCCATGTGATGTTGGGAAAGAACCAGGGGAAGACTCGGTGCTCAAGAAGGCGAGAGGCGAGCAATGTAGCAGACAAATCCAGCCCTAATGAAGATCTGGGTGCGCCATCAGCATCGTTCATCACGGCGTCTCACTCTGTCATCCCTCCAAAAATCGGCTCGGATCTATCCACAATTCGATTTGCCGACGCTGTAGAGCCTTCCAAGGTGGAGTTCGTTCTGCGCTGTGAGTTGATTTCCCTCCCCACCCCCACCCTTCCCAAATATATTGGACTTCAAGGCTGTCGAGGTCTGCTGTGTACAATGCTCACATAATCCATCGTCACACCAGTCTCTTCCATCGCTAAACAAACATTGTTCCCCCTGGATTCTTGCATACTTTTCGAAAAAAGGGAGGAAGCATGGATGGAGCCTCTGACATTTGACCCGGCCTTCCTCAACGCCATGATTTTCACAACACTAGACTATTTCGACTCCATGCGGCATCGCAACCGCTACACGATGAGCCAGCAGACGTTGCCGCACTATCTGAGGACACTCCGACTTCTCCGCGAAAGGTTACTACATGAGAATGACCAGGCTCTTACGACCCCCACGGTATCTGCGATCTTAGCCCTAGCTGCGCATGCACACTTCGTGGGTGATTCCGAGTCCGCTAAGCATCATTTAGGAGGTCTTCGCAAAATAGTCAGCTTGAGAGGAGGCGTAGCCACCTTCAGCGACAATGCAAAATTGCTGGTTGAAATCCTCCGGTACGAGCCACATCTCAGGGCGGTGTTTCCCGTGATTGAATAGGAGACAGCTTCTAATTGCCCTGCAGGTGCGACATAGGGATATCATTTCACAGTGGCTCAAGACCGTTGTTCTTCAACAAATCTTCTTCCCAAGAGCCTTTTCTACCGTATCCGGACCAGACGTTGCTGTTCAAGTCGATGTTGAAGACTACGGTAAGACAGACTCAATACGATTCGGAGATCTTCCTTCGCGACATAGACGACGAGCTCGCAAGTGCCTGGAGGGTCATGGCGGGATTTTGTCTAATGATCAATCTCGCTGCCGAATCCAAGAATCGAATCGCTACAGAAACTTTCCTAGACACCATGGCTTCAGTTATATATCGACTGCTCGATATGACTCACTTCGAAGCAGGCTCTACTGAGGAAGCTATCCGCCTAGGTCTTCTCGCCTTCTCATCTAGCATTTTCCTCCAGTGGAAACAGCTTGGGATGTCTTATGATCATCTAGCCACTACGTACAGAGAATGCCTTGCCGAGTTGAGAGTTTCGAGTATTCCTTCTCGGCTTCTGCTTTGGCTTCTCATGGTTGGAGCTGTGTCGGTCTTTGGGTGCGCCGACGACAAGTGGTTGAAGCCTTGGTTGCGCGTCAACATCGACCTGGGCGAGGTGGAATCATGGAGTGATATGCAAGACATTTTGAAGCCTCTCATGTGGATTGGGTTGGTACTGGACGAGCCTGGGAAAGATGTGTTTGACTCATCGTTCGTGTACGACCTAGTCACTCCTCCGCTTGACCACTCGCCCATGTCTATAGGCAGTCTGTAAAGGGGCAGACAATTGATCGATGCCTTACAAACGACTGCAGAATTAGTGCACTGGAGCTTACTAGCAGTGCGTCATGGAATCGATTTGAAGATGCTTCTCACTAAAGGCATGAATACCGACATGGTCTGAGAGGATTCAACTGTGATCTTTAGGCTACATTCACCAATGAAGGTGTCAACTTAGGCAGAGGGCATCGCAACGAATCTATGATGAAAAACATTCAGGGGCATATGACCGCTCTGTCCCCACCTAGACTACAATGCAAACCGAATCGCACTTACAGATCATCCCCTTCGAACCGTATCTGCAACCATTCCCCGTACCGTAAACCCAATATGGGGGGCAAATTACAAATTCATACCCCAAACTATGGGATTCTTACATATTCATACCCCATCTTACATTTTCATACCCCAATGGGGTATGAATTTGTAAGATACCATCTAACAAGGGTATGATCTATTTTGTAAGATACCATTAATAGGATGATTTTTAAAGTTTTGCCATCTATAGGGCGGGTTGGTGTTAAGAATTATTCCACTGGGGGAGTATCTGCAGCGTGAAGTGCAAACACCCCTATTTAACCCTTTAGCGGTAACTCGAATTACTAACAATTGGGGTAGGTAGACGGGTATCTTATTTACCTACCATTTTTCTCTATGACAAAAATGGTCTGCATTGCATTACATTATTCACGCCACGTCAAACCAACATATCTACACAAAAATTGGTATCCTTCCCTTATCGCTTTCGCGGCCGCGTCATTGTCGTGATGCTCGGGATATATATCAAACAAATGCGGCACGTTCTCAACAATTCTTAGCTCCGCATCGATCGTTCCTATGTCCCGCAGCCTCTGCCAGGTGCGCTCGGCCTGCTGCCACGGGATCAGATCGTCATTGCGGGGGTGGATAAGGAATGTCGGCGCAGCGTAATTGCCTGCGCGGATCTGCGCCAGTGGACTGGCAGCCGCAATACGTTCGGGCGTTGGCGGCTCGTCCGAAATCTTCCAGCTCTTCTTGTCGAGCGTGAGTAGGCCGCCGAGCAGGACGTGCAGTGTGCGCCCGTGCATGTTCATGTGCAGTGCTAGCCGACTACGTGCATCGCTGGGTGCTAGCCAGCCGCCCAGTGCGCGTTTCTTGGACGGGATGCTGTAGCTCGTGATGGGAGAATCGAACAGACCCTCCAATATCTGGCCATCCAAGTCGTAAGAGTCAGATGTGGTCATGTCGGTGTCTGTAGTCTGAGCGCCGGCAGGGACGTTGGGTGCGATCCAGAAAGGGTCCTCGTAGTCTGTGGGGCAGTAGAAGGCCAGAATGGCCTCCGGGGGTCGGATCTGCCGTGCTGCAGAGGTCCAGGCCAGCGTCATGGCCAAGTGGCCCCCTGTAGACCAGCCCACAGCCACGACCTTGTCTGGGTCAACACGGATGTCACGCCGTGAGAGTGTCAGCTTCGGGAGAACAGTGCGGATCCACAAAAATGCGTCGGCAACGTCTGCCATGGGTCCCTCAATGAGCGTCGTTTCAGGACAGAGCCTGTAGTCGATGCTGATTGGAAGAAAGCCGCTTCGCAAGAGCTTGCTTGTTTGTTCCGGCCGGATATCGTTCCTCGAAAGCATGATGTGGCCACCGCCGTGAATCATGAGAGCTGATAAGATATCACTCTGTCAGCTGAGAGCTCTATCTGTGTCACTGGGTCTTAGTGCCGCAGAAGACAATAAAGCAATCAATGCTACTACTAACCTACAGGAAGCATTTTCTCGAGCTCGACTACCTCTGGAGGGTAGTATATGTCTGCTAGAAGATGTAGACCATCTACCTTTTTGAAAGTCAAGGTGTCCTTGAGTGTATTGTGGTCGCTGCTGCCATCCGCCTCATTGTTATTGCCCAGAACGAGCCTAGAATCCATATCGTATGGAGCCAATTCGTATGGAGAAGCCGTGATGACGCGCAGGATGTTGGATTCTGCTGACAGACTATTGGACCAATCTACCCACTCAAACCCAGAAGCATGCAGAGACTGCTTCCATCGCTGCTCGTCCGCTAGGGCGTGCTCGCGGCCGTCATCGAACAGCCACCAGCCTTCAAGGAGACCGAACACAAGATCGAACCAGTACAGGTTCCGTGTCAGCTCCACCAGACACAGGATCCCGTCTGCGCGCAGCAACTTGCGGATGTTGGCGCATGACTGCATGAGGCTCTTCGTTGCGTGGATGCAGTTGGTCGAAATAATAATGTCGTAGACGCCCACGAACTGCGGGCCCGGGTCTTTCTCAATGTCGAGCACCGTGTAGTGCATAAACGGCCATTTGGAAAACTTGCGGCGGGCAGTCGCGACAAGCGAGGAAGACAGGTCGGTGAACGTGTACGAGAATTTGTACTTGGGGCCGAGCCCGGCCAGCGTCTCGATAACGTGTTTTGATGTCCCTCCAGTGCCGGCGCCGAGCTCAAGAATCTTAAGCTCGCGACTGGTCCCGACGCGCTCCAGAACCGTCGATAGGTACTGAGCAAGGACCAGGGTCCCCGTCTTGAACATAGGTGCGTTCGTGTAGACATCTTCCAGCAGTGTGCGTGCTGTCGAGTCACGAAACAGCAAAGCCAGGGGATCGGCCAGCCCCGAGAGGCAATCCGCCAGTCTGTGAGCTGTTGTATGGAGGAGTTTCGTCTCAGAAGCGTGCTTTGGAAATTTATATAGGAGTTCATCGAGCAGCGCGGATGTAGAAACCGTGGGAACTGGCTCCTTGGTGCGGCGGCATATTCCGTCCGCCCCTTTGGTCACAAGACCAGCATCTTCCAGCATCTTGTACAGCTGGGGAACGAGCTTCTCGTGTCTAGGTTCGAACTGGAATTTAGGCACTTCATCGCCAGGCTTTAGTGCCTGCAGTATACAGCCTAATGAAGCCAAGGCCTCTACGACGTACTGCACGACGAGCTTAGACTGTAAGGGGAAAACCTCGGCGCAGAAGCCCGTAAAGCCCGTAATTTCGGCGTGGTGGTCGTACGAAGCTTTGGCATCGACGAAGCAATCGCAGCTCACGACAGCCAGATTCGCATATTCCTCCTGCTCCTGGCGGCTCTCATGGTGGTTATAAGTCTGCTGGCTCTCTTCGTGTACAGGGCCTAAGGGGTAGCCATTGGCAAGATTGTCTCCGGGTTCCTGCTCTTCCACAAGCTCGTCAATGGGCTCTCGGTGCTTCTGTGTAGAGTCGACACCTTGGATTAGTCGGGCGACCGAGCGTACATCAGTGCAAGTCATGAGTTGTGCTTGTGCGAGACCAACGTAGAAACGGGTTTCGACTTCTGCGAGGACTTCGGTAACCAGCAGTGAGTCGACGCCGAGGTCATCCAAACTTGCCGTGGGCTCGATCTCCTCGACGGGTATCTCCAGTATGGCGCTGAACATGCTGCATACCGATTGAACTAGGCTGCTAGATTTGGTTGGCTGTTCCAGTTGCTGCTGATGGATCGCAACTATTTGAGAAGGGAACGCTTCCGCGGTAACCTGTCGCACTGGGGAATCAGAGGTATGTTTGGAAAGCTCTTTCTGGAGGCCATCGCCCGACGGAGAAGAAAATCCTGTTTGGTATGCCGAGTCGTGCAGATCGTCGCTATTGTCTGAGTGTAAACTTACTACTACATTAGTGGTGGTGGGGGCTTTATTCAGTCTGGTGAGGCTTCTCGCCACCGACTTGAGCGGGATGCTCCTGAATTTCGCGCCCATGATGGCCAGCACCAAAATTCCGGAGCTTGAATCGCAAACAAATATGTCGTTGGTCACGTCGACCTTGGAAATTGGCTCGTAACGGGTGTAAACAGTCCATGCACGAGAAGCGCCTCTGCTTGTCATGAAGGAAGCAGAAAATATGATTTCCTCCACTGCGGTGCACATAAAGACTTGGTCGTCGTCCCGCTGGGACAAACAGTTGACATGGATGCCTGCAACTTGGAGGAAGTTGTCAACAGAAATGATGTCGCAGATACTTGCATCCATGCAAGAGGGCCGGTCCGTTGGAATTGTGATAAGGCCAACCGCCTCGTTTCCTGAAGCAGACACGCTTTGAACTCCCCGATAGTAGCTTGCGTACTCAACGACGTCTGAGAAGAGTTTGTACACCATTGTGCCACTTACTCCAGTGGCTGAGGGCAAATTCCGAAGGCGATAGGTGCTTGATCTTTGCAGCAACTTCAGCAGCCTCTCTACCACTGCCTCGCCGGCGGCAACCGAGCTTATGCATCCTTTCGCATGCTCAGTTTCTCTGTCTCCCACGTGCCCTGGGCCATGAGAAGATGATGGCCGGCTAAAGACGGCAAAATCCCAAACTTCTGGCGCAGTCTTATGGAGACGTAGGAATACGGCAATCCCGGCTCCTAGCCCCAGTGGCGCTGACATGGTCAAGCCCTCAATATGTGGCAGTGTTCCGGTTGCATGCGTAGTGTCGGTGCGTTGCATCGCCATGACGCATCTAGCCGCCAACTCGATATACATGGATGCCGGACAGAGGCTCTGGCCCGTGACAGCGTGTCCCCGTGCAGCGAGCTCGAAGAGAGCATTGGAAGTATCCACCGCGAAAAGATGCTCTCCGGCAGTAGCGCCATCATTGTTCAACCAGGTCACAAGACTAGGGGCTTCCTTGGTCCTAGGCCCAGACCTGGGCTTGTACTGGATCCAATGGCTCGTCTTGTCGAATTGGTAGGGTGGAAGGTTGAGATTCCTGTAGCAATGTCGTGAAGAATGATGGAAGAGCCAGTGTTGCGCAGCTGACCCGGCCGTCCACAATTGGCATGTGGCTTTGGCAAGGTTTGTCGTGGCATCCGCTCTTCCCAGCTCCATGGGTATGAAGACGTCTGACCTGCCGGACTTCAAAGCTATTATACGACGCGTCATGGCAATGATGGGAGACGATGATCCTGCTTCGAGCCAAATAGCAGAAGGTAAGCGGGAGGCGATCCGTTCAACCGCATCGGCAAAGTAGACTGGTTCCCGGGTATGCTGCACCAACTTTTCTGCAGTGAATCGCGACCAGGTTCCTTGGGCAGAGCAGGTCTCGATGCGGATGCGAGGCGGTCGTATCCTGATCAGTTTAGCCACTTCTGCTAGATGATCCAAAATGTCATCTGCGAGGTAAGAATGGTATGCATGGCTGTTTCGAAGCCTGGTTTTCTTGAAGGACCGGCATTCCTTCTCGGCCCTCTCTACGGATGGCCCGTCACCGGCAAGAACAAAGCTGCGAGGACCGTTGTAGCATGCAACATCGACGTGAAGACCGCTCGTCGAATTCACCAGACGTACCACGGCTTCGAGTTCCCCTTTGTCGCACTCGACTGACAGCATAGCGCCACGCTCTAGACCCCAACTATCTCGGATAAGGCGAGCCCGACCCGAGACAAAGAGAAATGCATCTTTGAGAGAAATGGAATCGGCAACACATAGCGCCGCGAGTTGTCCAAAGCTGTGACCAACCACCGTGTCCACCTCCAGTCCGCAATCAATCCAGCACTTGGCGCAAGAGACTTGTAAAGACAGAAGCATGCAATGAAGAGAAACGATATCTCCGATGGCATCGCCCAGGAAAACACTGGGGAAGATGCTGGGGAGGCCGAGAGTCTGGCAAACAGCGTTGCATTCATCCTGTATCGGGATCAATCAGCATCTACTGTATGATTCAATCACGTCAGAACTTTGAAGAGGATGCTGTTCTCACCAAACGGGTCCTGAAAAGATCGCAGCGCTCATATAGCTCTATCGAGACGCTAACGTTGCAGCTTGTCTGGCCGCCAAAGCACAACACGACAGGATTCTTGGCCGTCCGTATCGCAATTCCATCCGTCGTCGCGCTTGAGCTGTTAAGGACAGATATGGCACTCTTCACATCAGCTGCGATGAATGCAATCCGGTGCTCGAACGACGAATTATGACTTCGAGCTATCTTGTACGCCACACTTCCAAGCGAAGTCTCGACCTTGGGCAGATACGACTTCAGCTTATCCATGTACGATTGGAGGCCATTTACGGTCCTGGCGGAGAGAAGAATCGGGCTGACGACAGAGGAGGAAGACGGGCAATCTTGAGTCCCTAGGGTTGTTTCTGGTGCTGAGCTCGAGAGGGGGTTTGAGTGCGCTCGAAGTACAAGCGCCACGTTGCTTCCCGCAGCTCCGTAATTATTCACCAGCGCAACATGGCGCTGAGCGGTCCACGACTGGGTAACCTTGGGCACTATTATCTCTCCCGATGCAGAAGCCTTGATGCGTGGATTCAGGGATACGAAGTTGGCCTGCTTTGGAATTGTTTTGTACTGCATCATCAAGAGTGTTTTAACGATGCCAGCAACGCCAGAAGCAGCTTCGGTGTGACCAATGTTATCCTTGACGGAGCCCAAGAACACCTCATCATCGCGCCAAGGACCTGCAAGCGCCAGACGGACACTCTCATACTCTATAGGGTCTCCAACGGGAGTTCCTACCAGAAACTGTTAGCAAGGTGGGACCATCTGGAACTTCAATTTCCAGGGCTGTTTGTCTACGGGTTTTCCTCACCAGTGCCATGTGCTTCAACGTAAGTGACTTCCTTGGCTTCTATCCGTGCGGCAGAAAGTACGCGTTTGTACAAGGAACTCTGGGATTGTGAGTCCGGAGCGGTGATGTTAGTGTGGTTGGAGCCTTGATTGACTGCCGAGGCAGCAATGACTCCAAGAACTGTATTCCCATCGGCTATCGCCCTTGAAAGAGTCTTGAGGACGAGAATGCCGGCGCCTTCACCACGACAATAGCCATTGGCCTCGGCATCGAAGGCTCGCGATGACCCGTGAGGGTTGAGGAAAGACGCAGCCGAGAGATTTTGGTGCAGAGTAGGGCTTGTGATGACGTTGACTCCTCCGGCGAGCGCCATGGAGCATTCTCCGCCGAGAAGTGCCTGTAGTGGTATCAGGCTTGCGTTTGAGGACTACTGAAATTGTTAGCTTACCTTGCATGCTGTATGTATAGCAACCGCAGATGAAGAACAAGCTGTGTCAAAAGTTAAAGATGGCCCGCTCCATCCGAAGAAGTGGCTGATACGACCACTAATGAAAGCCCGTAAAGTGCCCGTAGCTGCGAATGCGTTGGCGTCATGAGAGGCAATATTTTCCTCATAGTCAACAGACCCTACGCCAAGATAGCAGCCCACATCTGCTTCAATCGAAGTAGGCGGCGTGCTGCAGTATCCCGACGACTCCAGCGCCTCGTACGCAACCTGCAACGCAAGCCGCTGCTGCGGATCCATGGATTTTGCTTCGCGGCCCGAGATACCGAAGAACCTATGGTCAAAAGCATCAGGGCTATCAATGAAGTTGCCCCAAAAGTTGGCCAGCTTAGGCTCACGGCTGAGTTCGGCCGGGTTAAAGCGCTCAGGGGGTACTTTGCCGATTGCAGTTTCTCCTGCCCACAGAAGTTGCCAAAATTCCTCAAGATTTTCGGCTCGGGGGAACCGGCAGGCCATTCCTACGACGGCGATCTCTTCAAGCGAGGTCGTGTCGTCGTGATCCGAAGCAAAGTTCGCGTGATTGTCCTTGGTGGAGAGCGAATGAGGTACGCAGAGTCCGCTGCCCAAAGGCACAAATGTGACTTTGCCCTGGGGAAGGTCGTTCATCGTCGACTTGACGGTTTGGAACCAGTGGGCTCGTTTGCAGAGGATCATCTGGATGGCGATTTCATGAAGGGCGCCAGTATTGATGATATGAGCATCTGCAGTAGATCTCAGGGGCAAGCGCAGCTTTTCTGCATCAGGCAGCCTAAGTTCCCTGTTCTTAGCGCAAATTTGACGAAGCCTCTCAGCGGCTTCGGCATTTCTTGAATGATGATAGCATCCATTTAGGCCAATTGTGGTGGCGGCTATCTTGGCCTCGCGCATCCGCAGACAGAACGCCGCTTGACTGCCACTGGGTAATGTGATCGTGATACTCCTGTCATCTGTTATGCAGGATACGTAGGCCTATCTCGTCAAGTCAGTGCAATTTCTTCTATGATACCATCAGGTCCAGTCTTTCTCGCTTCGTCGATCGAGTCGTTACATGGAGCCTGGGCACTCATCCCTATCTACCGAAGGCTGAAAATGCCAGCTTGGCCACAGCATACCAAGTCGAGAACTACTCGTTCGTGGATATCACTACCCCTCTGAACGTTTGGCCACGCTGAAGCCGGAGAAGAACGATGCTAGCAGGGTGAAAGAAGGCCGCTTACCCCGGGGAAAAGATCCAGGCAGATTTCCAAGAAAGCTCTGTCTTCCGCCGTTTTCCAGCGAACATGGACGGCCGTAGCTCTCTCTTGAGCAGGACGCGATGCCCTTTCTGCATCAACGATGATGCCGATACACGCAGCGAGTCGAACAGCGTTGGAAAAATTGCATTCAAAATCAGTCCAGTCGTTGGCGGAAGCAAGCGCTGCAGCCGAGAGAAATCCAACACAAAACCCTTGAGCTGCCTCAAAGCCCAGAATACCGTCTTTTGTGCCTGAGACGTCGGTCAATCGAATGAAATTGACGACTTGTGACACGACCGTGAGCGACGATAACTGAGTGTTCGTCAAATCCTCAGGGTCTAGGTCTTTGGCTCCCATTGCGAAATCCCGGAGTTCTTGCAGCTTCTCGGCGCCTGAAAAGCCATGAAGGCCATAGTCCTTCTTGAGCATGGACCATAGTGAGGGTAATGCTGTGAGAGTCTGCTTGAGGAACCCAAGCTTGTGGTCTTCCAGAAGGGCAGACTGCAAACTCGAAAGACTTTTGTGTGTCCAGTTCGTCACTTGTGGACCAAATAAGGCAATTCGAAATTCGTTTGAGGAACCCTTGGAAGTGGCGTTGAAGCAAGTCATTACCGCAAAGGCTCGTCCAAAGTACGTTGAGTACCTCAATGATGGTGGCAGTCGGACAAGATCTTTCCCGCTAGCGCTATTTGCTACGGCAAGAATGGTCCGTGGATGTCTCCATATAATGCATGATGCCCCCCATCTAGGCCTAGATTATCTGTGCATCTGGCGGTCTACGACGAGCTCAGTAACTGTGTTGCGGCTCGTCGTCAAATCAGCCTTGGTTTCCAAAAAGAAAGGTTTACTTGGCGCCGCTTCTCTACTGCTGACCCGGGTTAAATTTCTTCAAGCTCCTGCAGCAGCAGCTGCGGACCCAAGTAACAGGCTGAAATGCATCGTATGCAGTCCGTGCACATGCATCATGCAATCATAGGTCCAAGGAAACTACTATACCGGTGAGTAAGTCTCAAAAGCTCTATCGCATTGTCTGGCACCCAGCAGTATTGTCGATTTCATGCGGGTTTCAAGTGAACATTCCAGATTTTCAAATCTTCTATAATCTCTTTGACTGCCTGACATACTGAGCTGTTCTTCGGAAGTGGCTCGACCGGTGGTACTGTGAAGTACTGCGCTGCTCTTAGTCAGCTTGCTTTCAGTTCGGGGGGCTTTTGTGTGTGCCTAGAACGAGATTGCTACTTAGAAAAAGTCTTTTATTATGCAAGCAATGAGCTCTAGAGGGGCTATATTAGGCACCGTAGGAGGGAGCCTCCCTGTTGTCTCGCTTGTTACCTGTGTATTACTTTTACTCGTCGTCTTCCAGCTATGGCGAACATGGTGGCGCCTCAGGCATATACCGGGACCCTTCCCTGCCAGTATCACCAACTTCCAGCGCGCTCGTTGGGTTACAACCAAGCGTGCACACCTGATACTCCAGGATATGCACGAGAAATATGGAGAAGTCGTGCGTATTGGACCGAACACGGTGGCATTCAGTAACCCGGAGGCGATTCCAACTGTTTATACGGCACGGACTGGATTCCCGAAAGTACGTTTTCTCACTGCCAGCCTTTCAACCCACATTGACATGCTGAATTTACCTGAGCGGTCCAGAGTGCCTTCTACGCGACTCTCCAAGCCTATGCCCCAAAGGGTGGTAACCTTCAGGCCATTTTCAACACTCAGGACGACGACATGCACAAACGGCTCAAGACCCCTATTGCGCCCTTGTTCACCCCTGCGAACGTACCCTCCTTTGAGGGTCGCGTTGATGAAGTCCTGGAGTGTTTGCGCGAGAAGCTCGACGAAAAGTTTATTGAGAATAGTGAAGTCTTTAATCTAGGCCAGTGGCTGCAGTTCTTCGCGTTCGATGTCATGGGTACATTGACCTTTTCGAAGAGGTACGGGTTTCTGGAAACTGGGAAAGATGTTGGGGGAATGCTGGGTACAATCGTCGACTTCATGAGGAGCTCTGCCCCAGTGAGATATTTACTCCCTCATGTCGAGGCACCCTCTCCATACATATGTAGCTAACTTTGCGCAGCTGACACAAATTCCCTGGCTTGACTGGGCCCTGCGCAAGAACCGCATCGGGGACGCATTCCAGCGTAGGTTCGGGGTCCAGGCGTCCCTTGGGATACTCGGGTTCGTGGGCAGGGCCATCAAGGAAAAGCAAGGGACTATGTCCAATGGCGAGTACAAGGATACTGGTGACAAATATGGCCGTGGGAAAGATTTTCTGACTCGATACATCGAGCTCCAGCAGAATGACCCCGAAGTACCGCCCTGGTAAGACTCCAATCTCTCGACGCAATAGACTGGACTCCTATTGATCCACATGCCAACAGGGCCGTTACCGCATGGACCTTCTCCAACGTGATCGCAGGCTCGGATTCGGTGGGCAGCCTCATGCGCACCACAATGTTCAACCTCTTGGTCTACCCACACACTCTGGAGAAGCTGTACGACGAGCTACGCTCTGCAAATCTCTCTCACCCATTTCCCAAATACAGCGAGGTGCGCAATCTGCCGTATTTAGATGCCTGCGTCCAAGAAGGCATACGCATGCACCCACCCTTCGCGCTACCCTTTGAGCGCGTTGTGCCAAAAGGTGGCGTCACGATCCTTGAACACTATCTGCCTGCCGGAACAGCGGTGGGCGGTAGTCCCTACGTCGTGAATCGGCACAAGGGGATGTTTGGTGAGGATGCCGAATTCTGGAGGCCAGAGAGGTGGCTTGAAAAGGATGAAATGCATAAGAGGAAACTCGAACAGGCGGTATTGACTGTAAGTTTCGCCTTCCGCTCGTCAAGCACTTTTCGCTGATATTTTTATCGCAAGTTTGGTGCTGGCAGGCGTATCTGCCTGGGAAGACACGTAGGCATCTTGGAAATCAAGAAGCTAATTCCGTTTCTCATTCTCAACTACGATGTGGGTGTAATTTCCAACTCCACAAACGTCGCACTTGCCGTGAACTTACAAAGGTACAGATTCGCATCGTGGACCCCGAAAAGTTCGAGCTTGAAAATTCATGGTTCTTTTTTCAGAGGGGACTGTATGCTAGAATTCAGAAGCGGGCTAAAGATGCGGGAAATCAATCATGAAAATGCAGGACATGACTAGGCGATGATAAACGGTGTATGGCTACATTGCTTACCTTATTCAATGGTTATGTAGGTGTCTAGGAGCAGCAGGCTCAAAAACAATTCCTCCTGCCAAGCCTCATTGGGCTTGGGTTGCCGTAGTTTTGCGATTTTCAAAAATTCGAAATTGCGGGGTTGACCCCCTAATATGTGCTGGGGCGCGGGGCTACCCAGTAGTGGAAAACTTGCCGAGGATGTGAGAAGACTGAGAAGACTGAGAAGACTGAGAAGACTGAGAAGACTGAGAAGACTGAGAATATTACTACTGCATAATACCAATTCTATTAAGGGGAGACCCCCTAAACCCCCCTGCCCTCCGGGGGGCTCTCCGAGGGCCCTCCGGGGGCTCCTGCCGGAGGGGCCGTCCTCGCAAGCTCGAAATTATTTACATAAAGCCCATTTTGAGATCGATATGAGGTCGTTCGCTTCGTCAAGATCATAACTATAATCCCCCTGAAGAAATTCCTTACAACTATCATCAATTATAAACCGAAGTTGCTTATGAATAGCCTTAAGATCTCTATGCCGAATCGCCGTATATAACGAAGTCTCGGAGTCAAGTTGATCCTTAATTTGAGGCTGAGCGGCCGCTATTAATCTAAGGCGTCTTGTAATTCGGTACTAATAAGCCCTTGTAAGAATCGCTCTTCTTGAAGACGTATCCAATGTACGAGATCATCACACAAATCCTCGGCAACCTCTCGTTGAAGATGAAAACGACTTGTTTCGGCTTTTCCGTAAACGCGTTTTAGAGCGCCGAGACCTTGATTTTTCCGTAGATGTATATTAGGGGTTTTTAGAGTAACTCGGCAAAACCGAACGATTTATATAGATTTAGATTTTTTGTAAATATATGAATTATGAATATATGGATTACTCTAAACACCCTACTATCAAAAAGGTCTAATTTCTATGAAATTCTCGGAAATTCGCTTTTAAAACTCTAGCCCTAAGTAGCTCGAGAAAGATACTTTATCTTCTCCGCAATAGTAGTATATTATATCTATCTTTCTATCTATCTTTTTATCTAGCTATCTATCTATTCTTAATAATTATATCTCGTATATTAAATAAGAAAAAAAAGAGACGTGAGATCTTTTATCTCTATATTAAAAGTCGTTCTAGATATAATAATAGTTATTATATAACGAAAAGATGGCGAGTATACCTCGAAGCCTTTATCGAAGAACGTTATATAAAGCTACGAGTATATATATCTAAATCGAATTAGATAAGAGATATCCTTTCTTAGTACTTCGATACTCGATAGCAATCCTTTACATATATAAATTCCGAGAGTTTTCGATATATTCTTAGTCTTATATCGAATAATTCTATCTTCTATAATAACGCCAATTTCTAATAAATACTAATTGAGACATAGTTGAAGATTATCTTATAAAAGTTAGTTAATAATAGAAGTATAAGTAATTTTCGTCCCTTAGTTAGTTAATAGGGTGTTTTAGAGAAATATATCTACGATTATATACGAAGAGTTATAATTATATTATTTTAATTATATTAATAATATATTAAATAGCCTTCTAAGATAGAACGTTATCGAGAAAGTAAAGAGAATAATAAATAAGAGAATTTTCTTAGAGTAATAGAAAAGGTGAATAATATAGATATCGTACTGCAATATAAGTCTAAAGAAGAGTTTTATAGTAAAGCCTTCTGGAATAGAAAAAAGCGATATACTCTAGACCTTTATAAAGTATATAATTTATTAAAGAAATTTATCTATATACTTATTAGCTTCTTAAATACTATCTATAATATAAGAGTATAAAGTAATATTAGTCTCTATTAATATTCTAAGGCCTATTTCTCACCAGGTTAATATATACTCGATAATAGTATATATACGAATATAGAGTATATGGTTATATCATATAAAGCGCCTTATATAAGTTATAGAAGAATTTGAAAGTTTAATAGATATCTATCTAGCATCAGAATAGATATCGAATACATATTCGATATTCTTAAAGAGAGATAAAAGAGTCTTATAGATTTGAGATTGCAATTGAGAACTAAAAAGTAGTACGAATTTGCTTATATATAGATTACGGCTTACGTTATTCTTTATAATATTCTACTTAATCTCGATAATCTTTAAAGCGAAGAGAAAGGTTAAGAGAATATCGAGAAAGAAGAGAAGTATAATATTAAACTTCTTACTCTTATATCTTAATAGCGAGTTAGAGAATATAATAAGCGAGAGATAATAAAAGCTATGATACTCGGCAAAGTATAACTTTTTATTATTTCGTATTAATATATTAAAAGTACTATAATCTCGATAACTATATAACTAACCCCTCTAGCGAACTTATACTATTTAAAAGAGTATTATTTAAAGTATTTAAATTCTTTATAGCGACTTAAATAATAAAGAAATAAGCGTAATAGATTCTCGTAAAGAAAAAACGAAAATAGTTAGAATATAGATAGAGAGATAAGCGTAATTTTATATAATAACAAATTGATATCTTTAGCGGCGAGTGAAAAATATAATATTTTACACTATATTTCATCTAGTATATACACTTTTAGTGAAAAAATACACTTATTCTTGATAAAATACATACGATATTTTATTTCGATGTTTTTTTCGCACTTGCGAAGAAGATTTTCTTCTCCGTCACTATATCTTTCTTCGACTATACTTTAAATTATTTTATAAATATATTAAAAATAGTAGATTAGAAGAATATTAGTTTATTAAGTTAATATAGTATATATTTAAAGTAGAATATAGTATAAAATTATAGGTAATTATACGTAAGTAAGATATCGTTCGAACTTTTTATACTATCGCTCTCCTTATAATAAATAAAAATCACCTCTTATATTCTTATTAAAGCCGTTATTTAAAGACTTATAGTCGCTATATCCTCGCTATTAAAGCTATTTATTTTCCTTCTTCTTTAACTTTAATTAAATATATATTAGACTCTCGAATATTTGATTAATCTAAGTTTATAGATAAAGTATCTTAGTAATATAATAATATTTACGCTATTAATACTCCAACTAAAAACGCTATTTACGCTTCTTCTCATCTATTTTATATTACTATTAATATTCTTTAAACTCCTCTCTTAAGCGAGCGTTATTAATTCTTACTTCTTCGAGTATAACTTTCGCTATTATAGATTTTCCTTTAATTTTTTTCTAATTATCACATCTAGACGACTTAACTTTCTTCTTACTATTAGAGAGTTCTATAGCTACTCTCTTAAATTTACCTCGAATTTATATTTTCTCTTTAGAAGTCTTCTTAGAAGTCTCTTTAGAAGCTTCTTTAGACGGTGTAGAAGTCTTTTTTAGAGTTTTAACGAAGGGTTATTTAATGCTCTCTATAACGACTATTTTAGAGCGAATAACTAGAGAAATACTAATACTCGATTGCTTACTTGAAAGATCAAGAATTAAATTATTCACCTTCGAGTCTAATAAGAAATAGAGTCTATTAATTAAGGCCTTTACTATTTCGGCTTCTATTACTCTTCTAGTCTACGAGTAATTAAAATAGTTAAAGTCTAAATTCGATTTATTTATCTTATTCTCCTTCTTCTTAATCTCCTTCTTATTATTAATAGTAAGTTCTTCGAGATCTATATTATTAATAATCTAATTATTATAACGAGATAATCTAATAGATTTAATAAGAAATAAAGAATTTATAGTAGAATATTTACTAAAGAGGCTATCGTATTTATAGTACTATAAATAAATCTTTAGAATATACTCGTTTACGATATAATTAGTCTGATAAACCTTCTCTTTATAAATTTCAACGTCCGTTCCCCACTTAGAATAATTCACTATCGAATATATCTTCTTATATTTTCTAAGCATATGATCTATCTTATTAAGAACGATCTTTTTAATAGCTAAATTCTTATTAATCAACCTCGTTCCTTCGAGCATTTTTTAAGCTATATGTTACGAGCGTACCCTTGACACACCACTCAGCCCTATGGCTAGCGGGCCTTGGCGGAGGCATCTCCTACTATATCATGCCTCCTTCCCACATACATAGTTCGGTAGCCTTATTATCCTAGTTCTACCTCACCCATACTGGTATCGCACCTATGCTGGTCCTGACATTATAATAAGGCTCCTTCGTATACCCGGCGAAGAGAAATACAATCGGACTCACTCCATTCGAATTAGCGGACGAATTCAAAGAAATGCGCTGGCAGGGGCTTTGGCAAGAAACCAAGTTGAGCCATCGTATCCCTGGGTAAGCCCACCAGACGGGTAACTCGATTTCATAGCGAATCGGACTCGGCAAACAGTGGTCGAGAGATAAACAAGGCATTGGACCATTCGTACGACTAGCGAATCGAAAGAAATAGTCAACAACCCCACACACAGTGAGCCTGCTACAATGGCAGCAAACGTTCGACCTCTTCACTGAGCATGTCGACAACACACTCATAGTGAGCCTGCTACAATGGCGACGGGAACAGCCCCGAAACGGCTACGATTCGACCTCTTCACTGAGCATGTCGACAACACACATAGTGAAGCCTGCTACCAAATGGCATTCAACACATTCGATTCTTCCCTACCTCCCTACCAAACCCACGAATCAGCAAAGTTGAGACAAAGGATGGAATGGAGGATGGATTTTTGATGGCAAGAGTATGGGAGACTCAGGGCAAATTTACAGTGAAGCTCCCAGGCCAGGCTGCCAACTGGTGTTGAGGGGGTTTCATAACACATACATGCGTTGGATTTTCTTCAATTCTACCGAAAGACTGGACAAGGAGAAGAACTCGGAGAATCTTGCTGGCACGCAGGCAAGATATGGCCAATATCTCCAGGATCTCTGAAGGACAATGTGAGAACGCAGCAGGCGAATGCAGTCAAGACCAGCATGCGGCTCGGCAATACCTCGGACATCGTATTTTTGGACGAATTGAAACCATCCGATGTTCTTCAGAAAGCCGCCAGCTACCGCTACACCTCGGCAAATCTTCTCCAGTCAAGGCCTACAGGGACTATGGATGTTTGGAGACACAGGGCAAGCAATGGGCGTGCATCTCCGGTCTACCAGCCATGGGGGCCATGGCTATTTAAGAGGGGGGGGTAGTCATGACATTATAATAAGGCTCCTTCGTACCCCCCGGCGAAGAGAAACTCATACGGACAATGACTGGGTAACCAGTCACACTCGAGGATAGCAGAGTGACTAAACAGCTACCAAATATTTCACTTTCTGCTCGGAGCAAGCGACCGAGCCTGATAAAGAAAACGCTGGGTATTTCTACCATACAGAAACCCCACCATACATTCAAATCATCAAAAACCTACATTAAACAACTTACATCATCAACGGTAGCCCAATCCATCAAAAAACGAGTCCCCTACATCGAATACAAGAAATCCTTCTCCGCTCCACTCCGTTATTACCTACATTCAACATGAATTCCGACTCAAATCCACCTACATCAACACCAAGATACCTCCCTCCGCATCGCCGATCACCTACACACCACGGCAAGCCCTATCCTACATACGACGACCTACATAACAAACAAACACCCCCACACTCACAGTGAGCCTGCTACAATGGCAGCAAACGTACGACCTCTTTACTGAGCATGTCGACAACACCATAGTGAGCCTGCTACAACGGCGACGGGAACAGCCCCGAAACGACACATATCGACCTCTTCACTGAGCATGTCGACAACACACATAGTGAGCCTGCTACCAAATGGCATTCAACACATTCAATTCTTTCCCTACCTACCTACCAAACCTACGAATCAACAAAGACAAAGGATGGAATGGAGGATAGACTTGATGGCAAGAGCATGGGAGACACAGGGCAAATCTACAGTGAAGCTCCCAGGCCAGGCTGCCAACAGGTGTTGGAGGATATTATGCATGCGTTGGATTTTCTTCAATTCTACGGAAGGACTATGGCAAGAAGACTGGGCAAGGAGAAGAATTCGGAGAATCTTGCTGGTACGCAGGCAAGATGTGGCTATATCTCCAGGATCTCTGGAGGACAATGCAGGCATGGCACAGTCAAGACCAGCATGCGGCCCGGCAATACCACTACACCTAGCAAATCTTCTCCGGTCGAGGCCTACACGGACTATGGATGTTTGGAGACACAGGGCAAGCGATGGGCGTGCATCTCCGGTCTACCAGCCATGGGGGCCATGGCTATTGAGAGGGGGGGTAGTGTTACGAGCGTACCCTTGACACACCACTCAGCCCTATGGCTAGCGGGCCTTGGGGGAGGCATCTCCTACTATATCATGCCTCCTTCCCACATACATAGTTCGGTAGCCTTATTATCCTAGTTCTACCTCACCCATACTGGTATCGCACCTATGCTGGTCCTGACACTATATTGAAATAAGATTCGAATATCTAAGCGTTATAATTCACTAATTCTCCCTCCTTATCTCGCTCTATATACTATTCTACTATAAGATCTATATCTATTAATAGCTATTTAATAGCGATAATACGAGGTTTTTTAAGTTTAGCTTAAGAGGCTTAAGAGGTATTTACGATATTATTCTTTTTTAATAACATTACGAGATATAGAAAGTAGTTCTAAAAGAATATAGATATATAAGAGGTAGTAGAAAGAATATAGGCGTATAGAAGATAGTAGAAAGGATTTAGACGTATAGGAGATAGAAAGAATTTAGACGTGTAAGAGATAATAGGCCTACGAAATCTATTTAAAACGATCACGTGACTAGAGTATTATACCATCCATTTTTCATATATCCATTTATCCATAAAAAAGGTGCTCGAGGGCACCTTTTTTGTGGATCGAGTTTTCCGTGGATTCCTCGAACGTGGAACCATTTGCCACTCGATTTTGGTGGCGAATTGTTCACGGTCCGAGGAATCCGCGGAAACGGGAAGAAAAAAGTTACTCTGAAAACCCCTATTATAAACATCGAATATAGGGCGTTTAATATCGGGGTCTGGAGTATCGGGCTTGAAGATATCCATTTGCGTCTCGATAATACGTATAGAATTGATGCCTTCGAGAGTAGTTTAAGGAAGATTTTGAAGTGTCGCAGGCTGAGGTTGAGATTATAATGCGATATCTGTATCGCACGAAGGTAATCGACGTTGTCATCGACTTTAAGCTTTTCTCTAAGATCGTAGCTGATTTTGAGAGTGTAATTGTGAGAGAGCGCGCTCGGTATTTTGTTTTTGATGATTCTTTTGATGCCGATTTGCAGTATATCGAGCTGCAGAGGATGCGAGGCCAAAGTCAAGAATTGATTGAGACATGTTAGGGATAGAGACAGAGAGAAATAGAGAAAATCAGAGAAGAATTTGATATTCTTAGCCAAGACCTACTAAATTCTTAGTTACTTCCTAATAAGATAAGAGTTTCCCAGAACAGTCTCACAGCGAGGCTTGGCACAGAAGTGATTTTATTCTCGAGCCAGGGAGAAAGCAAGCTTTCCAAATATGTGCTGGGGCGCGGGCTTCCCAGTAGTGAAAAGCTTGCCGAGTACTGGTTTTTGACTATATTTGATTCTCAGGGAGACCCCCTAAAACCCCTCGGACCCTTCGGGGGCTCTTTAAGGGCTCTCCGAGAGCTTGTATCGGAGGGGCTGTCAAAGCAAGCTCGAAATTTGATTGTTTTAGTGATATTTGATTGATTTCGAGCTTGCTTTGACAGCCCCTCCGATACAAGCTCTCGGAGAGCCCTTAAAGAGCTCCGAAGGGCTTAAGGGTTTTTAAGGGGTCTAACCCTGAGAATCGAGAGAGATAGGTATGATATTTTATTTGATATACTCAGGGGGAGACCCCCTGAAACCCCAACCCCTCGGGGGCTCTCCGAGGGCTCTCCGAGGGCTCCTGCCGGAGAGGCTCTTCTCGCAAGCTCGATAATTCACTAGTTTTTAGTATATCTTTACGAATACCTTATCAAATTTCGTCTACGCTACGTTATCTAAAAGCGTATAAGTAATTCTATAACTCTACGTACTTAGTTTATTATCATATTTTTGATAAAAGAAAAGGAATCAAAAAAGGTGGATTTGAAGATTTTGAAGTTCTTTTCCAGCTTCCTCTTTTGGACGTACCCGTGTGTACCCGCGTTTAGATCGAAAATGGAGAAATAAGGTGTATTTTAGACTGAAAATGGTGAAATCCGATGATCTGATTGGTCACTAGCCTCTTAGCGTAGAAGCCATTTGGGATTTCAACTCTTGAGCATTGAGAAAGCAAGCTTTCCAATTAGTATGGGTTGCCATAAACACTGAAACCATGAAGATACTCGCAGTCTGCGTCTACTAAACCAACCCTGCTGCAGCAGGTTGGGAGCACTTCGCTCAAAACAACGCGTCTCATCATTGATGCCTCGACCGTTAATCCTGAAACATGCTTGCAGCAGATCAAAGGCAATCCGCTTAAACAATCTGTCTTCTGCAATTGCTACTCAAATCTTCAATGACCAGCCATGAGAGGAGCAGCAGCAATCCAAAGCATCTGAGATGGAAACTATCTGGTTCATCTTTATTCTCGTACATCAGCTGCAGCTGTCGCCTCCCTTGCCTATGAGTTGCAATGCACCTGGGATGAAGTGTTGTCTCAAGCAGGACATATCCCGTAATAGTAATAATACCTTCTACGCTGCTTCTAGTTCGTCAAATGTCTACACTTCTCCAAATCTCTGTGTAAGGCTATCCGTTGTGTTTCTCGCTTCAACAAAAGCTCCGAGGAATATCTCGCATCCAGGAAACGTCTGTAACACGAGCATAGGCTTTTACACGAGCACAGGCTTTTACACGAGCACAGGCTTTTATCTTACAATACAACCTTTTGGAACAGCCTATGCCACGTTGAATGGTTGGCAGACGCTATGCCTCCCTAACCTACGCCTCCATCAACACCTCCCACAGTCTCCCCCCTTCCCGATAGCCATGCCCAATAACATTGACCAACCAAACATCCTTCCCTATCCGCCTCAAAAAGCCTCTACTCTGCCTCGCCTTCTCCACCCTACCCCTCCTTGCCGCTTCACCCACACACCTCCCCCATTCTCCCCAAATTCCAAATGCCTCTTCCACCCACGCCCTGAAGCTAACCTCCTCCACCATCGTCGCGGTTGCAATCTCCTTGCCTGCAAAGCTGCCCCACGTGACGGCGTGCACCGCGTCGCTGCTCTCACTACTTTGGAATTCACCTGCGGCATTGCCAGCGTAGTAGCTTATTTCGCCTTCCTTCCGGAGGCGATCAAGGTGTGGTCGGAGTGTGGTGTGGAAGGTAGAAGCGGGGACGAAGAACTCGACGAAGGCCTTTTGGAAGACGAAACCGCCTGGTGGGCCCCAGCCATGAATGGAGTGAGTAGAGGGCAGACCATCGACGGCGGGCTGGGAGGCTATGGTCCAGTAGCCCTTCAGCCGGGTCAATTGGGTGAGTTCAGAAGTGATCAGAGCCGTCTCGGGGGAGAGAGTTGCGGATTCGGACCAGGGGAGCTGTTTTGGGGTTTGGCCTGCGAGGTGGGATATGAAAAGATGCGTGATTTCTTCGGGAGTGGTTGGTGTGCTCCAGAGGGAAAGAGCTTGGGCCGGGGAAATTGTCAGAGACGTTGGGGAGTAGGTCAAGGGTGGGTTGAAGGCGGGAGAGCGCGCATCACCGAAGCGCCCGTTAGGGAAGTCATCCCAGGTAGCTTCACGCGACAAAGGGTTGCTGTTTGGTGGTATGAATCTGGCTGGGGAGGAGGAGCGGTGGGAGTTAGTGGTTAGCTGGGCAGCCGCAGAGGACGAAGTGGAAGAGAGGGCGCGGTGGTGGGCGGCATTGCCGTTGAAGAGAATGGATACGTCGTCGATTGCGGAGACGTTATTGTCATCAGGATCTGGTGGAATAAGATTGCAGCGATCCAGTAGCGAGCTGACGGCTTTCTCCAGGTTCAGAGTGTAGAAGTGGAATCCTCTCGGTCCTTTAGCTTTCACCTCTCTGATGCTTTCGACGACATCATGGATAGCTTCTACGCCTACTTGCTTCACAGCCTCGTCATCACCTTTGACGCCTTGTAGCTTGTGAAGCAATTCCAAAGGTACCTTTGCATGAGCAAGCTTCGTCGTCCTCATCAAGATCTCGTAGCTTTGTAACGGCATCAGTCCTGGGATAATTGGTATTTGGGCAAAAATTCCTGATTCATGCTCCCTCAGCATTTTCTCGTATTTCGAGTATGCTTCAACGTCGTAAAACAATTGTGTCATGATGAAGTCCGCTCCTGCTTTCGTTTTGTCTATTAGATATGGCAAATCGTGTAATGGGTCCTGATCCGTAGGATGCGACTGATCCGCATGGCCTTCCGGATATCCTGCAACACCTATACAGAAGTAGTCGCCGTGAACACGCCGTATGTACCTGACCAGGTCGATTGCCCATGTAAAGTCCTCGTTGCTATCATCTTCATCTTTGCCATTTTCCGCCTCATCCTCAAGCCTGTACTCTTCCTCCCTGGGTGGATCCCCTCTCAGAGCTAGTATATTCCGTACACCAAGTACTTTCGCCTCTTCCAGTGCTTCATCTACCACTTTGCGTTTCATGTTCGTGCATGTAAGATGTAGGCACGTTGTAAGGCCTAGCTGGCGTTGACATATCTCTGCAAGCTCGAGGGATCTCGAAGAGGTACAACCGCCGGCACCCCATGTTACTGTGACGAATAGAGGTCGCAGAGCACTGGACATGCGCTCCAGGCGGGTTTGTAGATTGGAAAAGCCCTGCTCTAGCTTAGTAAGATGGCAGAAGAAACAGATTAGAGCGGACTACTATTTGAGTCTTTGGAGGGAAGAATTCAAGGGAAAAGTAGTTGGCATCATTTGACAGAGCAGCAATCTTGTCCGTGATCTTCTCCATGTTGACGACGAGAGGTATCAAGGTCTTCCTCTTGTGAGGTCGGTAATGGACACGACTGGGTTGTAGATCATGATATGAGGGTGGACTTGAATGTCGCTGTCACTAGAAGGTAGCAATTTGAGTAAGGGGATCTAGCGGATGGAGGAGATGCTTTGGAAAGAGGATTTAGATATGTCTGCCAGGTGTCATTGTCGACATGGCGGTTCACGTTGGGACGTTCAGTCGGCTGTGCGCGGGCAAATCTTGAATTGCGGAGAGGCATTGAACCTCCTCCTGCCATACTATCCTACGCCTGGTGGTCTAGTGGTTTTGAGAATCCATATCTTGCAATGTCTTAGGCAAGAGAACCATGAACATCTCGCTATCGAGATAGAAGCGCTCCTTGCTTGACTATTAATTACCGATATAATTTCATGACGCCAACTTAGATATTTTCAACCATGCTATCGACGCTTCGTGTCATGTACAGACGCCTCTACCTGCATCTTCGTACGAGATGTGCAAATTCCTAAACACCGAATGTATAGATGAAAGGTAATTTTTCGTTTTCCCACGTCCACTCAAACAGCCTCCCATTCTCCAAATACGCACCATCTTGCACTTCGATCGGCCAGCACTAGTCCTCGCCATGTCCCCCTTTCTCCAATCTTGATGATTGTCTCCCATACGCCTCCATCTGCCGCCTCATCCATGCTGACGCTGTTGTCACTTTTCTTCATGAGTCTTAGTATCTTTCCACTTGGTGCTTGTATCGCGAGTTTCGCGGGCTTCTGCTGCTGGCTGCTGTTACTGGAATTGGAGCCAGCTTGGGAGAAGTAGTCGTTCGCCGATGTTGCAGTCGAGATCATACTCATTGCTGATGAAGGACGAGCGAAGGGGTTCGGAGAAGCAGATCGTGCTTCGGGTGAGTTGCAGCTTAAGAAAGACGGATGCTGGCGCACGGCGAAAACAAAGGTGTTATTGATCGCTAGACGTGCGCATTGAGGTTGGGCCACGTACAAATCATGGCGTTGAGCATGAGGCGTAGGATGGCGAAGAAGGAAGTCATAAAGCGGATTATTGCCTGTGTGGACGATGGGCAAGGAAAAGGCCAGAGCATGAGGATTGTCTTTGATAGAATGCATGAGGCCTCGCTTGCCAGCATAGACTTTCAGTGTACCATGGCCAACGTCACCAGGTAACAGGGCTTTCACGGTGTAACGTTTCTGACCCTTCACCCATTCTGCTTGGGCAAGTGCGCGATTAGTGGTCGTGTCGCCACTTTCGAAAACATCACCATCGGCGTCACGAGCATAGGAACTGGACTCTACCTCCGCGATACACTCAATGTCTGCTGGGACTGCAAATTGAATATGGACAAGCTCCAGATTTTCAATTCGAAGGAGGCTCGTATCATAGTCAATCATTTGGACGTTATTTCGAAAGTACGGTGGGCAGGCACAGGGTAGAGCAAGAAGGACATCTGGAGCGATTGGTGGACATATGTGCTGCTGTTCGAAGTTCGATGGTATATGCGTGTAGCAAATCTCCATTGGTCTCGCGAGAAAAAATCCGTTTTCGGCGATCTGAGACCCGGTGCTTGAGTATCGACCGCGCTTGGGATTTGTTGGGCTCGCCAGCGAACAGTCCATTATCCTCCAGCAATCATCCACGATCACAGCATTCCACCAATGATTTGGCCTGGGATTGCTGTCACATTCGACAATCTCGCCTGGTGACTTGAGGTAGCCCCTCACAATTTCTGCGTGTAAGCCCACCGACAAGCACATTTCTGAGACTAGCACTGCAACCTCCTCCGAACAGCCTCTTCTCATTTGGATCACACGTTTTGAGTCGACTTCTCCTTCGAAGTCTTCCTCCCAAGCAACCTTCTCGCTGACCCAGGTAAAGATGGCCCTCAACCTCTGCACATCGCTTCGGTACGGTCGACATACGTAGCCTTGAGCTAAACTTGCCGGATTGGTCATTGGCGGTAGACTGTTCACGAATCGAGCACTCTTATCGACAAGTTGAAGGTTCACAGCTTGAAAGTCCGTGGGATGTTGAATGGGCATCCCGTCGGCTCCTTCGTCCCCTTCAGCAGCTTCCAAGAGAGAATCTACAGGTGCGACTACGGGATAGTTCATCATCTGACATCTCTCGATCCGCTCGTTCCTTTCGTTTCGACTCAGCGAATTTGATCGATTCACGTCTCGTCGAACTTGGACCCAGTCAATTTCAGTTTTACCACCGCCCAGGCCCATGTCTCTAGCCGCACTGCCTCCCGCGATGGCTGTGACTCCATGAGGTAGCAGGTTCTTAATAGGAGAGCGTGGAGTGTCGGCCTGGCCAGCAGCAATACTGCTCCTCGCACTAGCTGCACCAGTCTTCGCAGACTCAACAAGCTTCTTGAAGAAACCACTCTTTTTCGATTTCGGAGTTGTCAAGCCACCAAAGATGCCGCTAGAGTCTACTACACTTCCTGAGTAATTCATCCCTGCGCTGGAACCTGGTCTGGACTGATTGCTTGAGTAGTGGCTAGGGGTCTGAGGTCTCGTGGCGCTCCCTCCGCCATTCAGACCCAGGAGAGCATCCTGTCGATTATCGACCACGCTAAGCGGTTTACTTTTACTGATGCTGCCCCATTTGCGTCGTGCTAAGCTGCCCGCGCTTGTAGCACTGAAGCCTCCTGCAGAGTACCCACTCATGATGCTTTGGCTCGTTCTCTGAGTGCTGGTTGTACCATTCGTTGCAACGCTCTGAACACCACTCGAAGAGTTTGTTGCGCTTGACTTTGTTGTGAAAGTACGGTCCAACATACTCCGTCCAAGTTCATAGGCCGATTTCCGGTTCTTTAACCGATGACTAGACTTGATGCTGCCAGACACGTATTCTCTCATCCCTTGTGACGACTGTGTCCGAGGCTGATATGGAGAATTTTTGGGGGGTGGAGCCGGCGGTGGACCCATGGGATCATCCGGGAGGAAGAGCTCGTCAGGTGGGCGAGGGCTGGTAGCCCCTATATTGCGCAAGCGATCTTCCATGCGTTCAACGTAGTCGTGTACCTGCGGTGGGCCTTCATCATAATTACAAATACCATACCCATCGTCATTCTGGTACTGTTCTGTTCCTCTTTGCGAAGAGGCAATTCCCAATGATGAACGTGGCCGATGATGATTCCGCGTATTTGAACTAGTCCGAAGCTCATCGAAAGCCTCGGGTGACCATGGATCAAGGGGGGCTTGTTCTTGCTCAGGTGAAGGAGAAGACTCAGTTCGCCGCATTGCCATGTCATGTAGCGAAGACATCACATCGTCCATAGCATCCCGCAGAGGCGATGGCGTATGTCCATGGACACCAGGCGAAGGTGGTGCTGGAGAAGGACCTCTCGACACAGTAGGATATCGATCGTTCATGGATGGTGTTGGAGATGGAGAAGCTCGAGGAGGTGGTGCATTATATGCAACACGATGTGGTGGAGGTGGAGGAGGTGGTGGGGATGGACTGAATTCGTCGTCGTGGTCTTGGGAATCAGGTTCAGGTGAATGCTGATAATGTGCAGAAGCAGCTGGAGATTTGTCGTCGCTGCTTTGTACGTTTGTGATGGTCCTTCGAAAAGGAAATCAAGTTCGCAAGACCAGTTACAGAGCAGCGTGAGAATTCTGAAAGCACGGTGAGTTAGTTTGATTGAAAATGACGCCAATTCCTACGGTTCGCCAGGAGATTCTGCTTTGGCAGGAGGGCATCTTGAATATCCTCAAAAGGGAATTGAGTATGTAAAAGTCGAAGCGTAGTGTCCAGAAGTCAAAGTGACCCTGGTATGGTTCCCAAAATATAGAGATCTGACCTTCTGGTCAGAGACTTAGAGAGTCTTGTTTAGAAGTGGATGCAAGACTATGTAAGACCAACCCACAAAGACATGCTCGCTCTATGACGTCGAAATTGAAGCAATCTTAATCGTCAGCGGCAATCCTTTCTGGGTATGATAGGTACATTTTACCTGACTTCGAAGGAATTCGTCCCAGCAGACTGCAATCTTCCCTGACCGCTTCTTTTCTGTAGGGAATGAACGATGTGATAAAACCTCCATATCGCTATCTCATCGACTGCCACGATTTTGATGACAGCCTCTTCTAACAGGTTGTGATATGTCCTCGGAGCTGGTAAATTACACGACATAGGTAGCTAAAATATGATGTAGCTGGTTGAAAGTTGCGGCTGTCCTCGGGCAGGACAAATTCGAGACCTTCGCTGCCTTGACGTATGGCTCTTCACATCTATGCAAGACACTCTCGAAATTGTTTGAAGGTGGATTTGAGTAGCAAGTTGCCGACTGATCCACTCGGCATTTCTATAGTAGCCCATATACTAGGCAAGCATCATATTGCAGGTTACTGTATGCATAGTTGCAGATTGTTTGCAGAATGGCCGAACAGATCTCCACGCCAACGCCAATCCTCTACCAGAACCCGACTAAGACTGTGACTCTACTTGACATCCCTACGTCCATCGCCCATGCCCAAGGCACCGTCGACCACCCATGCAACGATCAAATCTACGCGTCGCCTCCTCTACAAACGCCATACCCATCCACAGAGCCCAAGACTGAGAAGGCGAAAGCCAATGTGCTTCGGACGAAAACCCCTTCTGATATTGATGTAGGATTTCCAGACGCCTTGCTGCAGCAGGCACTCAGAGAGGTGGCCGAGCATTGGCCTTTAGAAGAAGATTGGTCTCTACCACGGAAGATAACATCTCTCGTATCTGAGAGGCAAAGCAGGAAACGCAAGGCCGATGATGATATTGACCAAGTGTTTTCAACCAAAAGAGAGTCGGTCCACGCTTCGACTGCTGTGTTGCCGGCTTCGAAATTAGAAATCGAGAACGGAATTGACCCCTTTCCTTCGAGAACAGAGCCAGACTTCAAATTTCCAGACTCAGAAATCAGTGTTCGAAGCATCGAAGAGCCGTTGATCTTATCTTCAGAGTCCACACCAAAAGCCTACACCTGCTCTAACATACGGATCTTCACCAACAGGCTCGTCCGTAACCCATATCCGACCCCATTATCCCTGCAGTGTTCAGGAGTCAAATACAAGACACCCCCCAACGCAAATTTCCTGCTGTCTAAGATTGGCCAACCAACGGCCCATGCCTTCAGCATGGCAGCTCTGACACTGTACCCTACATCTAGCGCCACCGCTGGGCCCGGGCAATTCGACTTCGTTCTGCTGGATCCCCCTTGGGAAAATCGCTCAGTGCGGAGATCAGCTAGGTACCATACCATGCATGACTCGGATCCAATGGTTGTGCTTCAGGCGATGTTGGGCCAGCATATAGCTCCTGGCGCGCTAGTGGGGTGCTGGATAACTAACAAGGCAAGTGTCCGAGATACTGCATTAGATGCCTTCCAGACTTGGGACGTGCAGCTCATCGAAGAGTGGGCGTGGTTGAAGACAACGGTGGGTGGACTTCCAATAACTCAGATTGATGGGCTCTGGCGGAAGCCCTACGAAGTACTGCTACTTGGCAGGAAGGGTAGCGATGAGGCTCAGAGTCCTGATAGTGACGTTCGAAGGAGAGTTGTTGTGGCAGTCCCGGACTTGCACTCCAGAAAACCGCATCTCAAAACTTTGATAGAGCCATTCATACCAGCATCTTATCGTGCTTTGGAGGTCTTCGCTAGGAACTTGACAGCGGAATGGTGGTCATGGGGCGATGAGGTTCTCAAATACAACTGGGATGGTCACTGGTATACGCACAAAGGAAGCACCCAGATTTATGATTGATTTGCAGCTTTTGACTTGCCAGCAGAAACCAGGGTCTTACGCACACCCCATTCGCAGTCGTCGGCACCTGCCCTTGTAATTATCCTGGCGTTTTGCGTGGGTAAGCCTTCCAGGCGATCGACACGAGTTCGCGAAGCAACTTCACTGAAATATCCTCGAATTGTACCTTGCTCAACAATGCGGTCATTGAGGATACCAGACATTGTGCCCTCCCCGCAAGTTTCAAGCATCACTAGAGGCGCCCGTTACGCTTGATTCTAGATTGGTAAAATCAACTCAACCGGATTTCAAGCTCTGGAAGATCTGATGATCCCCTGGTGAGTACAGAGAACGGCGATGAAATCCTCTAAATTGATTGAAAGTTGATGGTTGACATTTTCAATCAATTTGAGATTGCAGTAGATGACAAGTCAGAGTAAGAAAGCTCTTCATGCATTGAGCTTTGACCAATCTCCTGATCTGCTGACAACCCGTCTTGAGCCTTAGAGATCCTATCCTCTTTTCTTTCATGTCTTCGAACCATCTTTCCCCACAGATCCTCCAGATCCAGCTCTTCTCGCTTTTCTTCAGTGAGCATCTGAACGACCAGCTTAGCACCCTCAGCCTCACTGCCAAACCCCACATATCCATGCTGCTCTGTGAACTCCTCCGTGGAAGCTTTCCCATCCTCGATGGTGCCAACATTGACACATATCCAACCAGTCCGTAGCCCGTCGTCCGTAGTAGAGGTTTCTGATGATCCAACACTGCTTAAAAGTCTGGCTCGGCGTACTTTTCTTCTCATCTTGAGCTTCAGTTCTCCCCTGCCCATTAGACCGTCCGCGTGCGGAGTAAGTTTGTAGGTTATCTTCAGCCATCTGCAAAATCTGTCTGCCGAGACGTGTAGATGTTTTTCGCTGCGAGCAGTGCCCAAAACCATAATCAAGTTTGCGCCTAACGCAGGCGGTGGATCGATCTTACGCAGATCAAAGATTGTGAGATCATCAAGGCCTAGATCAATGGAAACATGTTCGAGCAATGGCTTGAGAAGTGGTGGAGGATCAGACGGTAGCTCGGGCATTCGTTGACGCTCTAGCAGCGGATTTGAAGCTCGTTCAGGTTTCTCAACTTGAAGGTACCATGGGGTCGCTGACGTCGGGTTTTCGGGTATCTCGTTTGACTCAGCGTATCGCTCCGCCTCAAGGCTCGTCTCTTCGCCTGGAGGCAACTGCTCTTGTCGTTGCTGCTGGACAAGATCAGACGTCCGTACTGGAGAAGTAGAAAAGTATTGCTTTTTAGTGTTGTCTACGGGCTTGATCCTAGTCTTTGTCGCTCGCGTAGCTGGTCGAACAGAGAGACCGGCGTGGGAAGCGACGGCATTTAGGAGAGCAACGCGACAATTGCTACACCTTAGAAGTGACGGAACTGCTTTTCGGATAACCATCACGGACTCCCTCGTCCTCGTAGGGTCATTTGTCAGCCAGCGAAACCGGTTGTCAACATTGCATTTCGAAGTTTCGAAGTTCTATTTTGGAACGATTCTGATAGGGCTGACAAATCCCTGTATGACGCACTGGCCAGACCTGAGATCTCTCTCTCCACACCACGTACTTCCAAAAAAGTTCACTACTCCAGCTCTGTGGGTTCTAACCGCATTTTCGAAGGAATAAAATACTGTATCTACATTCTAGGACCTTTGTGTATCAAAACAGTCCGGCTTCACCATGTCTATGGACATCGATGCGCCAGTGGCGCTGCCTTCCAGACCTTTGATCCCACAAGACAGCGCAACGTAGTGACTTTCTGCTCCACCGGAAGAAAAATATGCTGACAGTCTTCTAGCATTCTCTGCTGCAACTGTGGTGCACCCATAGATGGCACTTCTGCCGCTGGAGCACTCTGCTACGATTGTGTCAAGCTCACCGTTGACATCTCCGAAGGCATACAAAGAGAGGCAACCCTACATATCTGCAGAGAGTGAGTGTCGTCCTAGGTTGCGTATATACGTAAGGAAGTTCTGACTCTGTCGGCTATTTTAGTTGTGAGCGATGGCTGCAACCACCTGCACATTGGATCACTGCTTCACCTGAATCAAGGGAATTGCTAGCATTATGTCTTCGGAAATTGAGAGGCCTTTCGAAGGTCAGGATCATCGATGCCAGCTTTATCTGGACGGAGCCCCATTCGAGGCGAATCAAAGTGAAAATCACTATTCAGCAGGAAGCGTTTCAAGGGACCATTCTCCAGCAAACCTTCGAGGTCGAATACGTCGTTGCATACCACCAGTGTCCAGATTGTGCAAAGAGCTTTACAGCCAACACATGGCGAGCCGTCGTACAAGTGCGCCAAAAGGTCCCTCACAAACGAACTTTCCTCTACCTCGAACAGCTCATCCTGAAACATTCCGCTCATAAAGAAACAATCAACATGTAAGCTCAACCGCCTCGTCTAAATTGCTTCAAGATTCATGGCTGATGTGTCTACAGCAAGGAAGTCAAGGACGGTCTAGACTTCTTCTACGCCCAAAGAAATCATGCCGAGAAATTTGTTGACTTCTTGACATCTGTTGCCCCTGTTAGATCCAAGAAGTCTCAAGAGCTTATCTCCGTGGATATCCATACCTCTACGAAATCCTACAAATTTTCATTTTCTGTCGAGCTCGTCCCGATATGTAAGGATGATCTGGTAGCTTTACCCATCAAGCTCGCCAAACAAATCGGAAACATTGCTCCCCTAACCATCTGCTACCGTGTTGGCACATCTGTCAATCTTCTAGATCCAAACACTCTCCAGACAGCCGACGTCTCTACACCCATCTATTGGCGATCTCCATTTACCTCTTTGGCAGATGTTCAAGAACTCGTCGAGTTTGTCGTGATGGATATTGAACCTATTGGTCCTCAGAAGGGCCGCTTTCTTCTTGCCGAAGCCACCGTAGCACGATCATCAGATCTCGGCAGCAATGACGTTACATACTTCACCCGCACACATCTTGGCGCAGTCCTCCACCCGGGCGACTCGGTCATGGGCTACCACCTTAGCGGCACAAATTTTAACAACCCCAATTTCGAAGCGTTAGAGCAGAGCAATGCCTACTCATCCAGCATACCTGATGTCATACTAGTCAAGAAATCCTACGCCCGCAAGAAGAAGAACAAGTCACGCAACTGGCGACTAAAGCGCATGAACAAAGATGAGGGCGAGATGTTACCGAAGAAGCAGGATCAAGATAGGATTGAACGAGACTTCGAAATGTTTCTGCGAGATGTGGAGGAGGATACCGACTTGCGGAGTACACTTGCACTGTACAAAGCTCAGCAGGAGAAGAAGGAGAAGGACCGCATGGAGGGATTGGAGACGGCGAGCGTTGTTGAGACGGAAGAAACAGAAGACGGGGAAGAAGTGCCGAAGATCGATATGGAGGAGCTGCTTGACGATTTCAACGAGCTGGACGTTCACGATGAGGTTTGAGGTTTACATTTATAGAAGCAAGCCAGCAGCCTGGCTTTTGCGGAGTAGCCGAGCCTGTAGCATGCAGAGCTATGAGAGCCATTACCACTCAACAATCAATGTGCATCTTCTACCCTTCCGCTTTTCTTGTCCTCCAGGACCAGCAATGCAATCGTCCTCTGACCCCACCACCCACAACCTCACAGCCGCCTTCCTCTTCCTCCGCACTGCCTCCACCGCCGTCACCAATCTCACCACCCAAACCGAATCCACAAAAGCCTACATCCAGTACGACTCACAAAACGGATATTATAGCGAGCACATGGGTCATGAAGCCCAGCTCGAAACGGAACTGCAAGATCTCAAGATGTGGGAAGCCAGGCTTGTGGAAGCGGGGGTGGGGTTTGTCAACTGGGCTGCGAAGGTGAGGACGGGGAGGTGGCTGCCGGGGGAGATATTGGCGATGATTGGTGAGAGTTTGCGAGAGAAGGACTTGGTACTGTCGGAGATTTGGTAGGATGTCAGATGTCGCTCCACTCAGGGAGCTCGAAGAATACGAAAAAAGCCAAAGCTTCTGCATCGTCCGTCTCAAAATATCCTACTCAAGACCCTCCTAGTCTCATCCGACTGCTCCACCCCCTTCTCCTCTCTCCCCTTAACCTCATTCTGCCTAAATCTCCTCTCAAACCCACTCGTCTTCTCCCTCTCCTTCGCTAACCCCGTCTCCTCCCCACCCCCTTCCCTCTCCGCCCTCCTCTCCCTCTTCATCCTCCTCGTATCCTCCACCCTCCCCCTCTCCAAATTCCTCAAAAACTCCGCCCTCTCCCTCCCCTCCCTCCCCACCCCAACTCTAACCCTCTCCTCCCTCTCCCTCTCCTCCCCTCTCACCCCCGCCATCAAATCCCCCCCATCCAAACCCCTTCAGATACTTCGCGTTCCACACATCATCCCGATACCAGCCCCCCTTCTTCCCGCCCACAATCTGCCCGTTGATCGCCTCGACGCAGACCTTGGCGTCCCGTTTCCGGGAGAACTCGACCCAGCCGTCGACGTAGCTGTGTTTTTTGTTGCCGCCGGCTTTGCGGCGCGAGAGGTAGTTGGAGGGGGCTTCGGGGGTGAGGAAGAGGCGGGTTACGGTGCCGTGGGCTGAGAGGAGGGTGCGGACGGTGGAGGGTCGCATGAAAGGGGGGATGCGGGAGAGGTAGATGACGCCTGCTTTGTGGGCACGTTGGTTTGCGGCTGCAACGGCTGAGGTTGTGAGGGGTTTCCGCTTTTCGGGGAACTCGGTAGGAGGGTCCGTGGAGATTGGTTCTGTAGGCTTTGTAGTTGATGCGGCGGAGGATCGTGACGGCTTTTTTGGGAATGCAGGGCTAGTGGTTGGGGCGGCATCGTCTTGAGTATCATTGTCGGTCTCTCCGTCGGAATCGGAGTGCTCGACGGTGAGCTTCTGCCTTTTGGATTGATGGCTGGCTAATCCTGCTGTCCTGCTGTCTGCGGCAGCTTCAGAAGAACTGCTAACGTTCTCGTCGTCCTCGCTCAGATTTGTGTCGAGAAACTCATTGTGCTTGCGAACCGCCATGTCTTTTTCAGACGGGGTCGAAAATCGCTTGTCGTCGAAGATGTAAAGAAGAAATGTTCTCAACGGGAATCCGGGGTTAAAGCAAGCGAACGGAGTTTAGGGCTTCGGAAAGGAAGGCTTGGCGCTACACGCTATGAGAGATGTGCTAGCTAGCAGGTGTGAAGCGACAGCGAGAATGAACCAACTTGTATACGAAAGATCTAGAAACGTATACTCGCGTCTCGACCATATTGGAAGAACAGTCGCCCAAATAATATCAGATGATGTACGGGGAAACCTCAGGGTATTATGGAAGCCCCAGGGTGACCCTATAGCATAGGGAAGGCGTAAGGTATGGGGAGAATGTAGGAGTAAGGCATGGAGAAAGCCTAGGGAACGGGGACGCGGCAGGATACGCGCAGATCGCATGGTAGGAGGAACTCGTAGGTACCGCTTTCTACCATGTTGTATCTTCCATTTGTCTTGAGTACCAGGGATGCACCCATCTTACTGAACCGTCGATGACGACTACCTAGATTTTGCTGATCATCTTCTAAACGACTGAAGGAACTCGAAACGAAATCCACATTTTGCCAATTTGATCTTTTAAATCTTCGCACAGTATAAATCTATTCACCTAGTATCTAGCTAGACCTACTCAGGCAGAGCCACCAGTTGTAGGCTCGAGGATCGGGTTTGGGGCTGACTTAGTGCTAGAACCACCAGACTTCTGATCGCCTGCTGTAGCTGCTTATTCACCATCTTATGTCCTCTTGATTCTCCTTCGCCCATTCCTGAGCCTTGGGCTGCGCTGCTGCTGCATCAGCAGACGCCTTATCAGCCCAAGAGATCCTCTTTGTCGAACGAGAATTAGAGCGAGAGCCACGGAGAGGAGGGAGGGCCAGGATTGGGGGGAGAGGAGGCTCTGAAGCCTTCTGACGACGAGTTTGAGGTTTTGGACCCTTTTCTACACCCGCGTATCTCTATCAAAAGCTTCGTATAGCTTCAATTGTTGATCTAGGTGATTTAGAATTGATTCCAGTCGATTGCAATACTTGCCACATACGTCTCCATACAAACCAAACGTAGGCCGGTAATATCGTCAATGCCAGAGAACGGACTGAGGGTTGCATACGCTAAATCAAGCCGCTGAAATTGCGATGAGTTCCAACTCACAAAAGATGTAGAATGCTTACGTTAATCCAAACAACGGCTCCGTGTACATATGCAAGATCTTCAGGTCTTAGTGGGCTGTGCTGAGTAGCATCGTTCGCAATTACAGGTGGCTGAAGCTAAAGGGTAGGGTTATGGTATTGTTTCCCACCCCCAGCTGAGCCTAAGCCTCAGCCTGATCATGAATATCAGAAACCCGTCTAGCCTCAGTCTTCCTTTTTGTTCCCCTGTTCCCGCTCTTCACTCTTCGTTTCTGTGTCTGAAGGAGCTACATACTCCAAAAATGTGAACACTTCTTATCCGATGAAGTCTTATCATTTTCCATCTACCCTCGACCCAGCTCTTGCGGCTAAGCTTAGTTGGGAGACCATACGTGAGGGGTCAAAGAATGCAGTGGATCCTGAAAGCGATGTCGGACCCCTGATCGAGCCTCCCATCAAGAAATACATGCAAGATTCCAAGCCGTCACCTAATAAGACAGCAAGGATATCCTGTCTTCGCTGGTGGCTACCCGAGATATTTGCCTCGTTACTTTCTGTGACCTCCTTGGCCTCTCTAGCCATCTTCGTGCGTCAGTATCATGGTAGAAGCCTGCAAGAACTCAAAGTCGATTTACCTAGTTGGCTCACACTCAATACCCTCATCGCTACACTTTCGGCACTTACTAGAGTTGCACTCATGGTTCCCATTGAGTCCGCTATGAGCCAGAAAGTATGGCTTTGGCTATCTGAAAGCAGGAGTGCTTCAAAGCGCCGTGGTCAGCTGCGTGATCTGGAATTATCGGATGCAGCCTCGCGTGGCTCTTGGGGAAGCTTACTTTTGCTTTTAAAAGCCGAAAAAAGGCGCTTGCGAAGGTTGGGATGAAAGGCAGAGGCTTACGCTTATTAACAATAGATGGCTCGCATACGCAGGTGCATTTGTAACAATCGTAGCACTGGCTTTTGGCACCTTCACCCAACAGCAGATTGCTTTCGAACCCTTCATGGTCACCAACGAAATGTCGTTACTGTCAACATGACCAGCTCGGCCTACACTCTGGATGAGGTCAGTACGCAGGGTTCGAACTTCGAAGTAGGTAAAGCCTCCACGGGATGATTGGGCTAAGTTACCTACAGGAAGGACGGACTTACATCCGTGGAACGCATACGCTCGAACTAAGGCCGCCTGCACCTTATTCGCAGTTGCTGTTGTAGATAATCTTGGCACAAAGGGCGTGACCAGCTTCGCAGTCGATCCGAGCAGTAAGTTCTGAATGGGAGCCTTCGATGTCCTTCCCACTGCAGTACTGACTTATCGGCGTCTCCAGTGGTGGAAGGGACCGAGTCTGATGGTGAGCTCAGGAATTGACAGTGAGCTCATGAAGCAAGGCATGGACCAGGCTGTTGCGCGCAATGGTGGTGAGAAGTACCATTGCTGATGCTGCTACATACTTGCTAATTAAAGGTGAACCTATATACAGGCAGCCCACTTCCTCCCCATCCAATGGTATCCCTTGAGCAAGGTGCTGCTGGTGCAGTACTAGTATCCCTGGAAAGGCGCTCTTCGTTCAGTCACGTGGCATAGACGCTACATGTGAGTTATCGATGGCCGTTCTAGACGTGTTTTGACTACTTTGTAGATGATTTTTTACCTCGCTATCTACTTTCTAAATTTCCAAGAGATCTTTTCATAAGGAACTTTGGCCTCGGCTAGTTAGTAAAGTAATCTTTCTATCTGGACTCTGATAGAGATAGCGCTAAGCTAAGTAGCGAGTCGAGATAATCGTTTATATAGCTTTTATTATGACGATTTTTTTAATTTTTTTAGCTCTCTTAATCCTTTACGTTCTAAGTCTTTTAATTTAAGCTGTCTCGACCTTTTGAAACAATATTCATTACGAGGAATTATCGAGCTTTATAAATCTAAGTACTATCGTTAGCTTACTCTTGAGATTAGGTGCGAGTCAGTCCTCTGACAGAAGAGGGCATCATTAAGGGGCTGACATCTCTATCTTTGGTTAGCTACTAGTTTCTACATATACGTCCTTTAGAATGATAGCCTTTCATCTCATCAACGCTCGGATGGTACCATGGCCTGGATGACCGACTCTAAAACAGACTAGAAATGTGGTCAAAGGGGTACGTGTTTTCCTCCTGAAAAGAGAACCACTACTGGCTAATGGGTTTTGTGTATCGAACATTCTGGAATGAAGAAAGACCTGAATGGGTAAGTGTAGTTGCGCTTTTAGTAATGATAGCCCTCTAGCAGATGCACATCTGGAAGGCTGCAAAGATGCTTCGCCAATTGAATGCCGATTGCCGACCTAGTTTTGTTTGCACGAACATTGGTGGAATTGGGCTCTTACGTGAGTCATGTATCGCACATTGACATGGACATGATGTACAAGGCTGATCACCACAGAACTAGCCAGGGGAACAAGAGATCGTTAGGGACCGCTTGTCGATGTCCATTGCTCTAAGCTTGGGCCGAGAACGCTCCGTCTGTTCTTCTTTCGTACAGCTATTCGTGCGCATAAGGAAGCAAGATCCTGCAGGGACCCATTGAGTCCTCAATTTTACCAGCAACTGCTCCGTAGGAAAGCCATATCAGTAGGGTTGCATAGTACGTGAGTATGAGTGTCATGCAGGGCTATGCAGACGCACGGATGTAACCCAATCTTCTGCGTTATTCGCGTGGTGCTGTTGTCAGCGATTGGCGCGGCTCCAGTGCGTTCTTTCTGCTAATGTAGATCTGCCAAAACAGCAGCGTCATGGAAATTTCTGCATGTGCTTAGAAGGTCCGAAACCATTTGAGATCCCATGGAGTAACACGTTGCCTTGCAAGTTCATGTATCAGCCAATGCAACCGTTCGTCGGGCCGCAATACCCACAAGCTCGTCTAGCACTCCATATTTTCATGGCAAATGGTTCAGGCTAGTAGCATAGCCTTCCTTGACTAATCGCCGAACCCTCTGGTACCCTACCTATACTGTCGCCAGAGGCCTTTGGTTCGTAAGGACAAGGAGCTGACTGCCCGCTACTGTGAGTGTGAAAGCCTCGCGAGCCCTACCTAGTTGGAATCAGTTCATGCAGTCATCATGATCACCGGCTGGTTCAACGCTGCGAGGCAACAAAGACGGCTCCGTGTGCTGCAGAAATGGAACTACCCGCCACGTCAAATGAGAGAGTCGTGCATATGAAAGCGGCCTAGATTAATGGGGACACATGTTCGATTTTGGGTGGATTTACCATCTACGGTTATCTTTGAGCCTTTTCAGTCAAGCTAAAGTACTATATATCTCCCCAGCGCCGCATGCAACCTTATATTTAAGGATGTCAGACTCTACCTTACTCAAGCGCCAATCAGACGCTGTGCATATATGAGGATTGAGGGCATCATCAGAAGCTACAACTCAGAACCTTGATTCAAGTTGCTCCGTTTTTGCCCTGCACCACACCAAAAGAAAAGGAAGAAACACACAAAAAAAGAGAATCTTGGTAGAACTCGAGGCAACTTGATCTCAGGTCGTTCAGCACGGGCTTGGCGAAAGATTTGATTGGTGTTTATTATTTTCCTCAATCGTAGGTGCAGAGATAGTATGATTCTATTACAATCTAGTCACCTCGAGTTGAGGGTCATGATGGGGTGCAACCAATTGAGCTCAGGTCTTTCCGGTTTCCCGGCGAGGCCACTTGCATTGAAGGATACCTTGGAATCTCAGCCTTCTGATGGAGAGTTGTACCTTGGTGAGGCGTACGTGGGATTCTGGCCAGATGCAAGCCTAAACCCCTCGTCTGACCTCACGCGTAAGGAAAGCGATGGCACGTTCGCTTGAATCCCTTGCCTCTTAAAAGGTAATAATGAATCTAGGTTCTGCAGATCTATTGCACAACAGGATATCAGCTTCTCTCAAGACGGCAGCAAGCAAGGCTGCTCATACAAGACCATCCTCTGACGGATTTTTGAAGGGAAAAAGGGATTTAAACCTGGAATTGGCTGGTCTACGTCTTCTCACAACAATCATGGTATTTAAACCGAATGTGAGTCTGCGATCCTTGTCTTCAAGGCATCGCAGTGAGCGGGAATAACTCCAAGTGGTAACCAGACGAGCTTGGAAGGGTTGTCTGGAATCCCTGCCGGCATACCGCCCCCTGGGATCAGTCCCAACTTCGTCAACCCTCAGACCTTGGCGCCAGCAATCCTCGCCGTCAGTATAGTAATGATGCTATGGACGATTGTGTTTGTGATCATCAGACTGTATACCAATTTCCACGCCCCACGAGGTTTAGGTATCGATGATTGTAAGACCTGGATCTTTCACCCGAGTCATCCAAACAACTGATGGTTATAGACTTCTCCATCATCGCGATAGCACTAGCTACAGCGTCTACGGGGTTAATATTCTCAAGTAAGTTGATCTGTGTTAGTTGAGCATGACTGGAACTTAAATCTGGTACAGTAAACAGAATGGCGAGGCATATCTTCGATATTCCAATTGACTGGGTGGATGGAGACTACCTCAAAGTAATGAAGATAACCCTCAATCTATTACGAGATCATGGACTAAAAAGGGGTAGCGAAGCTATGCCCTGAACGTAATAGTTGGGCCTACAATATTCTTTGCCAAGAGTACAATATTCCTACTCTATCTCCGGGTCTTTGCAATAAAGAAACAGATGAAGTATGGCGTCTGGCTTGGACTGTTCTGGAGTTTCTTGCTTTACTGGATCGGTGTTCCGCTCGAGACCTATTTTTGCGCGCCACGCATTGGGAAAGGGTGGAATATTGAAGCTCTTAACAAAACTTGCTCCGACTACGAAATATTCAGCGTGGTTCAGGGCGTTCTGGCAGTCGTTTTGGATCTCTATATCTTCGTTCTGCCAATCCCGACCATTCTAAGACTACAGATGGCACTGAAAAGGAAATTGTCAATCCTCGCTATCTTTGGGACTGCTATTCTGTGGGTACTTCAAACGAAGTGCAATCTCGCAATATCTGACTTGATCATAGGGGCATCACCGCGGCAGTCGTAGCAATGGTATACCGAATAAATCTCAGTAAAAGCAATGATCCGTTTTGGGCAAATGCGGCTGTTTACATCTGCCTGTGAGTCACTGGTGTGGGTCTGTCAGTTATTCTGTAGCTTACGCTCAACCAGTACCTGCGAGAGTTACGTCGCGATAGTTATTGGCTCAATGCCAGCATTCGCGTCTTTCTTCAAAGGCGAGATGCCTGGTGCGTCTTGGCTGACCGGCATGAACTCCCTCGTGAGATCTAACACGGGGACACCTTCTTCTGGAGAGTCAATGATTCCCGGCGGCCATACGCGCGAAAAGGGCTATCATGAGTTGGGATCAGTGAGGACCGATATTCGGGGGGAGGGTGCCGCGCCGAGGACTCTCGAGGAGGGCGTTGTTTACAAGACCGTTGCCGTTCACCAGTCGATGAGGCAAGGGCGACCGGCTGCCTAGGGTGAGAAAATGGCTTTCCTTGCAATGTACCCCGTGCTTGTTCACATGTGAATGCTTATTAAGATGCAAAGAAACTATCGCTCAGAGAAGAAAGTCGCCGGCATGAAAGAGGCATACATGGCATCGGGTCGCGCATCTATCGTTCACCTAGAATATTTCGACAGTCCAACATTGCAAGATCGCACAAAGCTAACAAGTCAGGTGAACCAAAGATAAGTATGTGTTTTATGATTGTGGGCTAGAGTCACTACCAAGCGTCTTCTCCAGGTCAACTTCACGAATCCCTGATGCGTACTATTCGCTGCGACTCTGCCCGAGTCCATCCATGAAGCTGCCTCCCTACCAATTTCAATGATGCCGATTTGCTACATCAGTGTCCGTCTCCCCCCAATGTCTGTAATCCACAATGTCTATCTCGGTCCGCACGTATGTTCTGCAGACGAATTTGCCGCCAACCAGGGTCCCACTGGGAACCATCTATTATGTATGTCCTCCCTTCGAGCAACCATGGATACTCTCCCGAAAAGGCCATCGAAGCGCGTTTTCACTTCTCGCATTTCCGGACTCTGAAATGCTTTGACAGGAGGCATTTGGTGGTGCCATATGGTGTTTTCAGGATCGTGGTCTCATTCCTCGTATACCACTCCATGAATCGAGGCTGTCTCAGTATCCAGTATGCGGCCGTGGAAGGGATGCAGCAGCATGTATGCTTCAACTGTGGACCCGGGAAGTGTAGGACCATAGATCTCGACGGCACGCTGGGCTTGATGTGAGATAACGCTGATAGGGGAGTTGATAATGGGTTGCTTATATCGTCGGTCAAGGTGTATCCTTTTAGTCTATCGAGGTTGTTGTGGGGCTATTCTTACATAGCATAAATTACTCCGTACGGGTTATGGGCGGGAGCAATTGGAGATGGAATTGATAAATCAAGTCTGTTATTATGACTGATGAGGCTATGTATGGACAAGGGAGGATTACTGACTTGTCCCCAAGACAACGAGCAACAAAATCTCTACCAGGAGTCTCAGTGATCCCCATTGACATGGCCATCCCCATTTGTCAATCCGTCCAGCTCTTCCATCTTCGTTCTGTACGTATCCTGCGCCTCCTTTTCCCTCTTTTTTACAAAAGCCACTTCGTCTTGCAAAGACTCTAACCTCCTAGGCAGCGCGGCTTCCTCCGCAATCTGCAACGTCCGCAACGAGTCTAATTGGACTCTCTCATCCTGCAATGCCCCAGAAGCCTCCACGATCTTCTGCCGTAGAGTCTTAGCTCGCTGCTGGTAGCCTCCGTAGTGGAGAGCAAGTTTCTTCTCCAACCTATTACCCTTTTCTGCATCATCCCCAATGGTTGCTTGAACCTGATCGAAAGCATCGGTCAAGATTTGTCGCTCGTCGACCTCATCCTCTTCATAACCAGCCAGTCCGAGTAGATTTGAGGTAGCCTCATGCAGCTTCTCCCACGATGCTTCAAAATCCTGCTGGCGTCTCTCTTTATCGCCTGATGGCAGTTCAAGTGCTATTTCTAACCTCGCCCTGTCCAATGCATCATCATCGAAAACCTCTAGGGGTCTCGATGCTCCCTGTACTTTCGAAGCGGATAATGAATATTTGTATGCATCGTTAGCAATCAAAAGCGCACTCTCTTCTGCGATCATTGCGTGGACTGGATCAGAGACTTCCATGGCGGCCTTGAGAAGGGCATCGACATCGACGACTGTGGGCCGTGGTAAATTCTGTTGCATTACCTGAGTCCGGCGTTTGAAGTCTGCCCTCTCAGCTGCTTCACGGATAGCTTGGTTCCGTCGATCCCTTTCTGCGGCATCCTCTTCGGAGAGTTCCATCTCGCCGTCGAATTCTTGCTGCTCCTCAGGCAGTTCGAGCTCAAAGTCTAACTCTTTTGGCTTGGGCAATGCCGCGAACTGCGACTTGAGTTGTGATCTCAAAGCCTGCTCTCGAAGCTTGACTTCCCGTGGTGTGTTGCCAACTAGCTGCATTGCCCCAGGGTCATCTTGGTTTATGGCAAAGTTGTCTCGGGGAGTTCGCAAAGGCGTGGCTCCCGGGCCTCCTGGTGTCCGCATCGGCGTTGCTCCGACTCCGTTTGCACCACCTTGACGCATTGGCGTTGCCATAGGATTCGGGGTAGCTACAACGTGCTTCCGTGGAGTGACACCATCAAATCCAGTAGACCCACTGCCCTCATGCAAAGGCGTGTTCTCCCCACCCAATAGCGATGATTGCGTTTCAGTCAAGGCACGAATGTTGCGGATCTCGTTTGCTATATGGTCCTCTTGCGGCGGAGCTCTTGGTGTTCGAATCGGCGTTCCTCCTACAATGCCCGTATAGTTGCCGATGAATCCTTTTGTAGCCTCATTATCGCCTTCTCCAGCTAACCGATGGGCTTGTTCCCCAACCATTCCCATCTTCACGATGTCTTCGAGCTCTACTTCGCCCACTTGCGGCGCTGGTAGATTCAAGGACCTCCTCTTGCTGCTTTGCTCGGCTTCTCGAATTTTCTGCATTTGCCCCGCTTTCGCTGCTGCGGCAAATGCTGCTGAAGGACCTGGCTTATCGCTTTTTTGTTTCTTCCTCTGCATATCATCTTCCTGATCACCCTTCCGCTTGTTAGCTAGCTGTTGTTTTCGGGGATCGAAAGCTTCTCTCTGCCTTTCGTTATGGTCTTTCTCCTCTTGGGTATCATAGAAACCTGGTGCAGCTTTCTTTTCGAATGGAATATCGGCGTTATAGTCCATTTGGCCCTTTTTCCGATTGGTAATCTTAATATTGATACCTGCATTTTTAAGCTCTCGACGCTTTTGTAGCAATGCCAGTCGCCGAGACTCCTCCAGCTGGCGTTCACGCGCTTTCCGTTTCGCCTTCTTTCCTTGTGTATTTGCCAGTCTTGCACGTGCTTCACTGAGCATCTCCTTTTCATCCTCATCAAGATCGATGGTGTCAGGGCGTGCTGGCTTAGATTCTGGGTCTGGGTCCAGTTCTCCAGGTCGTAATCGTCGAACATCGTCCGCACTCGGCGCTTCGTTCTCACCACCAGCCGGCCCACCCAACCCCAACTCATCGTTCTCTCTGGCCTCAGCCTCATCCAGTAGTTTCTGATATCTTTCTAGACACTGTGTAGCTGTCCTGCCAACCATAGGCGCAATAGTCCGCCATTGTGTTGGCATCAATTTTGCCAGGTGTAGCAGCTTTTCGTCCTCCTCCTTCGACCACTCAATTTTCCGGATGCTGGGATCCAGCCATTCGACCCATCTTGCCTTGCACTGCTTGGGTGTTTTGCGCGCGAGGAGAGAGGAGACACGGGCCCACTGGTTGAGTCCATATTTCGAGACAGAAGCCTTGAGGACCTCATCTTCAATATTTGTCCAGACACCGCCTTTCACGACAGGCATTCTGAAGGGCCGAGGAGAGTTTTACGCGGTAGAATTTGTTGATGTGCAAGGTCAAGCGGTGACTGCAGTGTTGAAGTCGTGAAGTGACAAAAAGATCAAGGATCCTTCGGACCTTCAGCCTTATGTGTAGAGAGGTGCGCTATCAGGCCTAATTAGGAAGATATATCGACGTGTGAAGGATTAATCCGTAATGATTGCCCACAAAAAACAGAGAAAGGCCATGTTCTTATGGCAAGAAGTATCGAAATACCGGAAAGAAATGGAGACAACGTGCCAATTAGTGGTGTGAATCCCACAATATCTCCTGCCGTAGGAAATTTTTCGAATAATGAAATAGCTGTAGACATCGGACGGTTTCAATTTGTCCAAATATGTATCGTCGATGTTTCTCTGCAGAGGCCGTAGTGATATACCTATTAATGAGTGGGGATGACAGGCCAGTTGCAGTGGTGTTCTCCGCTTACTGAGTGATGATTTGATGTGGAACCGTGGAGAGCATATAACGTGGGATCTTGGAGAGCTGAGCCGTGTTCTTGACGATGGTGGCCTTGTTGCCGCTTGGTTTCTCCGCAGTGTTCTCCATAGTTTCTCCGCAGTGTTCTCCGCATTTGCCTGTTGTAGTTCCTCCTCTTGCTCCTCCTCTTGTAGAGTATCAGACTGAGTGGCTAGCTGAGTGGCTGACTGAGTGGATAACTGATGTGACGTGGGATCTTGGAGAGCTGAGCCGTGTTCTTGACGATGGTGGCCTTGTTGTCGCTTGGTTTCTCCGCAGTTTCTCCTAGTGTTCTCCGCAGTGTTCTCCGCATTTGCCTGTTGTAGTTCCTCCTCTTACTCCTTAATGTAGTGGGGATGACAGGCCAAGTTGCAGTGGTGTTCTCCGCTTGTTGAGTGATGATTTGATGTGGAACCGTGGAGAGCATATGACGTGGGATCTTGGAGAGCTGAGCCGTGTTCTTGGTGCTGGGGGCCTTGTTGCCGCTTGGTTTCTCCGCAGTGTTCTCCATAGTGTTCTCCGCAGTGTTCTCCGCATTTGCCTGTTGTAGTTCCTCCTCTTACTCCTTAATGTAGTGGGGATGACAGGCTAAGTTGCAGTGGTGTTCTCCGCTTACTGAGTGATGATTTGATGTGGAATCGTGGAGAGCATATGACGTGGGATCTTGGAGAGCTGAGCCGTGTTCTTGGTGCTGGGGGCCTTGTTGCCGCTTGGTTTCTCCGCAGTGTTCTCCGCATTTGCCTGTTGTAGTTCCTCCTCTTACTTCTTAATGTAGTGGGGATGATAGGCTAAGTTGCAGTGGTGTTCTCCGCTTGTTGAGTGATGATTTGATGTGGAACCGTGGAGAGTATATGACGTGGGATTTTGGAGAGCTGAGCCGTGTTCTTGGTGCTGGGGGCCTTGTTGCCGCTTGGTTTCTCCGTAGTGTTCTCCGCATTCGCCTGTTGTAGATCCTCCTCTTGTTTAACTGAGTGCGAGGGTACCGAGGGTAAATGTGTTTATAGGGTGATGAAGAACGGATAGGGGAGGAAGACGCGTCTTGGGAGGTAGCATCGCTGGGTTGGAAGGCACCATCGCTGGCTTGGGAGGGAGTATGTAGGGGAGGACGATGGCTGTGAATCCGTTTGGGCTCTTTTTTGAGGGCCTTTCAACGCGTTTATGAGTAGTAGTAGGTAGCTGTTGGGCTGCGGCCTCGATTGCCAGTAGTAGCGGATTCGCGGAGGGGTGGCCTGGGGGCGTCAGTAGGGGCTCTAAGAGGCGGGCAAAAGGGGTGTACGTGCCTGAAACGTTGAGTAACCTTTGGGCGAGGGGTACCGAAGACGATTGTGTTCATATTGATGGAATTGGTAGAATTGGTAGAATTGGTAGAATTGGTAGAATGGTGGAAGAATAACAAACACACCAACAGGTGGAAGGATTATTATTATCCGATCCCGGACGCGTCTGGTGTGACTACCATGACTACCATATTTGAATATCCATTTAATTCACCAATAGTAGGCCAAACTTCATAATTTTTACAGCGTTAGAAAGCGCAAAGCGAGCTCTACAATTTGAGGAATTATGAAGTAACTATATGTATCGCAAGCTGAGTACTTCAAAGTGTAAAACATCTACATACAAATTTTTGATGAGGGAGGCGCGGGAGGGCTACCGGGCTGACTCAGCCGGTCTAACCAAAGAGCGTAGCGAACCCGAATTGATGATTGGCTGCACATACAAATTCAAGGTTTTCAAGCTCAGCCCTACCTTATTCTATTATATATACTGATTCTTTAACTTCTAGCGAAGTATATTTAAGTTAATATATATTTCTATAGAGAATATATCTCGAGTATTTAACTTTCTAATTAAGAGTAATATAATAAATCTATTTTAATAATTTCTTAATTTAATTTATTATATAATCTTTTAATAATATTAAATATAATACGCTATCATCTAAAGTTTTTCTAATAAAGATTAATTAATTAAAGATAAGTATTATAAGCGTTAACGAAGATTATAATTTTAGATTAATTTATATAATAATAATAAATTATTTAATTTAGATAAAAGGCTTAAATATTTAATTAACGATCTCGATAGATTTATTCGTCTTATAATTAACTTTAAAGAAGTATATAATAGTTATAGAAAAATCGTTGAAAGTCGCGAATTTCATATTTCGATTAATTATTACGGGTATTTTATATAAAATAACAATTAATATAGCGATTTTAGAGTTTTCTACTTAGACTCTAAGAAAGAAATATATCGTAATAAGCTTATAATATAATTAGCCTTCGAAGCGAGATATAAGTATAGAGTTAGCTATAGATATCTCGGCTAGCCGTAAGTTTAAATTACTAAGACTAGTATTTTATAGTCTTAATAGTCTTACGCAGTAAGTCTAAGTAGAAAACTCTATTAAGACTTATTTTTTTAATATATTACCCGATATATAATATTTATATTTTATATATATATAATTCTTAATAAAAATACGTAACTACGATAATCTTTTTAGTAAAAAAGTTAAATAAATAGTTAAATAGACTTTTATTAAATTAGAAGCTATAGTATAATAGTTAAGAAGTAAACTTTTAATTTTATTTTATTAAAAAATTTAACTAACTTAATTATAATAGCGATATTAATATTTAAAAATATTATATATCTTAAATAAACGTTATAATCTCCCTTTATTTTTTAAATAATTAGACTTATAAGAGTTATCGCGACGATATATATAGATAAATAAATAAGTATATATATATATAAGTAATTATATAGCTATTGAACTTGCGAAGAGTAGAGTAAAGAGCGAAGCGAAGATAATTTATTTTTTTAATATAAAGTTAGATATTAATAATAGCGATATTAATAAATAAGAATATCTTATATAATATCGAAGTCTTTTATAGATATATAAAACGTAGAAAAGATATCTTTAAATATAGAAAGGTTTACGTTATTATTATAAACGATCTAATTAAATATCGCTTAATTATCTTCGTACTTTTATACTCGATAATCCGAGAACTAAATATTTAAATTTTTAAATTTCTTTTTAATTCGAGTTATTAAAAGTTTTTAGATTTCGCTATTATATAGAGAAAGAATATTACTATAAGATATAAAGAGATTAATATCTAAAGTTCGAAGATACTCGTCGTTATTATTATAGAGAAAATTAAGTATTTAAATATTCTTAATATATTTTATACTTATATAAGCTCGTTCTAGACGTATTAATCGCGTTAATATTATTTAAAATATATATACTATAATTCCTCTAACTTCTAAATAAAGTGTATTTAAATTAATATATATTTTTATAAAGAGTATATCTCGAGTATTTAATTTTCTAATTAAGAATAATATAATAAATCTACTCTAATAATTTCTTAATTTAATTCGTTATATAATCTTTTAATAGTATTAAATATAATACGCTATCGTCTAAGATTTTTCTAATAAAGATTAATTAATTAAAGATAAATATTATAAGCGTTAGCGAAGATCGCGATTTTAGATTAGCTTATATAATAATAATAAGTTATTTAATCTAAATAAAAGGCTTAAATACTTAATTAGCGACCTCGATAGATCTATTTACCTCGCGATTAACTTTAAAGAAGTATATAATAATCGTAAAAAATCGTTGAAAGTCGCGAATTTCGTATTTCGATTAATTATTATAAATGCTTTTATATAAAATAACGATTAATATAGCGATTCGGGTTTTCTACTTAGACTTTAAGGGAGGGGTATACCGTAATGGCTTGCGATATGGAAGTGGGCCGAGTGTGGGCTGGCTATAGGTCCCCGGCTGCCGTGAGTCTGAATTACTGAGACTAGTATTTTACGCCGGCAGCCATCATGATGCTCATCGAATATTTTTGTAATCCAAATCATGCTGCGCAAGGTCCCAGCAACCGTTGGCAGCCTCAGAAGCTCTCCGGCTCTCTCACTTCACTCCCGGCTCCGAATCCAACCTTCAAGATCTACCTCTACCAAATCCGCCGATCCTAAGGACGCAACCTCAGAAAACATAGTAAGTTGTCTACACACTTCATTGCTGATGCCCTCAGCTCAAAGCGCCAGGTCTCGAACAAAGATAGCCCCGGATCCGGCGCTGAAGCGCTCTCCAAGAAGAAAAAGACACAAGCTGAATTGGATGACGAGCTGCGTCAGAAGCTTGAGGCCATGTCCGGTGATGGCGGCGCAGCAGGGCTAGAACTTGAGGACGGGCAGCCAGTGAGCATGAAGAGGAGTGTAAAGAACAACATGTTTCGATACATCTGAGCACACGGGGCTAGGGTCAATAATGCCACGATTGGACGCAGAGAGTCAGGACTGGACGGCCTTCGTCAATAATGGGTCACGCTCTAAAGTCCGTGAGATGCTGTGGAGGGGGCATGTGTCACAATGGAGCCGGGGCAGAGCGAGGAAATTGCATGAATTGAGCAAATGTATTATTGGCCTGGGGGTGTACAAGCCTCAAATATGAGAACGCGTTCCTACACTTCTGCTATTGCATGAGCTGCTTCTGTAAGAGCCCGACAGTATCATTACCCAGTATGCATCGTGATCAGTTGAGTCAACTATCCGCTGTCTTCGAGAGCACTCAAGCACCCGCACCAACCTTCAGATCCCATATCATTGACTAGCATCTGCTTTTATTGATTACCCTGCGCCCAATGTTTCCCCTAGAGATGTGACTCAAATGAAAAGTAAAGTGCAAAGCGGCGTGCGGATGATGTTCGCTACATTACATTCACTCGTTAGTATGTCTGGGAGATTGAGTGGGCGCTGAAGAGGTGAGCAGAATTTGCAGATTACAGATTGGGACTTGAAATGAAACGCAGCCTTGGAGACTTTGATGGTTATGAGCTGGAAAGGTAGATGCGAAGATGATGGAGTCGGATCAGAAAAAAGGGAAGGAGCGTGGAGATTGAGGCTACTTGATCATATTATTCAATGCAAACCCTGTCCTTGACTGTAGCATCAGGTCTCCAAATAATTGAGGTGAAAAGTGCCCTCAACAATACTCCCTTCGTCCATACTCCATAGCATTGCCAGCGAAAGAGGCAATGGTGGCGGGTCAGCTCAGAGACGGCCCGAAGTGTTGCCGAGAGATCGTCAGCCTTACAACTTAAATGCAAGTTGCAGCCCAGAGGCCTTTTTGCATCTAGATTCTAGAAGGGTAGCTTCGTGCAAACTTTTCAGCAAAACACCCACGTCCATGTCCATTTCGATGTCAACGTCGATGAGAGTAAAGGCAAATCATTCCAGATATTTGCTTCAAAGGACTTTTATGCCCATGAACAATCATTCGTGTCCGTACCGTAGAAGACCATAGCTCTTTGAACCAACGAGATGACTTCTCCAAGTCCTGCGAAACCAATCCGTCCAGGACGGCTATGGACCACCCGCAGCCGCTCCTCAATGTTCTCCTCTTCGGCACCATTGGCAGAGGCCTCTGTAGCAAAAGATTTGGAAGAAGAATCCGACAAAGATCCGGAGAATCCTATGGAGGAAGACGACATTTCCCACGACGAATCGGATTCAGACCTGGAAACCCTGCATCAAACAACGTCCGGCCCATCCTTAGGCCGGTCCATGGTTGGCTCATATAGAAGACCCAGCTTTACAATAGCAGGCTCTCGGGCTACCATTGCCACTGGATTGCAAGGGTCAATGCGAGCTCCAAGCAAGAACGATCGCCGTGAGGCAAGAAGGGAAGAGCGAAGTTTACTTCGTGACAACAACATCATCCCGCCAAAACACCCTCGGAAAGGAGAGGGTTCTCAGACAATTGGCCGCCGAGCCTCCCGACTTCTCTCCGTGCCCGGCATCCTAGATGAGGGTAAGAAGGTCAAGCGGCCAGACCAGGTAGATGAGACAGCAGCAGGAGACAGCACCAGTCCCCGAGAAACGAGTCCCCTATTGGGAGATCCCGAGCTGCCATATGGAGGTCAAGATACTCATGCGAACCTTGACATCAAATGGGAGGAAGCAGTATTAGAAGGCAAGATTCAGACGACGTGGCAGCGTGAAGCCAAAGTATTGGGACGTTATTCGGGGCCGTTGGTGCTTACATTCATGCTTCAGTACTCCTTGACCGTTGCCAGCATATTTACGGTAGGTCACATTGGGAAGGTCGAGCTTGGAGCAGTAAGCCTGGCAAGTATGACTGCCAATATCACCGGCTATGCAATTTACCAAGGATTAGCAACGAGTTTAGACACCCTTTGTGCGCAAGCGTACGGATCTGGGAGAAAAAAGCTGGTGGGGTTACAGACGCAACGAATGGTCTACTTTCTATGGACGATCACGATCCCCATAGGCATCATCTGGCTCTGTGCTGACAAAATCCTGATGAAGGTAGTGCCCGAGAAAGACGTTGCAATCCTGGCTGGACGGTACTTGAAGATCGTTCTCATTGGAGCCCCTGGCTATGCGACCTTTGAGTCAGCCAAAAGATATTTGCAGGCACAGGGATTGTTTTCTGCTTCTCTTTACGTTCTTCTGATTTGCGCTCCCTTGAATGCCTTGATGAATTGGCTTTTCGTTTGGGTATGTCCCCCAAATCACTTTACCTGCAGTATGATTCTCATCCTTAACAATTATCAAACTCCTCCAAGCTCTCCTGTTCACTTTCGATCACATTTCTGGTCTGGTTTTACATGAAAAATCGGCGTCTGACGTCCTCAGCAATTCAACTGGGGCTTCAACGGTGCACCGATAGCTGTTGCCATAACAGACAATCTACTTCCTATTCTCCTCATCCTCTACATCCGTTTCGTAGCCGGGGGTAACTGCTGGCCCGGCCTGACAAGAAGAGGTGACTTCTCCTCTCAAGCAAAGCCCTCTTTCAGATTCCACCGAATGAAAATCCTCTCCTAACATTCAAATTTCACTCAGCCCTCCACAACTGGCTTCCCATGATCCGCCTCGCCCTCCCCGGCCTCGTAATGGTGGAAGCCGAATGCCTCGCCTTCGAAATCCTGACCCTCGCCGCCTCCTATTTCGGCACCAGCCACCTCGCTGCCCAGTCAGTCCTTGCCACCATCACATCCTTCACATTTCAGTACGTATTTTTGTAGTCCATAATCCCTCGCTTGGACCAAACCTTGGGTCTTCAGACATGTGTTGGGAGTTTTCCTCTCGGAATAATATGTTCCAAAGCTCGACATCACACCCCCCAAACTAAACAATACTGATGGCGACATTGTGATCCAGAATCCCCTTCCCCATCTCCATCGCCGCATCCACGCGAATCGCAAACCTGATAGGCGCAACGCTGGCCGACGCCGCGAAAATCAGCGCGAGGGTGGCCGGGTTCGCGGCGATCGCCGTGGGCGTCTTCAACGTGGTCCTCCTGTCGAGTTTGAGGAACCACATACCCCAGCTTTTCACGAGTGATCCGGACGTTATCGAGTTGGTCGCCAAGATACTGCCGTTGTGTGCCGCGTTTCAGCTCTTCGACGCGCTGGCTGCTTGCTGCAATGGCATTCTGCGCGGCTTGGGGAGGCAGGAAGTGGGAGGGTATGTGCAGCTGTTCTGCTATTATGTGGTGGCTATGCCGATCAGTATGGGCACCGCGTTCGGACTGGGGTGGCAGCTGTATGGTCTCTGGGCTGGTGTGGCGATAGCGTTGGGATTGGTGGGCGTCATCGAGGGGGTTTTCCTGTCGAGGGTCAATTGGGAGAGGAGTGTGGAGGATGCAAGGAGCCGGAACGAGAGATCGTGAATGGGGTGGCGGCAGGGATGAGGAGTCCAGCGTACAGATGTGTATAGGCTGGGCAAGATCGGGGAACTTATGGATGGGCTGGATGGAAATCTGCTTCCGAATGCAATGCAGTTTGACACTATGCGGATTCCGATGCTAACGAAAGATCATCGTGGGACGTAGGAGCCATGATGCGCTTGTGGGAAACCTTGAAGAGCTGCTTGACTGGGGCTCCTTCGATGCACGCTTCTATTTTGTACAAAGTAGCGCTTTGCTAGCATATCATGATTAGGCGTGGCCGCTCGACCATCTATCTACCCCTCTTCCCATGCGGGATTCTGAGGAAATGTCAGTCCGCTTCTGGCTGAAAAATCAGGGGTCGGAATCCCTTACCTTTCTCAAAATAACAAGACCCTCCAAATTGCTCGCCAGACTGATATACTGCTCGTCCTCCAACTCCGCCCTCTCTCCATATGCCAGCAGCACCGGCGTACTTTGCGTCTGCCACCCTGTAATGGTCTTCGGTCGACCTGCCTGTCCTACCACATCCACAGCCTGACCGACTCGTACGTTCACCTGTAAGGGCTTCAAGTCCTCGTCCAGTGTTACTAAGAATCTCGGATGCATAGCGGTGACAATAAAGTAAAGCAGGTAATGAGAATCGGCGAGGATAAACGACTTGGCATCGATCATAGCCACCAGGACGGTCAGCAGACCGGCAGCCGCGACGCGCGAGAGGATCTGTCGGTCAGTGTGGAAAGGATTTATGGACATTGTACCCTTGCCCATGTGTAGAAGACCTTGCGCTATTCGGACCATGAACAACGAGTTCTGATCTCGGTGGTAGTAGCTTGCAAGTTGTCTCAGTAGCTGGGCCAATCTTGCGTTGTTGGTACCTGCTCCGAGGAGACCCATTGCAAATATGGCGTTGATTGCCACGTCATTGTCATTGTCGTGGGTATATCTTGAAAGTGTGTCGTAGACCTTCATCTGTGGATTACTTGGGCTGATGAGACCCATCGCGAGTGGGACAGCTTTTCGTATGTTGGCTTCCCCATAGTGCATGAGATGGCCAAACTGTCGTAGGACCATCTCTTGGCCTACCTCTTCACCCATTGAAATCAGTGATAGACCGAGCACGGCATATGTTTGGATGAGCTCGTCTCCCTTCTTGTCATCGCCATCTTCGATGTGCTCGTTGCAAAGGTGAAGCAGCTCTTGCAACTTCAGTACCGTCCCTGTACCTGCCCATGCACAGACTTCCGCGAGGACTGCTGCGGGCTTTGCCATTGGGTGTTCGATAGCCTTGAGAGTCTCCAGAATAACCTCTACTTCTTCCTGGCGGCCAAAAAACAGTAAGGCAAGTCCCAGCGACATGAAACGTGTCCACTTGTCCTTCAATTGCTTTTGTCGCTCCTCGTCTAAAAGCGTAGTAATGATGGCCTCACTGACTCGGTCATTTGACGATCCGACGAAGACAAGACCAAGAGATAGTGCTGCCATAGCTGAGATTTGCATATCCAGTGACGTATCTTCGACTATGGGAAGAAGCAACTCCAAAAGCTCCTCTTTGTTGGTGTTTGCATAAGCCAGCCCAAGGCCCATGATTGAGCCCATTCGTATCAGTACACTCTTGGCTCCGAGGGTTTCCTCGACGCCGAGGAGAGAAATAGATGAGTCGGTTTCATCGCGTATGCCTGAATTCATAATTCCAACCGCGAGGAACGCACCGGCTTTGATATTGTCGTCCTCCGCTAAGAGGAATGGGTTGACTTGTTCCAACCCGTCAGTACCTTCCCACTGTAGCAGCATTCCCATTGATGCTGCTGTGGCCATCATGCCATCATCCTTCGTTTTCCAGACCCAGTTCGTCTTTTCGCCCTCAATCAGCATCATTTTGTCCTTGCCAAACCCTGCGTTGGTAAAGGCATTGACGAAGGCACTGGCGAGATTGTGTCTGTACGAGTCAATATTTGTAAGGCCTGCTGTTCGAGTGCTTTCCAGATGGCTTTTGTAGATTTCTTCAGGCATTTTGGGCTCAAGGATGTTCAGTTCCTTCGCCAGTGTCTTGAAGTAATCTGGAAGTTTGGCATTGGTAAGACACGCTGCCAGCTCTTCATCCGTTTCCGCTCCTAGGGAAGGCTCGAGCCAGATCTGCTGTCGAGCAACCAAAAGTGCCATTTGCTTTTTGAGTGCTAGGTCTTTGGTCGATTCAAAGTCTTGGTGGATGAGGTCGGTATCATTTAATCGGATTGCAAGTACCGTTGCTTGTGGGAGTTTGTTGTAGGATGTGTAGATGTCGTGGGCGGTCCTTAGGAATTGTTGGTCTTCAGGGTATGTCAGGAGATTCACCATGCTGACCATATAAAGGCAGACCCTCGGATAGGTATTTTCATCCAGATACTGCGGGATCTCCTGAATCCTCTCAAGCTCACTCAAGATATCCACGGCGTCGGCTTCAGCATTGTGACTCAGAAAATATGGTACAAGCGTCCTTGCGAGCTCGACCAGATCTTGGGCATCCTCGTCGTCCGTCATTCTTCGCTGATAATCCTGGCCAATCTCGAGTGCCAGATGCCGGACATATTCGTGGCCCCAGGAGCCCAGGTCCTCCGAAGGCGCAAGCAGACGGTACTTAAGTGTGTCCAACTTTTCCTCATCTCCTTGCGTCATACCGAGCACTGAAAGGACATCTGCAAGATGTTCCTTATCCTTGCCTTCCGGCCATTGCTCGAAGGTTTTAGTCAGGTCTTCATAATGAGGTCGGAGGAATTTCAGCGGCTTTGGTACAGCTGTCATAGACGACGTCGAGGTTTTTATGAAATCTTTGATGGCATCAAGCGCAGGTATGTAGAGGCTGGTATCTGACTCCTACAAAAATACATCGATCAGCATAAGGGTACGTGGACTATAGAAGTCATAACTGTAGATATACTTACATGTAGACGAGCGACCAGCATCTCCAGCTCATTTTTCAGATTTTGATCCTCTTCATTTAATTCCTCTGTTTGCACAGATCTGGTCAGCAAGGTTCCATCCGGGCACTTTGTAAGACAGCATACCTTCCAAAGGCTCATCGCCTGGCTTGCCGTTTGCTATGGGCTTGCCATCCTTGTCCTTCTTTGTGTCATCTTGTTTTTTGGGACTATCTGAAGGCTTCTCGTCCTCCATCTTGCCCTTTCCCTTCTCAGCAGCTGTCGGGGCTCCATTCTCTTTTGCCATGCTCGCCGCTGGCGAACAGAGTTTCTGGGCGTGTTATTTGCCGAAGCAGATCGAAGATTAGGGCAGCTTCAAACGTGAATGGATCTCGGAAGGATAATAAGAGGTGCCACCCAAACCGATATGAGAAAGAATCCTCAATGAAGTAGCTCACAAATGCAGGTAAGGTATTGATTATATGGTAGCGCGTTGAAGCTCCGGAGGCGATCTTCAGCCGCCGCCAAGGCCGAACTTCTGGCCGTAGCACACATAATAACCATTCTACCACAATTCACACTCCCAGGCCAATCCTCTACAGAGTCGCCCACCATGAAGCTCGACACCAAAGCCCTCCGCTACCTCACCACAGAGGACTGGCGAGTCCTCACCGCCGTACGTCAATCTCCTCACCCCTCAGCTCTCAACAACCAGGACTAACAGCTGACCAGACACGCCTAGGTGGAAATGGGCAGCAAAAACCACGAGATAGTCCCCACGCCCTTAATCACCCAACTCTCGGGCCTACGCGGTGGAAGCGGGGTTCACAAATGCATCTCGACGCTCGCAAAGGCCAATCTCATTGCTAGGATGAAGAACGCGAAATGTGATTTACACCCAAGTCTCAAGGTTCAGAGGCTCTACTGACACCCACCAGACGACGGGTACCGTCTCACCTACGGCGGCCTTGACTATCTCGCCCTGCACACACATCTCAAACGGCAAACTTTGTACTCGACCGGCAACTGCATCGGCGTGGGCAAAGAATCCGACATCTACGTCGTAGCCTCCTCCACCGGCAGCCAATTTGTTCTGAAAATCCACCGCCTGGGCCGCATATCCTTCCGCAGCATCAAGAACAACCGTGACTACCTCAGGCACCGCAGCAACGCGAGCTGGATGTACATGAGCCGGCTGTCCGCGCTCAAGGAGTTTACGTTCATGAAGGTCCTGAGGGAGAACGGCTTTAGGGTGCCAGAGCCTGTGGCGCAGAGTAGGCATACGGTGGTGATGGAGTTGATTGATGCTTTTCCTCTGAGGCAAATACAAGAGGTGCCGAATCCGGCTGGCTTGTATGCGGAATTGATTGACATTGTGCTACGCCTGGCGAGCTTTGGGTTGATACATGGGGACTTCAACGAGTTTAATATCCTGATACGAGAGGATGAGATACCGGCTGTTGAAACATCTGGCGACACCAAGACAGATATACCAGACTCCAAGCCAGCCATCACACTTACGCCCGTCATAATTGACTTCCCCCAAATGGTCTCCATCGACCATACAAATGCCGAAATGTACTTCGACCGTGATATCAACTGTATCAAACGTTTTTTCGAGAGGCGGTTCAACTTTGTGAGCGACGAGCCGGGCCCTTTCTTTGCTGATGCAAAAATGCTCGCTGGTGCCCCCGAAAGCAAAAGATTAGACGTTGAGGTTGAGGCCTCAGGCTTCTCTAAGAAGATGGCGAGAGAATTGGAGAAGTATATGCAGGAAGTCGGCGTGGAAGGAGATGTCAGTTATGAAGGAAGCGGTCACACCGGGGAAGGTGACTCTGATGCTTCTGGCACTTCTTCGGGTGCAGAAGAGTCGTCTGACGACTTATCTCAAGACTTAAGAGGTAGTGATGGTAATGATGGCCTTTTCAAGCCCAGTAATGAAGTTGAGTCCGAAGCGTCTCACAAAGAGTCAAATGCTCTAGCTACTAACGCCGCTGCGGTAACATTAGAGGAAAACAAATGAATATCTCAGGAATACGATTCACACAAGTGCATGTTTAGTCATTGTTTGAGAGCGAAAGAGCCAACGTTCATGAGAGCTAATGCTAATCTATAGTTTGGTGAAGCTGAAGCAACCTCAACGAGAGGAACGCGTCAGGAAACAGAATTCACACTTGATCCTCCAATCACCTGCTCGTCCGAAGACCATAAAATGACGCCCGGGGGATATGCCGCTGAAATGCTTGAGGAGACCACCCATCGTAAGAACATGTTGGTTGAGCCGGCCAAGGCCACATCGCGTGCCAAGATTGATGTAAGGCTAAGGATTCTGATATTAGTCGTAATGCTGAATTGAGGTAGGAGACTTGCTGAGAAGCGGATCGTGCCAATGAAACGTTTTCGTATCCTCAAGGACTTTTAGACGTGATGCATGTTGCTGTCGTAATGGTAGTATCAGTTGCGAAATGGTCATCAACCGGTGACCAGAGAAGAGTACAATGAGATACTGTCTGATGAATGGCATACAGGCGGCGCTGGGCGTGGTTACCGTGGACGATTCCCTGATAAAAGCAGCATGGCTCAGAGTTTGGACTTGGTTGGCGACGAGGGGATGTCGCCACCGGTGCCACTGCAAGTCTTGCTGGATTTAGATTTGCAGACTAGGGTGTCTTCATCCGATGTCGAGGATGATTCGCCATCAGGCGATTCATCCTCGACGACCTCGGCAGCTGCTTTCTTGGCTGCGGCTACAACACTGGGACTTTCGATCTTGATGTGAGTGGTGCGACGCACTGGAGCTGGGCCTTCGAACTTGACCGCGGCATTGGGAAGCAACCCGTTGGTACCTTGGCGGCCATTGAGTACTGAGTTTGGATATCCAACATAACTTGTAAGTATTAGTATCAATGCTGATTACAAGAGGGAAGGCAGAAAATTTACGCTGGCGAGATTGAGGAAGCTGACGACTGGTTGCTCCATGCTCCACTTGTCCCAGGTGCACGTACTGGCACAGGGCTTTGGAAGGTAGCCGAGACGGGAGAGTAGAACCCGTAAGGCGAGCCTGGTCCGTAGACGGCTTCATTGTACTCGTTCGTCTTGAACTGGCGTCTCTCCGCCGTACAAGTCTTGAGCTGTTTCTGCTTCTCGGTATCGGCATAGCGAATCTGCAATTCGGTGGCATGCTTCCCTTCGCCGACGGTCATGTTGTTGAAGGTGCGAATGACATGTTCGCAGATATCCGGTGACTCGAATCTGGACTTTTGTGAGCGTGCAAGTGCTACGAACGGTCTGGGTACATACCGAGCAAACCCAACCCCACGGCTGATGCCATTCCCATCCTTCAAAATCCGCTGTTCTAGAATGTGATAGTCCGGATACACGTTCTTGAACAAGTTCTCGAAATCCTGTAGCCAGAGTTAGAAAGCGTCATTCAAATCTCTCTGGTCAGAAAAGCGGTACTGACCTTGTCATTCCAAAGTCTGGGCAGATTCGAGACGTATAAGTTGTTATTTTTGGGATCGGCTAGTTCCTTGAGCCGTGCATTGTGGGATTGCTGGAGTCGGGTCAGCAATGAGACAGACATTGACCAGAGGGACGCTATGTACCCTCGCAAACTTCGCCTCGTACCCGAGGTAGAAGAACGCACGAATGCAGTTTTCGGCGTCGAAGTAGCTGTTGTATTTGATGAACCCGAATCTGCATCCGATGTCAGCGTTCTTCTTGATACTCCATGGGTTTGACCATAGAATGTGCGTGCTGTACCCTTTGCAAGTGTTATTGGACATATCGATGATTGCCTTTTGGCTCACGATCTCTCCAAAGCGGCGGCCGTAATCCGCAAGCAATTCGTCGGTTGTATCAGGGCGGAGACCACGAACGTAGACGTTAGTTGTCCCATCTCGATTGTCTAGGATCTTGTCGAGGCTACCGCGCCCACCATCAGGCCCGCTTCGCCATGCAGGGATAGGGGTAGGGATGGCTGGATCCGCTTGCGTCCATACCCAGAAATCGGCGATGGCGTACTCGCCATTCGGCTGTCTGCATATCTGTTGGTTGTTTGGGAGCTGTCCTGAGAGCGGTGAAGGGTTTGTGCTCCAATCACTGGGAGAGTGTCCCGAGACAAGGATGGCTGGCTGATAGCCGTCAACGGGCGTCTGTGGGCTCAGCTCTTCGGTTGATGACCAAGAAGTACGGCGAGGCGCTACAAGGTCGGGCACATGGGGCAAATTCTGGGAAGGCATCCAAGAGTAGTTTCGAGGCGTGTGTGGCCCGATTGGTGCACCAGTAGAAGGGATACCTTGGTAAGTTGCTTGCTGATATTGGGTGGGATGCGTCACGGCCATGTTGTACGGAGCAGGATACTGGGGGTAATTGCCTTGAACAGCATTGGGGCCAGCAAACATGTAGGTGCCGTCTGGGAGCTGGTAGAGCATGGAAGTCATGTTTGACTCGCCCATTTGCATTCCCGTGTTGCTCGGCTTAGCTTGTCCCATCTGGGCTCCATTGCGGAGGTTGAGGTTCTCGAAGGCTCCAGCGAGATTATCCAGTCCGGAACTGGTATTATCAAGATGCATGTTCGCCATAGGATTTGGAGCAAGAGGCTGTCCGGAAAATGGGGCGTGCATGTTGCCATATAGGTTCTGGCCTGGAGCCAATGTCTGGCCGGAGAGAGTGGCGGGCATATTGCCGTAGTAAGTACCTGCATTAAGAAAAAGAGTAAGCCTGGTGTACTCTTCGAAACAGTGTAGGGTTGAATAAAAGATGCAGCCATGTACAGATGTTCAAGTAGAGACAGACGCTTGTCTTGGCGGCTGGGGTGTACCCTTGGTCTCTCTGACATGCTCAATGGTAGAGCTGGCAGGTGGCTAGACAAGAGAAGGGAAGTGATGAAGGACTTTCACGGACAATCGTAGTATACATGGAGGCGGGAAAGAAGTAATCTATGCCGGCAGACTTACGAGACATGTTCTTCTGCATTGTTGAGAGAAATGGCTCAGACTTGGTATGGCTATTCCGTGGAAGCCTGCAGCAACTACTGCCCATCAGCATGGTGTGAAGGCAGTGCTGAGAGAGGCCACTCACAGTGATGCCGAGGATATGCTCCAGGTAGAGTACAGCAAATGGTGAAGAAGTAGACGCTGTAGAGGACACTGTGAGGTGTATGAGCAGCTTGTCATGAGCGTAGAAGAGGATGCAGTGATCTTACAGAGAGTGTTTGGATGGTGACGGAGATGAGTAGCAAGGTGGATACGATGTGAGCAAAAGGTACGGAGAATACAGAGAGTATGGACAAGCTATTTGCCAATAATTGAGATGGATGTGCAAAGAGCTGTAGCGGATGATGGGAGAAAGAATTGAGAGGACATAGAGAGAAAGAGAAAAGAAGAGTTGGGTGGGGAAGGTGCTTGTGTAAATAAGACTAAGCTAAGAAGGTAACCGCCAGAGAGACAAGATATTGTTCGAGGAAGGAACTCTCTAGGAAGGCAGAACACGGCAGGTCGCCTTGTCAACGATGACTCTTTTGGGGTTATAGACTGCAATGACAACCGACCTCGCCATTTTGTTTGCAGTCATGAAGCATGAAGCACGAAGCAACCTCGATATGCGCAATGGAACAGAAGCTACGTTTTTAAGGGAACAAAATGACCCTCGGGGAGCCCAGGAGAAATTTCAGATGCATGCATAACATAAGAGGAACCTTATTTGTGAGCATAATGCTGATATTTCCACTTCTCTTCTGTTACGTCAATGTGAGAGTTGAGCTTTTGATGCCTTATTTTGCATCGTTGAAGAAAACAAGAGGTACGCTTAAAGCCTCACCGTATGCAGACTTGAGCCTCTTTCCTGCAGCCTTACGGTCTGTGATAAAGCTGTACTTATAAGTCAAATCGAGCGTGCCGTACAGTTCGAGCTGCCGCGACACAATTTGTTTCAATTCCGTGATCTGCTATGGGTGGCTTCCGCTCGAGATCTACTCGGCCATCGGACGGAGAGTACGAATACAACGGAGTGGCAGGGGTGGTCGATGACAGCACAGAGCCAAAACGGATCCCTTGCAGCACGGTCTATGATTAGATCTGATGTCCAAAGTGCCTCTTACACCGTTCAACTGGGCTCATTGGCTCTCCACTTCCACTAATTGATGGCAAGTCGAATTAATCATTCAGCCTGGAATGTCTCATTACAACCATCATGAGTCCGATCACGGCCGCGTTAGTACTGTATCTATCTCCTGCTGAGATTGAAGGCCAAGGAGGCATGAACACTGCGAATAAAGCATCAAGCCCTTAAGCCTCGAGGATTGTCGGGAGAGCGCTAAGCGCGGCGATTCTAGCAATTTGCTTGGTTCATCGGCCGCCGCGACAAGATCCCTACTATGCAATAACCACCATCAAAGAGGCTTTGAGTCTCTTAACAGGTCTTGACAACGTTGTCGTTGGCAATGCGTTGTTAGCTGATACGCTATTCTTATTATAGTGGGATCGGAGACTTCTCCGCAAGCGAGCTTGCCAGCTCACTCTGCAATTGGGTTTCGTGAGGGTTTCATGCAATCTGCATCTTCCTCCGGGCATTGCCTAATAGCGACATTGCCGGGTGAGACGCTGATGTGTTTTCTCCGTGGCCTCCAACACAATACTTTGCTGGCCAATCAGGAAGTGGAATTCTGGAAAACCAATCTCACATGACCTCCCTTGCTGCGGTAGGGAAAGGCGCATGTCTCAGGAGCAGTCCCCAAGAAGCTCGGATAACATCGACCTCCACCACTGCCCTCTTTCCCACCGCTACTTTCAACCTTCCCCGGTACCACAACTCTCCAGAATGTTTATCCTCTTTGCTGGCCATATTTCACATAACCAACCCCGGCAGTACCCACGCTGCCAGAACAAAGATCGGAATTGGGCCCGTATGATGTCCGATTTTTTTTTAGTATAATACTTTAATCGTACTGTACTGCCAAAGGCCAGTAATGATTTTATATTGCTTTCAATTCTGAAAAGATTAATATTGTAGCATCTAAAGGCCAGAACACAAATCATTCTATAGCATTGACTGGCGTCTATGTAACAGTTTCTCACCGCGAGCCGATGTTAAACAAGTTCGTCAGTTCTCCATATACCCAGTCCTTTCCTTGCCTACGACCACACATCCTCCTGATACTGATTACTACTCCTCATCATTTTCACAATCTCTTCTCCTTTTTCAATGCTCACCCCTCTTTGGTCACTGACAATTTTCCCCAACACATCACTGACCGCTCTGGCCATATTAGATGCGTCTCCACAAACGTAAAAGTTTCCCTTTTCCTTCTCCAGCAGCTGATTGACGAGAGCGGCATTCTCCTGCAGACGCTGTTGTACGTAGACCTTTTCTCTCTGTTCGCGGGAGAAAGCCGTGATGAGTGTGAACGACGAGCCAAGAGCTTGTTTGTAGTGCTATCGAAAATCAGTATCCTTTCAACGAGCGCAGGGCAAAGGCAGTCGTATCTCACCTCCCACTCTTCCTTGTAGAGGAAGTCTTCAGAACTTTTCCTGCACCCATAGAACAAGATCGTCTGGCCAACCTTTTCACCCGCCTCCGCTTGAGCAGCCCTCTCCTGAATGAACCCCCGGAAAGGTGCAACGCCGGAGCCAGGGCCAATCATTATTATCGGCTTTGATGGGTCCGATGGGAGTTTGAAGTTCGAGTGACGGACGTGGACGGGGACGTGGCAGCCATTGTACTTGTTTCTTGGGCCAGTGATGGCATATGTCAAGCCATGCGGATCAGGATTCGGATCACCATGTTGCTTCTGTTTGAGAGCTAGCAGGTAATTTGTGGTAACGCCTTTGACAATGTTCTCGGATCCTGGAACGCGGATCGTCTCAACGACGGCGGTAATGGAAATCTTGTCTTTTTGAACCAACGACGAAGAGGAAATGGAATAATAGCGTGGTTGAATTTTGTGGATGCCTTCGATCATGATGGAGAAAGGTATGTTGCTCCACTTGTTGACACTGTCTACTTTCTCAAGCACTTGTGCAATGTTTAGGTATTGAGACGACACTTTGTCCGAGAAGTAATCTTTGTCATTGCCGAGCCTCGTCATTTCTGCTTTTGTCTGTTCGTTTGGCGCGAAGGGGGCGAGAGAGGAGACGAATTGCCGAGAGGCGGCACCGCATATTTCCATGTGGTAGCGGATTGCTGCGTCGTACGTTGTAGGTGTAGGGAAGGGTACTTTGGCTGTGGGATCGAGGCCCTTGACACTGATGACGCAGTGACGCTTTTCCGAGAGCCCAAGAACGTTGATCATCCTATCAACCTCTACGCCTGCATTGGTAGGCCATACGGCTATATGATCGCCAGTCTGGTAGGTCAGGTTTGAACCCTTAATGTCGATCTCCATGTGTAGACAGTTTCGATCTTTGACGGTGAAGACCTCCCTGGATTCCGCAATAGGCGCAATATATGGGTTGTGGGAATTGTAGGGGCCTTTCTGGCTGCCTTCGAGGTGATGTTTGTTCGGCTCGCCCAGGTATACCTCATCTGCGTTCGCATCCAGGTCATCCCTCTCAGTGATGCTGAATACAGGCTCATAGACCGCTTCTCGCTCTTCAAGACCCATCTTCTCGGATAGCTCGGTCCACATAGGTTCTTTCCAAGCAAGGAAGTCTTCCTCCATTGTACCCGCACCGTCATCGCCTTCTCCAGCTGTACCGATTCTAGAAGCCCCAAGCTTGACCAGAGCATCGTTGACTCTGCGGACCATGGAATTGTAGTGTTCATATGTATTATTCCCAAGCCCAAAGGCGACAAATTTCAGATTTTGCAGCGGCTTTTCGTCCACGCCACCCCCATTGCTGAAGGACACATCTTCTTTGATCACGAATTCGTAAAAGTCCACGGCGTTGTCTGTGGGTTCGCCTTCGCCGTACGTGGCAAGGACAAACACTGCTAGCTTATCGTTGGGAAAAGTGTCGAAGTTCTCGTAATCGTAGTCTTCCAGATCCGCAACCATGGTTTTGAGGCCAAATCTTTGGGATCCCTCTTTGGATAACCTCGAAGCATAATCTTCTGCCGTGCCCGTTTGGGAGCCATAGAACACAACACAGTTCTTTTCCGACTCGTCCATCTTCTCCAGTATGTTTCTCGTCTTGCCTGCTTTCGCGCCATTGGCTGAGGAATAAGCTACCGCGTAGGGATCTTTCGGTATTCCCCAGTATGTTCCTTTAGTGAAGTATGCCACAGTGCCGGCCAGGAGGACGGCGAGGACAATTAGATCAAGAGTGTCGAGTTGCGCCATCTTCGTTGGTGTGAGTCTGCGATCACCTTCACCAGCGATGCTACTCTCCGAAGCCAATCAGCTGTTCTGTTGCTAGTGTAGGGCCGTAAAAAATACAAGAAAATTAGATTCGTGCTATGTGGCACATCAGCCGCAATGCTGGCTAAGGTACTTCTTTCAGATTGCCCTGCAGGGCAGAAAGGTGGTATACAGGAGAAGAATAAGGAGGAAGTGTAAGTGGAGGGAGCATGTAGTCAGATGGAGAAGCCAATTTTGGTTGGAGGCAATGGAGGTGTCATCCGTTTATTTAGATCTCCTCAGATCACCAAAATCACCGAAATGGTTTGGCGTTGATCTTTCCGGCGCCAAGGCGACCCTGCTTTGAGAGCTTTTAGTAGAGTAATAGATTACTGTACTCTACAGTAATACACAGGAAGCCTCAATTGTTTTATCTATGCTTTACTTGGTGGAGATCATTGGAATGGCGAAATTTGAAGGATAGGATAATTGTCGTAAACATTTGACTGCAGGTCTCTCAGCATATACTTTAGTGACTCTACTGAAAACAGACCCTCCTGTCAAATGGTTGGCCGTCGCTTATCGATACCCAAGTGACTTCTTAGCGTGGAGACAAAGGCACCCGGCTATATGGGTGTATGGGTACCTTACCTTACCTTTATTGGACCATGTGCTGTTAGACAATGTCTGGTCAACCTGTTTTCAACATGTCCATGTCAACATAATTACGCTGTTCGGTACGCAATTGTCTATCCGCAAGATATCCTCTCACAGAGAAGTACCTGCCTTCCGACACAACCCCCCCTGCGCGGCAAGCCACGTCCTACACAGCATCAAACAACACGGATTTTTGGAGACATCTGTCACTGCGCCATGTTGGAACATCACCCAATCAGCGGGTCTATGCAGAGATAGGCTAGCGTGTCAAGTTGTCTCACTAGAAGATGCAGTATGGGTGAGTAGATACTGTAGCACTCTCTAATGGATCCATGGGTGAAGCTTATGAACAACTCTTCTCTACAGCAGGAGCTCAACCTCTGAACGGGCGACAGTACCCCCCGGTTAACAACCCAAACCCTGGCCCATCCTACGTAAACCAGGACAATAAGGACTCGGACGCCTTTCGAAGCCATTCACGAGACCTGTCTAGGGGACGTGGTCCCGCACCTGCAAATGGAGTATTCAATATACAAACGCAACAGCCTGGTATCGCGCTATCACCCCGGTCTCAGTCCTCAACTGGGGCAGTACGGTCGCCTGCGGGTCTTGATGTCGGGCTTGAACGTCAGCCTTCTGTAACCCAAGGACACTACCGTCAGACATCGAGGGCTCAAGGCGCCTATTTGCAGGCCCGCAATGCGGGGTTTGTGTCGTCGCCGACGACTAGCCCTTTGAGTCCGGAAACTCCAAGCTCTGCGAGTTCTAATCCAGGACTGCCTGATATCTCGAACCACACCATGATCCATCGCGGTGTTACTTCACGGCGTCCTACTGAGTCAACATCAAGCGCAGCCAATGGCTCATTGCATAGCTCTACTACATCGACGTTGATCGGGGACCAGGACATGGGGGATCTAAGTGGTGGCACATTGACGCAAAGGCGGCTCGATCGAACACAGAGTGTCAAGGTTCGCAGGGGACATGACCCTCAACGGTCACTGTCAAAACATAGCCAAGAGCAAAAGTCTGTGGGAGAATACGCTCTTCATCACCTCTTCAATAAGGTCAGCGAGCAGATCTTTCAAAAGACCTCGTTCTAACAAGACCCGTAGTTCGTTGTGCATGCCGATCACAAGATCGATCAGTGCGTTCTTAAAACATCAGACAACCCGGACTATCTCGAACACATCTGTGGGGCAGGAGTCGATCCCGATTTTGACCAGCTGATATCAGCTCTTGCACACATCAATCGGCAAAAGCCAAAACCGTTGGTTGATACCATCATGTACTGGAGGAAAGCTAAAGGTGACCAGGCTATGAAGGCTAAGGAGAGACTCAATCATGTTGGTGCTCTGACCCTGAATCTGATCGCAACGCTTATACGTTTCAGTCTAGGTCACCCAATCCAGTAACAAGAGGGCTTCCACGGCGTACTACAGAACCGTCGCATATGCTGTTTGCAGACTTGAGCCAAACCAGCTCCAGTGAAGAAGACCCAAATTACTCAGCGTCGCTTTCGCTTGCAGATTTTGCTACACAAGCAGAACAGCGTTCACAAGTATCGATCTACCTTCTTTGCAGGGTCTTGATCGAAGTCTACAACCAGACTGACGTCGTTCGACTCAACCCTGGGCTAGCTGATAAGATTGAGGATATAATATTTGTCCAGCTCAAGAACACGGAGCCGGAGCATTTCCGGAATTTCCCGTTCCGGGCCGTCAACTGGAAAATCTTCAGCCAACTTCTGGGTGTCATGAGCAGTCCCAATCTGCGAAGCGTAAGCCAACGCTTCATCAATGAGTTGAGGATGTATCAACACGACTTAGGTGTCAAGGGAGTTGTAACGAGTCAAGTTGAAAGGAAGGTTGAACTTCTTATCCTGGCAATGCAGCATCTTCACATCAAGACTCAGCCGGAGGGGCCCTGGAGGGATTCATGTGACTTTCTCCTAACTCTGGGGGAGTTCTTTCTCAATTCACATGGCCCTCAAATTAAACATTCCTACTGCCAGACACTAGAGGACCTTGTAATGCCGATTGCAGCCCGCTGGGGCCCACAGGTCAATGTCCAGAAATTCAAGGATTTTCTAAACAGGGTGAATTCGCGGGTCTCTCAAATGATAGTCAAGCCTCGACACTGGCCCGAGGCATTCCGCCTCTCTACAGTACTTCTTTGTGCATCTCCAACCGAGTATTTCGCCGGCCAATGGCTCACGGTCGCAACTTCTCTCCAAGGAAAACTCAAAGACCGAACGTCCCGAGAGTATGCCCTTCAAGGCATCTGTCGGCTAGTTTGGACGTATCTTGAACGTGTCTCTGAACCTTCCAGCTCCATCATACGCAAGCTCGATGACGTGATGAAGGTTGTCCTTCCGTCAGGCAAGAAGTCCTATCTCTCCAACGATCCAACTTACTCGGAGCCTATAATCGAACTTATCCGAATTATCGGGTATCGCCAGCAAGAGTTCTGTTTCAGGACCATTATATCTCCCTTGATCAGCGCTGATCTCTTCAGCCCCGGGAAAGATACCAAAATCGAGCAGCTAGAGCCAGAAAAGATGGTGATCGGTATAAAGGCCTTCCTGGCCATCATGGCCGACTTGGAGAAGGTAGAGCACGGTCGCCCACCATTCCCGCGGTTCAATGGTGGGGGTCTAGCAATGGATTCTCGCACAGTCCCCGGAGTTTTGCACAGCTCTCAGCCATCTGGAGGGCCAAGAAACACTTTTGATCTTGAGAAAGACCAACTTTCGCGACCCATGAACATATCCAAGCTTGGTGACTCGGCAAGAGAGTTTTTTGGCCGATTCTGTGAAATAATTGGGAAGATCACAGTGATGTGTGACAACGCTTTTGGGGGACAGGTAGTATTGGACGAAAAGTTCGGCGGACTCACACCCAAAACACCACTAACTGAGAGCTTCACCTTTGGTCGTAGAGATGAACACGTGGGATTAGCAGAGCATAGGCATGGATTTTATGAACTTTTCCACGTTGCTTTGCAGGCTTTGCCCCGCTGTTTGTCAGCACAAGTTCAATTCAATGCTCTTATCAACCTCCTCTGCACAGCCACTGCACACGTTCAATCCAACATTGCGGTGTCATCGACTCAATCCCTAAAATCCATAGCTCGACAAGCTCAGGCCCAGCCTGTTACCATTGGATTCGCAAGGTTCATTTTTAGTTTCGATGTTCGGTATTCGACCATGTCTGATGAGGGAATGCTTGGCCCCGGGCACATCGAGAACACCCTCACGCTTTATGTCGAGTTACTACAGATATGGATTGAAGAGATCAAGCGGAAGACCAAAGACAGTGTAACCGAACCCACCGGCGATGGATCATCAGATAGTCGTAGCTTGCAGCTGGATTTGACGAGTATAGCGAGCCTTGTTGAAGAAGTTGAATCACACGGCATCTTCTTCCTTTGCTCACAATCGAGGAGAGTCAGATCATTTGCCGTCAAAGTTCTGAAAATCGTCACAGACTTCGACGTGGCCCTTGGAAGGAAGATCGATAGGATTATACATATCCTTGAGGGGGACTCTCAGAGGGTCATGAGTATTAATGACGAGCAGCTTACTGTCGCAGAAAGGAGTCGATTGCAGAAAGGCAAGCGCAAGAGCATATCACAGAATACCTTGATCGAATTGTGTAGCAGCGATGTTTCTTACGACGCAACTCTATGGTTAAAACTTTTTCCCAACATTATCCGCCTTAGTTTTGAAGTTTGCCCATTTGCTTCGACCCTGGGACGCGAGATTGTCTGCGCTCGTTTGCTCCAAATGCATGATAGCATCACTAGGCTAGGTTCTGACGTCCGAGGACCTGTGCCAGGCTCGGACCATGGTCCTATACGCATTCTTAATCGACTTGGGGCCACATCACCAGAGATAATAATCGAGCAGTGGAAGTTATACCTAGTCATGGCTTGTACAACAATGACCAACCCAGGTGCTCAGACGCAAAGCCAGCTTGACAAAACACAGCATGCCCGTAAGATATCCCGGGGAATACACCAAGGGCAGGATAAAATTAGCTCAGCCCGAGCTCTGTTTGCGTACATCATACCTCTTTTGACGGCAGGCCAAAGCTCGATTCGCGATGCAATTGTCATTGCTCTGGGTTCTATCAATATCAATCTCTATAGAACGCTACTGGAGTCCTTGCAGTACGCGGTGACTACGTGTAAGGAGGAGGCAAAACAGCGCATTGGCACCCATCAGCGGACCGGGAGCAATCCCAGGCGAAATCCTCGCACAGACCGCCTCAGGACAGAGGTCACCCAAGTCTATAGACTGACTGCGCGTTTTCTGCATGAACCGGCAGTCTTGCGGGACGAGTGGATAGTCAGCAATCTCTGTACCTACTCGAAGGACCTGATGATCTTCCTAAACGACGCTGAAATTCAAAATGACTGGGAGTGTCAGAAGCTCAGACGTCAATACTGCGGGTTGTTGGAAGAGCTTTTCGACGGCATCAACCGAACACCAGATCCTTCGCGTTATATGGCATTCGAATCAAGGAAGTCCGCTTTCGCTCTCATGGAAGACTGGTGTGGCTATTCTCCCAATCAAGGTCGGATCAATCAGCGAGAGGACAACATGAGGCAATCCGTCCTAGAACAGCATCAAGAAGCTGGAGAGAAGACAAACGTCACAGCGACAATGGAGATCGAGAAGAGGAACTTAAGGACTGCTGCCCTAAGTGCCATGGCTGCTCTTTGCGCGGGCCCAATAAGAGTCAAAACCGACCGGGGAGACAACTTGTCATTTGACGTTCGCCGGATGCTTTCGTGGATTGATCAAATATTTGGACAAGTAAGCGACAAGTTGCATAGCATTGGACGTCGAGCTCTTCATAACCTTATCACATACAATCGTGACTTTGCTTACCTCTTAGAGTACTCAATTGAGAAATGCTATATAGCAGACCCTCCAAGAGCTCTGGAGAGTTATTTCGAAGTGGTGACCAAAGTCTTGCTTGAGCAAATCGACTACCCCGTGGCTTTCTGGAGGATTCTAGGAGCTGTGCTTTTCACACTGGGAAATGAGAAGGGCGAAATCAGGATGAAGTCTGCAAAGCTTCTGCGGCTCTTCGAACAACGTCAACAGAAAGGATCCAAGATCCAGGACTTCGACATCAGCATCTCAGATCGAACCACGGCGGTCTACAAGTTGGCTCAATTTGAGATATCAAAGAGACTGGCAGCACAACACACCGAACTTGCTTTCTTCATCTTTTCTCAATTTGCAGTTCATTTCAAGAACATACATCCAGACAGTCAGCGCAGTATGGTGGCAGCTATCCTTCCTTGGATACAGGTCATTGAACTGCAGATAGACCCAAGCGGTGGCCCAACTTCTCAATCATACATGGTTCTCGCCAACCTTTTGGAAATTACTACAAAATCTAGTGGCGCCTTACACAACGAAATTCAAGCACTCTGGCAAGCACTCGCAACCGGGCCGCATCCGGGAAACGTGCAGCTGGTCCTGAATTTTGTGATATCTCTCTGCCTAGACAGGCGAGAGCAGAGCTTTGTCGACTACGCCAAACAGATTATTGTCTATTTATCGAGTACTCAAGCTGGACAGAAAGTAGTCGAATTTCTACTCTTACAAATCAATTCCAGAAACATGGTACAAAAGAAGCGAGATCCTATTGTCTTGCCGTCAGATAACTTGGGCCTGCCATATGTCGCAGATCTATCGGAGGCATTGCCGATTGGCAATAAACAGGTAAGATTATCCGGCCCATCATCTTCTATTCGATTGCTAAATTTCACAGTCCGGTTTCTCCTTGGGACAACTTTCGTTGATATTCCTTGTTGACCTCATGGTCTCTCCTATGAAACTTAGCAAGGAAAGCGTCCCTCTGTTGTTGCAGGTGGTTATCGTACTGTGGGATCATTATACCTTGCTCGTGCAAGAACAAGCCCGCGAAATGCTCGTTCACCTAATCCACGAACTTGTCATTACTAAGATTGGCGACAACACCACGACACCCAACAAACAGACTATCGAACTGTTTGTAGAGTCCATTAGGCAAGATGAACCCAAGGTTGTCTGGACTTACGAGGAGTGGAACGGCAAAGACGAGATCGACGACAGCAGTCGGGTTCCAGCTTCTATGACCCACGTTACCGCCAAGGTCGTTAGCCTTTTTGCCATTGCATATCCTCAGATACAGGAGCAGTGGGTCAGAATGACGCTTGGCTGGGCCACTTCATGTCCAGTCAGGCACATAGCTTGCCGATCATTTCAAGTCTTTCGCTGTATCCTCTCCACCTTCGATCGGCCCATGCTTGCAGATATACTTGCTCGGTTATCAAATACCATCGCAGATAAAGTTTACGATGTACAGATCTTTTCTCTGGAGATACTGACTACGTTGAAGACCATCATTGAAGCGTTGGAGCCGACGGACCTGCTACAATATCCCCAGCTTTTCTGGGCAACGTGCGCTTGTATGGATACCGTGTATGAGCGAGAATTCATCGAAGTCCTTGGGATGCTGGAGAAACTACTTGGCAAGGTCAATCTGAGCGATCCAGCCGTAGTCAAGATATTGGAGAAAGCTAAGCCCGATAAGTGGCAAGGTACGTTTGAGGGCATCACTCCTCACGTATACAAAGGCTTGAAGTCCGACTTGTCACTGGAGAAATCTCTTCAGATCTTGGATCGAGTGATGCACTTGCCGGACAGTGATTTGGTAGGCACAGAGACTCGACTTCTCTTTGGGACTCTGGCCAACCTACCGCGGTTTTTGCATTCTTTCGATGATCCGAACAAGAAACTTGAATGCATACAGAGTGCACAGATACTGGCATCGGTGGCGGAGTATCAGGGAAATCAGGAGATCGCGATGGTTCTCAATACTTTTTCAAATAGTCGGTTCAAAACAAGCGGCGATTTCCTCACGCAAATACTATCCGCGCTTCGAAAGACCTTTTTCCCAACCTGGGAGCTCAAGACCTTGATATTTTTGATCGGGCTCCTCACTAATCGGCTTCATTGGTACAAAGTTAGGACTTTGGAAGTTCTCCTGGCAGTTATTCAGAACGTCGACACGCGTCGGACAGAGATTGCGAGTCATGGCCCGGACCTGATCTCGCCCTTGCTCCGACTTCTTCAGACGCAGTATTGCCCACAAGCATTGGAAGTCATGGACCATATCATGACTATGTCTGAGACGCCAATGTCGAAACATCATTTGCGGATGAGTCTCATTAGCTCGGGATCTCGTACTACACGCAAAGAATACGACAAAACTCAGAGTCTGTATGGCATTCCAGAGGAAACGGGGTGGTCAATACCAACCCCGGCCATCCACTCGAATAATACAAGAGGAAATATGCAGGCCGTGTACCTTGCCTGCATCCAGAGCGACTCTACCCAAGCTGAGGCCATACCAACACCAGAAGTCGAATTCCATGCCGATGATGAAAACCCTGGCTCATACTTCCCGCTCGAGCGTTCCGATACCCTCGTTTCCGAGGACACCTACGCCTACACGGATACTAGTATGGAAGGCGGCATGGGCGACCTCCTCACTAAGCTCAACAGCCTCGATGACTTCTTCGAAGACTCTCTAGACGTAGAGAATGATGCGTCAAATCGCTATTCCACTCTCACGGTCACTCCTTACAATCATGATTTAGACAATGGCGCCGATATATATGATCAACAGACAGCGCCCATCCTTCACAAATCTCTTGCCCGCACCGCCTCCGTCATATCGTTCAATAACGGCTTCACCGACCCACGGATGACCTCAAGTAACAGAGACCCCGGCATCATGACACCCACAGCCTTCACTTCGCCATCCACCACAATGTCGCATACGGCTGCTCCACCTCCCACGCGCCCGACCCTCCACTCCCGCTCTGTCACGTCTCCAGCCAACAACCTGGCGACCAGATCTAACAACGCCAGCGAACTCTTCTCCGATGACGAGGGCGACGAAACTTTCTCCGAAGACGAGCGCTCCACGGGCCATGGCTCCAAGCTTTTAGGAAGCACCTCCCTTAGCAGCGCCGTGTCGACCATTCGGAAAATGGCGCCGGGGCTGGAAGGCAAAGACTACAGACAACGCGGGCTGTTGAGGGCGCAATCCAGGGGTCAGCAGCAGGGACCCGGAAGTCCGAGGGTACCCAAAGTGCCCGAGGCTTATCTGCAGAATCAGGGATCAAGGCCCGCTGATACTTTTTGAGAGCTGCGTATGCTCCACGAATGATGATGCGTCCCCCGCATTCACGGTGTTTTCGCCATTGTTGCATTGTACTACTAGATTCCTTGGCGCATCTTCATAGCGGTACGATAGCGAGCGAGCTCGTGTTCTCTCTTATGGCATTGCACCGGCGTTCGCAACATGTATGTCCCTGAACGGATGGCATGGAAGGTGATACCTATAGAAGCATCGCTGTACCATTGGCGGCTTTGTGCATGTACGTTAGCTGAAGAATTGGACGAACTATTTCCTGGTGCTACACTTGCCTTCCCAACTGCAGGATGGATCGTACTCATCGATCACGAAGTCATGGAAGGAACGTAAGTCATCATACTGGCTAAAGTGCGGCACTAAAATTGGATATCTATACCGAGGCAACTGACCCAAAAAAAAATCGGCAAGCTACTCCTACACGAGGAACCTCCAACAGCTTCCGTCTTTACCAACCGGGCCCCTTCTCTGGCGCGGTCTTCGGTTTCGGATCTTCCGCTGGTTTCTTCGGCTCCTGCTTCTTGACCTCAGCTCCCTCTTCTTCGCCATCATCCTCTGCGACCTTCTCCTCTCCAGGCTCAGCTTGCTTTTTCTGCCTTTCCATCTGAGCGTGAAACTCATTCTGCGTCTCTTCGCCGTCGTCACCCTTGATTTTGGGCCGGCTGGCTGTGTCTTTGCCAGCCTGTCTTGCCAAGTGCTCAGAGGCTTCCATTTTCGCACTTTCCTTCTGTTCTGCCGGTATGATATCCTCATCTACCTCAGGCTTTCTCTGAGCACCTCCACGACGGGTTTTCTTAGGAGGTTGCACTCCGACGTTCATGGGATCGTACACTTGGTCAAGGTGACAGAAAAGGTCAAGCGCGCTGTTAGGCTCGCGTTTCGTGATTTCCGCCTCAACTTTACAGCCGCCGATGTCGCGGCGATACGCCTCCGTGAACGTCCACGCGTCGTCATTGGCCTGGTTCTGGGTAAGAGTCAGGCCGTCGAAAGCCAGAAGGGGCAGGTTGGGGATTTCAGGGAGATCGCCGGAATTTGGGAGGATTGAGAGCAGGGTAGATGACGAGAGAGAATGTTCAGTGTTGGGTGGGGGACGGTCCTTTTTTTCGTAGACCAAAGATAGAGGTTCGTCGGGATTGAGCTCGGGTACGGAGGCGGGAGTAGAAGGTTCTCTGGGGAATTCTTCGGGGACTTGGTAGAGTTCATCGTGCACGGTGGCAATTGCTTCGCCGTCGATAGAGATGGTGGGGTAGAGGAGTGAGTAACGGCGTGCACACATCAGCTCGAGGAGAAACTCTAGCCAGGACGGATGCTTCTTGCTGACCAATTTCGTACGGGTTGTAGGTGGCTTGGAGAGGCGGGCGGTGAGGAAAGAGTGAAATTCCATCCACTTGTCGCCAAAATAGAGAGCAGCATTACTGTTGGGAGCTTGCCAGAGGAATGGTGTAGGTTCCCCTGGTGAGCCACCTTCGCGATTGGACGGCGGTTTTTCCATCAGGGGCGGTACGAGCGGTTCGCTGTCGTTCAGAAAGTGCGTGGGGAGTTCGAGGCTGATACCCATGAGGTGTGGAGAATTCTTGGTTTCCTTACCGTGGGCGGAGTATTTGTACTCAAGTAGATGGTATATGAGATAATGATAATACAAGGGCGAAAGCTCGATTTGAGGAGACAGTAACAGGACATGGGAATCTTTCGTCCTCACTGGATAGAATGACTCAATCAAACGTGCAGAAGCCTCATATTCTGTCAAGGTCCGACGAGGTATACGGTGTCGAAGTGAAACTTGTGAAGCGTGCGATGCTCCTGAAGAGTCCACCGGTGGCCATACAAAGTTCTCGAGATATCTCCAAGTGGCAGCGTCAATCTCCGCAGGAAGCTCGATTGTCAAATGCGGCCGTCGCGTGCCAAGATAGTCTGCGCTTTCGATAGATTTCAGGAGGCGGACAAGGGATCCCGACGAGCCTGATGGTGCCTGGATGAGCAAGTCGATGTAGGTCGTGGACCACGCTAGAGGTCGTCAGTGACCGAGCACGTATTGAGAGTAGTAGAACAAACCTGCAAGTGATCCGCTATCAAGCCGTGTAATCCACATCATATTCTCCGTTGCGTCCGATGGCAGTTCTATAATTGACTTGCCGATATCCATGGCCTTGCTCCTCAACGTCGTTACGAAGAAAGTATCTTCCCTGCTTGGATTGTCGATAACGATAACTTGAGGATGTACGAAGGTCTGAATATGGTCCATACTCGCTTCCACGCTAACCTCCATACGAAATTCTGAACTCCAACGAGAGTAATCCGGACGAGCGTCTGCAATCCCAGATCAGTAGTTGATGGGTCGAAACTGGTTACACTTCCTACCATGCCAATGAACATTGCAATCATCGACAGCCCCGTTGAGGCTCTTGATCTCTTGTATCTCCATGTCATCTCTGCCCATGATGGCGAAGTGGACGTCATTCCTCTCCCATCGAGCCATCTCGCAGGCCAGTGGTATGATCTCGGAAGCGCTTTTCAAGCTCGCCGCAGCGAATAAAACATTTTTATTGAATTCATGTTGACCGCCTAGTCGCGCAACGGAATGCAGCGATGAAGCCAGCTTGTAGAATTTGATGGGTCCATCGTGATAATGTTCCTCTGCCTCGGATGGTGTTGCAGGACGTTTTGGCTTTTTGGCTGGTGGGTCTACCGTTCCTTCAGGGAGCTTGCCAACGTGAATGGCCCCGGGATTGAAATCTCGTGTACTTGGCCCCAGATCGTCTGGAATGTTTTTGACGAAGACATAGATAAAGAGGAGAGCGCAGATGCCGTAAATGATCCTCCTCCTTCGGAATACCGGCGAAGTCTTTCGGGCAGACCATGATGATGATGACGATGATGATGATGGAGCATTGTTGGTGTGCGGCCTATGGTCATCGTCTTTCTTTCCAAGCTCTTCGTCGCCCGTGAACATTCGCCCAAGCCAAGACATCTGCTTGTCGGCTACCCGAAGCTCGAGGGATAGCACGAGCGCATCGTCAATCAATTGATTATGGCTGAACGTGAGTCCATTGAGGAAAGAAAGAGGTCAGATTTGATGTATGCCGCAACTTTTCATCAGCACTCGTGTACGAATAATATCCAGGGTAGCTATCAGCAGGTATTGGCGGTCGAGGTGCCTATTAGATACCTGGTAGGGCATCTATTTATGGTTCGCGCTGCGGCACGAGCCGCCTCCCGATTACTCTAGCTTCGATCCTTTCTGAATTCACTGGCTACTGGTTGGCCTGGTGTTCCTCTCGTTCCTGAAGCTTTCCTGGCGTTCAAGTACCATTTGTACTCTTCTTTGGAAGGGGTGAGCTGAGGAATTTTGCATGTTTTACGATTGAATTTTCTGGGAGGAGTGGTTATAGTGTGGCAAGGGTTGGTTACATGGGCACTGGAGTCGAATAGGAAGCGGACGGAGGGACCGAACAGCAAAAAGTCTCAACCTCTCTCTTTTTTTAGTACTGTCTACGAGAATTCTATCGCGTTGTCTCAGGGCATCTTTCGAAAATGCAAGAAGCCGTTCTTCATGACGAAGCCACTCATCGGGGAACTAAGAGGAAAGCGGAAGAGTCCAATCTAGCTTCTCAGGCTCCAAAGAGGATCAAGGTAGCATGTCCGATGAGAGTTAAGGGCAGAGCCGCAGCTGATGCGCTTATCCAGGCTCTTGATCAAGATGTTGTCAACAAAATTGCTGCCGGCGAGATTATAGTCGCTCCCGTTCATGCTTTGAAGGAATTGATTGAAAACGCAGTGGATGCTGGCTCCACTTCTCTCGAGATTGTCGTCAAGGATGGAGGGCTGAAGTTGCTTCAGATCACCGATAACGGCCGCGGCATCAATGTCCGTCTCTGTGCCATACAGATCATGGGCGCCCAGGTATTTGCTGACACCCGGATCAGAAAGATGACCTACCTATTCTTTGCGAGAGGTTTACAACGTCCAAGCTCAAGACCTTTGAGGATCTATCCTCAATTGGCACGTATGGCTTCAGGGGAGAGGCCTTGGCTAGCATCAGCCATATTGCTCATCTCACAGTTACCACCAAAACCGCAGACTCAAGCTGCGCTTGGCGTGCCCACTATGCTGACGGCAGACTGACACCTGCAAAGCCTGGTCAAAGCACAGAGCCGAAGCCCACTGCAGGTCGCGGTGGTACACAGATTACGGTAGGTAGGTCTCAACACTCCTCGTGATCAATTCTTATTATGACAGGTCGAGGACCTCTTTTACAACATGGCTTCTCGTCGAAAAGCTTTTCGCTCCCCTAGCGAGGAATACGCCAAGATCCTTGAAATTGTAGGTCGTTATGCCGTACATTGTACAGGGGTCGCATTTTCATGCAAGAAGCATGGAGAATCTGCTGTGGGCATATCCACGCCCTCGAACGCTAGCACTGTTGATAGCATTCGCCAAATCCATGGAACTACTGTTGCCAACGAGCTGATTGATTTTCAAATCAGTGATGGAAAATGGGCTTTCAAAGCTTCTGGCTGGACGAGTAATGCCAACTACCACATCAAGAAGACAACACTTCTCCTCTTCATCAATCATCGTTCTGTGGAATCCTCGGCGATCAAAAAGGCTATAGAGCAGACTTACTCGGCCTATCTACCTAAGGGTGGTCACCCGTTCATCTATCTCAGCCTGGACATCGATCCTTCACGAGTCGACGTTAATGTACATCCTACCAAGCGCGAAGTCAATTTTCTCAATGAAGAAGAGATTATCGAAAGCATCTGCGCAGAGATATCTACCAAGCTATCACAGGTCGACACAAGCAGAACGTTCACGACTCAGTCCCTCCTCCCCAGCGCCAAAACACCTGTCCCAACCCTCTCCAAAACCCGGGCAGAAACCCCAAAGTCGAGCCAGAAACAATCATCCGCCACTCCGGCCAAGCCATGGGAGTACCAACTTGTTCGCACCGACCCTCAGCTACGCAAAATAACTTCCATGCTCCCACCTTCGAATAACAATGCGTCCACACCTGCTCCTCCATCGACTACCTACCTCACCTCGGCCAGAGAACCCACAGAGTACAACTATAGAACGATCAAGCACCTCCGAGCATCAGTCCGTGATTCCATGCATGCTGGACTGACAGCTGTATTCGCATCTCACACCTACGTCGGCGTCGTGGATTTCAACCGTCGAATAGTCGCGATCCAAGGCGGCGTCAAGCTATACCTCGTCGACTACGGCATGGTTTCGAATGAGTACTTCTACCAGCTGGGCCTCACCGACTTCGGAAACTTCGGTGCCATCAAGTTTGAAACCCCGCTGGACATCAGATCCTTAATCCACATCGGCGTCAAGCACGAAAAGGCACTTGGAAATCCAGAAGACGAAGGCGTGCCCTGGGATACCGTCCCAGATATGGTCGCGACCCAGCTCATCGCTAGTAGAGAAATGCTATCACAGTACTTCACCTTGGAAGTCTCTCCCGCGGGCGAACTCGTCAGTCTCCCGCTTCTGACGAAGGGCTACACCCCCAGTCTAGCCAAGCTTCCCCGTTTCCTGATGCGCTTGGGCCCGTGCGTCAACTGGGTCGACGAGGAGAGCTGCTTCCATACCTTCTTGACGGAGTTGGCGAGCTTTTATACGCCGGAGCAGCTGCCCACCGGAGCGTTGGCGGGGACCCGGACGGCGGGACGGACGAGCCGAAGGCTGGCCTTGAAGCACGCAGGGAAGACATGGGCAGAGCGCTCGAGCACGTCCTGTTCCCGGCCTTCAGGGCGAGGTTGGTCGCCACCGAGGGTCTGCTCAAGGGTGTGGTGGAGGTGGCGGATCTGAAGGGGCTTTATAGGGTCTTTGAACGGTGTTAGGACGTTCGCGTTGGACTTTGCGAGCACGGTGTGGAATCTATGACATTTGCAGTTTGGGCAAGCGGGCATGAGAATGTGGCGAAATCGGAGAGCATGGATTCGTGACATCGTCATTGCTTAGCATGCAAATGTGTACTTAGGAGCGCATTCTGTCATCATCATCATCATCAATCTGCCACCACATCCTCCCAATTTTTGATTTCCCTTCAATCTCCTCACCTCCCCGCAAAATCAAAAACATGTTACCAATGAAACCTCCCCCCCTCCCCCTTCTTTTCCGCCACGATCTCACTTCCCCCCCTCACGCCCCGCGAACCCGGCCGTCTTCCCCACGAGCTGCCGCGCGACCGGCACTCTGGTCATGACGTCCATCTCGATGGGCTTCCCGCCGCGCAGGAGCCGGATCTGCCGGACGGTGCGGAAGCCGAGGCGGCCGTAGAGGTTCAGGTTGAGGACGTTGCTGCATTCGAGGTAGCTGGTGCGGTTCTCGACGTCGGCCTAGGTTCTCCCCTCGTCAATGACCGGACTCCCACCCTTTCTTTTTTTCCAAAAAAAAACCCGGACGGAAAAGAAAACATTGCGTATGTGAGCGGGTTGGGATTGGATTGGACTTACCTGCTTGGTGGTATGCTCGATCAGACACTTGGCGTACCCTTTGCCCCTGGACCCCGGTTTCGTGCCGATGTAGACGAGGTACCAGGAGTTTTCGTCGTCGTTGCCTAGGACGTGATGTTTGGTGTCGTGCAGCAGGGGGAGGAACTCGTCGAAGAAGCGCTTCTTGCCTTCCTTGGACAGTTTCCAGTTGAGGCCGAACATGCCGCTCCAGAGCATGGTGCAGAAGTCGTCCATGTTTTTGTTCGGGGGCATCCTGTTCCTCGAGGCTTGGGTTAGTCGCTTGTTTACTTTCTGACTTACTTGTGTATTCCGAGTCCATAGGGTTTGGCGCGGGGATGATGGTCAGACGCACCAGAGAGCCACACAGTCGTAGTTTGGGCCAACGACGGTAGCCAATCCACTTATGATGTGCGCATAGGTAATGCATTCCATGATGTGGAGATGCAACTTCCACTCATCGGCCGCGGTGAAGTTCTTGCGGTCGCCCGTTTTGACAAAGTACATGACGACATCGTCGTCTTTAAAGGCTTCGGCGAGGCAAAGGGCGGCCTCCTTGTACTCGCTTTTGTGGAGGACGCGGACTTGGTGGTTGGCGGCTGAAGCGGCAGCAGCGCTGGAGCTGGAGCTGGAGGCTTGCGAGATGCTGGGGAGGGACTCGACTGTGACGGCTGGATTAGATTTCTTCTCCATGGTTTCTGGCGGTGGAGCAGCTTTCTCTGTTGGGTGAGATGGCTGAAATGTTGTTGGTTTGCTGAGTAGACTGATTCATCCGCCTGGCAAGGGTCAGCAATGGTGCACTTGTACATATGAGGCCTATGTCGAGATTTCGAGCTTACCTTCCTTCCACTCTACCGTTCAATGACGATCAATAGGTCTTGTTAAATCACCACTATGTTCTTTCGACAACTGCGTTCTCGACACCGTCTCGAAACGAGACGGATAACGCAAGCAGGTAAGAGATTGGCGTATATCAACCGACATCAACGCAGATGTTGAAGCTTTTCAATCCGAAGAAGATGATAGTATTTTCTGGTCAAGGGAATCCCGGACTTTGCTCGGGACGTCTCCAGTAAGCGAAATTGAGGGTAAATTGATAAATTGGATTTGATAAGTTGTAAGTAAAGCTTGTGAAACCTCGAGATTGGTCGATACTGTTGCAGTTCAGACCTTGCCAAAATTCAGTTTGAGATGGAAGACCAGCACTGTAAAACAGGGTATTTGAAGGTCGGTAAGAAGAGAAGGAGGAAAATGCGGAAGAGTGACAAGAAGACTTGGGAGGATTTAAAGGTCTTGTGATGGAGATGCATTCACTGACTGAAAGTGATTGGATGAAAAAGCAAGTAACCTGTCGGATCGAAGCGATGCCCTTTCCGTAGTGCGGGAAGGCCTCTAGACTCTCTAGACTTGCCCATTTTAGAGTCTGGGTCGCGACTCCTGCATATGTCAGATACTTGGGTCACTGGCATTGGCCAGCATCATTTCACTGATAAGGCAGCTATCCCCGCCGGGTTCCTTTCTAAAATTGCAGCATGCAAGAGGTGTGTAATTCTACAGGATGTCTTGTACCTAGATGTTTTCAAATCAATAGAAGAGATTCTTTCTAGGCCATTGTGCCTATCAATTGCATGCCCTTGAGCCGTTACCTTAAGAAGCTCAACGAAAGATCTGCAGTAAGGTCCCTAAGGGTATAATGTTGGATGGATCGCTTGTACCTGCTACATCGAGTATGGCTGCTCTTGGTTACTCCCGTAGTTCCACCAGGTCCGCAAGCATCCTTCTACATTCATCTGCCTTTACATCTCCACTCAGACTGGGTATGGCATATGATAAGAAGCCTGCAGTTCGCGTTGAAAGGATCATGACATCATGCCCTCCTCTTAGCACGTCCGACGCTTTCAATTACAGCATGCGTCGGATTTGACTCTCTCCAGTATATTTTTCCAAGCCTTGATCCAAATGTTCCCACCACTCAAAGAGCATTGACTCGCAAATCAGCTTGAACCATGGCGTAAATTTCAGACTGTCGTTCTTGAACATCGCTTTTAGTTCCGCCTCCGAGACGTATCGAGTATCTTTCACTTCATTGGGGTTCGGCGTGTGGTCAACATCGGCCTTGATGAACAGGATATAATCAACTAGATTCGGGGCTATTAGTGCGCTCCTGGGGTCATCGGAGTCAACAGGAAAGACTGACTCTCGTGCTCTCCCCATTTGCCATCACTCGGCGCTTTGTAGTGTATCCTCGTCAAGAACCGGAATTTGTCCAGTGGCACTCCCTTCGCCCCAATACCAAGCTCTTGGTCTAATTTCCTCTGCGCCGCCCTTCGAACCCCTTGCACGGCCGCCTCTAGCTCGTCTCCCGTCTCTCCAGGTACTCCCAATGGATGCGAGCAGCATGTGTTGGTCCACATGTCTGGGAATGTAATCTTCTCGGAAGCTCTCTGTTGTAGCAGCAGTCGATTTTTCGAGTCGAAGAGGAAGACGGAGAAAGCTCGGTGTAGTAGGCCTTCATTGATGTTCGTCATGAGATGGCCTAATCACCAGTCAGCAATGGTGCTGGCGAGAAGGGATACACGTTGAACGTACAGACTTTCTTGCTCGCGCTTCCTATGGGCACATCGTTCTCATCGAGGACAATGCAGACCTCCTCCATCAAGCGAATCTGTTCCTCATCGTAGCCTTGCAAGTCAGCGTCACTTGTGGGTACTCTATGCGAGGTAGCTAAGTGAGTGTCGACGTCGGGAAACAGTCGTATGACGTTCTCTGCGGTGATTGTTTGCGTTTCGGTTGTAGTGCTGCCCATTTTGAAATCGATGTCTACCAAATTTTTGAGCGCTATAGCATCAACTTTGTGGATGTAGAAAGTCTTCAATGCGGTGGGGGGTTGATGGGGGAAATACAACAAAAAGATGACCGAGGACCGATCTGGCCGATCCCCGACAGCCGACCGATTAGATTAGGGCTTCTCTCGGGCTTCGAGGTGGACCTTGCTCGGGTTGCGTTAAGGACAAGCAGATATCTAGGCACGAGTCCTCACCAATTGGGACTACATACTAAGAGACAATTTCCTCTAGATCATTCAGCTACTAGAACCCCATGTTACTCGTATGATCTGAACATAATTTCTCCGGATGCAATGTTTCTAATCTTGTTGGAAAGCTAGCTTTCTTCCTGTCGACAAGTTTTGAAAAGTACTGCCAAGATCTGAATCGAGAAAGCCAGGTAGGTACCTATTCGGGAAGTAACTAAATTTCTTGGCTACGAACATCAAATTTTGTTAGTAATCTCGGATGCTTCTATACCTCAGCCAATGCTAAATAAAATACCGTTAGCATAGTTTCAGGGTGGCTGCGCCATATTTGTATGGGCGCCACACCAAAATAAGGCGCGACGTCGCCGAGACATCGTTGTCGTCGTCAGCGACCTCGCTGTCACTTGCAATGGGGCGGGGAATAGGGCGGGGAAGGCTTTCAGCAGTCCGCCTGCATTGCTACCTGTCAGGGCGGAATTTGTATGGGGGATGTAGCGGAGTTGGCGGCCTACTATGGAGGTTTCGGAAGACTTCGCTATCACCTCTCATGAGGTGGAGAAGGCTTCTAGATAGCTACCGAGGCCCGCAGGCCTTACTACCGCTTAGGGCGGAATTTATATAAGAGATGCAGCGGAGTTGGCAGTCTACTATGGGGGGTTCAGGGACACCTCACTGTCGCCATAGAGGGGTTCCATAGAGGGGTTCCATTGAGGGTTCCATTGGGGGCTATCTACTCCGCATCCTTCATACGATATCACCCCGAAGGCACCTCTGGGTCTCGCTGACGGTTTCCCTTTATATAAACGACACCACCAATAGAATATCTGAGCGCCTTTTCCAGTGGTCGCGTTGTTGGGCTTATTGCATACCTAGAAATTGTCTATTAAAGGCCAATACGCGTCGAATTCTTCGGCTATCTAGCAAATAGGTGTGCCTAACGAGAAAGTAGCTTAACGCGTCTCTGGGATATGAGGGGGTAGCTTCAGCATTGTTGACGCTAGCTCCGGGGGTATCACTGGGGCGAGCTTGCTACGCTTGCTACCCTTTCGGGGTGTTCTTTCCGTTCGTCTAGGGAGGTAAACGCCTTGCGTTTGTGGGTAGAGGGCTTCGAGGGGGCGATGGTGACCTGGACGCGTCAGAATAGGTGGGCCTGCTTCACTCGCTATCGCTGGGGCTGGCGTATGAGGCGGGGGTACGACATTGAGGCTATTGGGAATGGTATACGCGAAGATTTGACGATAGCGAGGTGTGGGAGGGGTGGGGGGTAGAGGGTGGCGATGGCGAGGTATGGGGAAGACGGTAAGATCAGCCAGGACGTGTCCCCTATTTACTACTGCAATCTCTTACTAATCAGGGGAATGTGGCTGGGTCGGCCTAATGGCTCTCGGTACTGTACACTAGCGTTGGCTGAGGTTTAGAAGCACCCGTAATCTCAACTTTATCTCCGTCTCTCCATTTCTTCTCCAAAAGAATTCTGTCTCTACAAATTATGTCTCAGTTAACTCTTTTCGATTATGGTACCTCTTCTTCTGCTGCCTACGTACTGCGAATCGTCATCAAAAAAGCGTCAACAACAGGAAATGGCTGCCCTCTCGCATTCGCTCCCAAATCAGCTACAATTTCAGAGAAATCAACAAATCCTGGCAACGTCGAGATCCCACACTCTACAACATAACAATACGCTGTCAACCTCAGCCTGCAACACCTCATAGCCTCCTCTCCATTCGAGGCTTTAACAAATCATCTACTAGACTTCTCCCCGTCCTCCTCTCGATACGGCTCTCAATTTCGCTGTATCCTACACACGTCCTTTGACGTATAGATTTTCGGTCCAGTCTCCACTTGAAGATTACGAGAATCCTATTCGTTTCAACAAAACAGCGAGATAAGAGCTTCGGTACGGTGCGCTGGAGATACTGGTTCTCTCGCTAACACTGTTCTGAAGCTATGTGACGATATTTCGTATCGTTACTACGGTGAAGATAAGGACGACGAGGATGCAACGAGGACGGGACGAGACGCGAGGACGAGGCGACGCGACGCGGGTACGTCGGCGTTACTTGACGCTCTCGGGACGTATACTCTGGGTGGGGGTCTCGCTTGGCCTTCTCGAACGTTGGCATTTATCGTACCTGTCTCTCGGCATATCTCGCATTCGTTCGGTGTCTGAGCTGTGGTCTTTATTCTGGATTAACCGCGTATCTTTTTTTTCGTTATGGGGGGATCCGAGATTAATCAATGCGTACCGTAACTGTTCATTGTGCATGTTCTCGTGTTCCTGTTGTTTTTCTCTCTATTATGATTTGAGTTCGAGTGTATTGAGCTGAGTCTGCTCATCATCCTTACGTAACAAGCCTGGGGTAGTCCTATGTCCCTAGATATCCTTAAGAAAAAGCCAGCAATTACTGGTAAGCGTTCTTGGCAACATCCGGAAAGACATCTGGAGCCCAGCTCGAAATATAATGCATACTCATTCCCCATCTATTGCCCAACAATGAGGATGGAGACCATGATATCCATTCCGCTCAACAGTACCAACATTAGAAGTTTGACCTTCAAAGGCGTCAACCAGATGTCGCAATGATATCGTAGCGTCGCAGGGACAAGATGCGTTTAACAAGATCCGGAGACTGCACCTCGAAAGTTTTCGGCTCCGGACATAGTTCTGCGATCTCCCCATGACAATTTCCCATATCCGCGTCCACTAGGCTGGTGCGTGCTACGGCGCTTGAGTCGCCGATGATCAGATGCCGCAAATGTGATCATAATTTTTGATTCTGAAGCATGCGAGGCAGGCCATATGATAAAGTTGAAATGTGGAAGATGTTGATGCGATGAAACAATGAGGTAAGTTTGCGATTTGTGCTACAGCAGGCGAGCAAGGTTGCTGTGATGTTCTTGGTCGAGATGTGAGAGGGGAGCCGGACTTGCCATACGACAAATTCTTGAGCTATGGACCAGGGGTATTTCCATGTCACGGGGTAACGGTCTTGTCTTATGTGTTGGCTTTTCCTTCGCTGCCCTTGACCTCGGGAAAGAGAGTAGTCTTTGACATGGTCTTGATCTTTACGCAAGGGATAAACATCGGATGTGGCAATTGGGTGAGAGCGGCTTTTGCTTCACGTAACGGAGTTGCTCTTTGGCAAATTCTGTAGCTGGAACACTATCCCACACCCTGATGAGGTATGCTTTCCTTTCCTTGGAATACCCTTGAGGGAAAGCCCCGCCAGGAAATGGGAGAATGACACATCATCTGGCCATCTACATTCTCTTCTCCTGTTGACCTGGAACTCATCGGCTTGACGCAGCGTTAGTAGATAGGAACAGAACACAAGCTGCTACTATTGCGCATGATACGATGGTGAAGACCTGTAGGTTGACCATCAGCCGCGAAAACGATCAACACGTGGGTTTCTTCTGCCCGGATCCGAGGAGTATACTCACGACTTGTGTCTTCCACCCACTCTGTACCAAGGCTTGTCTCCGCGAATATTTCGTAACAGTCTTGACATAATTCGCAAACCCACTAGCCAGGCAAGCGACACTCAGAAACCAAAAAATCAGTCCTACGGGCAATGCTATCCGTTTCTCAATGCTGGTGGGCTGAGATTTAAGATGGAAAGATATGACAATGGCCACGCTGACGACGGACATGTAGATGCTCAGTCGAAGCCATGAGAGGAAAGTCCTTTCGTTGGCACAGTGGTCGCGGGCGTCGGAAGATTCGTTGGGGAAGAGCAAGGGAGCGAAGATTGGGCGGGAGAGGAACAGGTGGCCCGGGGAGGTTGAGGAGCTGTCAACAATTAGAATAGCGCAATTGGAGGCAGCGTATCAACTCACTGGTCTATCGTGATAGCTTGAGTGCTCAGAGGCCCGAGTGCTTGAGCCACCGAAGGCATTGTAGACGGCCTCGCCAAGTTTGACGAGCGAGAATTGTTGTAAGGTTGTGGAATGAGATCTTATGCGGGGTCCCGCCGCCGGGCGCTACAGCAGCCCCCCGCTCCGGCACGTGGGGGCCTGGAAGCGTGGGGCTAGGCGGCTAAAACAAACGGCGTGCACCGTTAAATTGTGACCATTACCTTATGACATGAGCTGTCACCTGATGGCTTCATGCCCAACGGGCGTTATCACTGGTACTCAACATAGATTGACCTCCTGATACCCTGAGGTCGAACCACAGTCATGCCTCCCCCAAAGACTGAAAGCTCTCCGGCTTCAGCTCCTGATCTCGATATTCTTGGGGATCAAGTCACCATACATCCAACTGGCTATGTCGAGCCTCCTGCTAGTCAAGATGAAGGTCATGAAAGAAACCTCGTCGAACATATGGCTCGGTTCCGCGAGTCGCCTCTGGACTTCCTTCGGGAGGTCAGCCTACACGTGTCTGGAACAGGATGGAGAGCCTATGATGAGGTCCTAGGTCAGCCGATCTTCTACAGCGGCTTCTCCGAAAACATGAAAGCGGCCGTTATGAAGACACCGATGCTCAGACGAAGAATCGAAGACTTGGCGCAACGAAGGGTGGAAGTCGAGGAACAATGGGGTCTACTTGGTGATGAGAAAGACATATTCCAGAACAAAGTCCGGAGAAAAACCGAGATTGAAGCAAGTCTGCAGGAAGTTGCACTAGAATTGACGGATGGCATGATCTGCAAGATGGAGAGCAAAAGGTTTATCAGAGGGGCCTACTACCTGTGCACGCAGCTTCTGACCCGTGCGTACCACCAAGGCATCCATGTCTCGAGCGAAGAAGTGCTTCGGCTACGAGCTGTTGCCGAACAAGCAGCCAAGAAAAAGCACTCAATCGTCTTCCTCCCCTGTCACCGATCCCATGTTGACTACGTTTCGCTACAACTCATCTGCTATCGGTTAGGGATCGCTTTACCTACTGTCGTTGCGGGTGAGAACCTCAATTTCCCAGTAATAGGCTCATTTCTTCAGCATGCTGGAGCTATGTGGATCAGAAGAAGTTTTGGAGATGATGCTTTGTACACGACGCTCGTTCAATCGTACATTGACACACTACTGCAGAACGGCTTCAACTTTGAATGCTTCATTGAAGGCGGTCGATCGAGGACTGGCAAGCTTCTGTCCCCCAAATTTGGAATATTGAGCTTCCTTCTAGACAGCGTCCTGTCTGGCCGCGTAGATGATGCAATTATCTGTCCCGTGAGCACTCAGTACGATAAGGTAATCGAGACAGAGTCATATATTAGTGAGCTACTCGGTCAGCCGAAGCCAAAGGAGAACCTACAAGACTTCCTCTCCGCCTCTTCTGTACTTTCTCTGAAACTTGGGAGAGTCGACGTCCGTTTTCATGAACCCTGGAGTCTTCGGGACTTCATCAATGGCCAACAAACTCGGAAAGACCAGTCGCTCGCCACGGAGGGTCGGACCAATTTGCAAACCTCCGAGAACCGGGGGCGTCTTCTCAGAACGTTGGGCTTCAAAGTGCTGTCGGATATCAATGCTGTTTCCGTTGTGATGCCTACAGCCCTGATCGGTACCGTGTTGCTCACTCTACGCGGACGGGGAGTCGGCAAATCCGAGCTGATACGACGAGTCGAATGGCTGAGCGAGCGGGTCAGAAATAAAGGAGGTCGAGTGGCACACTTCGCCGGCGCTCCTACAGAGGTAGTTGTGGATCGGGGCCTTGAAGTTTTGGGATCTGGTCTGGTGGGTGTCGTAGATGGCTTACCAGAGACTACATATTACGCCGTCGACAGGTTCCAGTTGTCTTTCTACCGCAACATGACGATTCATCTTTTCATCACAGAAGCACTCGTGTCTGCAGCCATGTACACGCGTGTTAAACAAGGCGGAGGGCCTGACAATCAAAGAATATCGTTTGATCGTCTACATGACCAGGTGTACTTCCTCTCTCAGGTAAGATGTTTCAAATCAACGTTGATCTACTGGCTGATGACTATCGTAGCTTTTCCGCGGCGAATTTATCTACCCTACAGCAGGCCTTCTCGCTAATCTCAATGCCACTCTACGGGGTCTGGAAAGAGACGGTGTTATCACGGTCTCTCGCGATCCTGCAGGAAAGGCGCTCTCGGCAGGCTTGAGCGATACAGAGAGAAAGAATGGGCGAGAAAATTTCGACTTTTACTGTTTCCTAATCTGGCCTTTTATCGAATCGACATGGCTAGGCGCTGTGGCACTCATGGGCTTGACGCCGCCATTGGAGCAGAAGGATGAAGTGTGGCTTGACGTCGCAAAAACTCAAGACGCCTGCGCAGCTGCTGGGCAAGACGCTCTATCACCAAGGCGATCTTTCGTATTTCGAGGCCGTCAACAAAGAAACACTGAAGAACGCATTTCAGCTTTTTGAAGACGAAGGCATCGTCAATTTGCACAAAAGTAAAGATAAAAAGGTTCCCTCAACGATCAAGCTGGCTGAGGGATGGACACCTAAAAGAGACCCGGCGACGGGAAATATTATTCCGGAAGGCAACCTTTGGTCCTTCATCGAGACTATAGCGAATTCACGGAGAGAAGGCAAGAACCGTCGTGATGGTGCTACAGTCAGCACAAGAGTACTGGTGTTGGCGGACAAAGTTGGCCGGCAGTTGTTCGAAAGCGCAGCTGCTCCAGGTAACGCCGCTGTGGATGCCTTGAGAAGTCCAAAGAAGCGGAGACGGAAAGAAATGCAGACAAAAGCAAGGCTGTGACGTATCGAGCTGTAGCGAAACTGATCTTGACAGAGTCTCAGCGTCAGCGTTGCTAAGGAACATATCTAAGTGGAGCCCCGGTAAATGTGGCAGCACGCGCGGCAAGCTGCCAGATAGTGATGCAGTCTCAAGCGCCGGGTTTGTCTGTATGACACAGGCGATGGTTTTCAAGCTGGAAGCTTCCGCTGTTATCACATATATCCAGCTCAGACGGAGCCTTGAGCCAAAAGAAATCTAATCCTCGTCTCTTCCAGTCTCGACCTTTCCGGGACTCGTACCGAAACAACTACAATTATATCTGGCAGGATGCCTGACGCAAGCTCATGGCTCGACCTCTTGTTTGGCCCCCTGCGTCGTGGATACTACTTGCAGATTAGGGTAACCTTAGATCTCAGTGACATTGCCTCCGAAGATCCTGCAGCCTAGGGCCGCAAATTATTTCCTTTCCAGCAGGCTAAGACGGCAACATTGAAGGATCTTCTCTCATTCCGTACTGGCTGGTGATCAGCAGCGCCTTCAGTTGCGGATATAGGGGTGGGACGTTGGCATGGAGATGAATCGCTGGAGATTTGGATCCGTGGGATGGCATCATGGATAAGGGTGAGGATGAGCAAGTCCACGATCTGAGAGACATGAGTGGTCTGCGCGAAGAGCGTCAGTGTCAATGGAATTAGCCATGCTTTGATGCTGGGTGATCAAGATAAGGAATCAGTGATCATTGAAGCTACATGAGCTCACAATTGGATGTACATACTCCGAGGAAAGAAAATTCGCTATGATGTATGCAACATGGGGTATCTCGGGTATTGAACAAGCCCTCAAAACTCCTACTCCTCCGCTTCTGAACACTATGCAATGCGACTGATTCCTGCCGTTCTGCCCTCACTCCACGTACCTGACTTCTAGGGTGAGCCGTGATTCCCCTTTCGACGAAATCAGGCATCTGGATCGGAGCCATAATCGATGACCTCCGGCCCCAACTCGCCTTCCTCGTCCAGCTGCATCAGATAGTTCCGGCCCCGGATCATCGCGATCGAGATCGCGAGCGCGTGCCACACGTCCTGCCCTATCACCTTGAAATCGAACGTCCCCAACGTCCTGATCGGATTGCCGGCCACGCGAATGTCACAAGTCACGATGGCCACAATGCTATACTTGATCACGAATCCCGTCAAGGTCGGCAGCTCATGAGTGAACTCTTGATGCTCATCGCTTTCGTGCGAACTCGGGTGTCGCCATTTGTCGCGGTACTGGCGGCCGAGGGAGTGGAGCTGATCGGTGATTCGACCGACGACGCTTTCGACTGTTTCTTGGCCTTTGGCTGAGGCGATGGCGATGACAGGGATATGGTCTTTGTGTTGCACCTTGCCGTCCGCGATCGACCATTTGTAATACTTGTTGATCGCATGGAAGAGCGGCTTCTCGGTTGCTGCCTGGCTGAGGATCTGGTCGCGAACGCGGGAGCCGGCCAAGATGAGGTCGGTAAGGGAGCGGCAGGCTGTGAAGATCAAACGTTAGCTACAATACAAACGTGATGAAGCGGACGGATAATGCGTACCTCTGCCGATTGAGCTATGAATATTATTGATGTAGACCTGGTTCTCGTCGTTTGTGAAGAGCGGATCCGGAAAGGTTGGGTAGTCTAAGATCCAGGTGTCATGGAGCAAAGGCTCATAGCCGCGATTTGTGAGCTTGGCGAAGAGCCATCTCTCTTCCTCCGTCCAGTCTTGAATACGTGGATCATCGTAGTCGAGATAGCGGTCGTTGTATTTTTGTAGAGCATGCGCGGTCTCATCACCTTTGATTCCCGTATTGTCATCATCCACGACCAGAGTGAGATCGTTGTCGTATCCAGGAGCGGCAGCAGACGCGTCGTCGTCGTCGATCATCGTGTCCCCTTCGAGATCATCCTCCTCGCGATCATTGCTCTGGCTCTTACCATAACCACTGAACCAAAGTGCCAAGTTCCAGAAGCTTGCACGCTTCTTGCGTCCATCGCGGCCATTCTCCCTGACGATCCTGCCGTCTTTCACTTTGCGTAGATCATGGCTGCTGCCATGTTTCTTTGGAGTGTGTTCCTGTAGCCATTTCTCGGTGCGCCGCTTTGTGGGACTCATCGAGCCGCTCTCTGATTGTTGTTCGAGCTCTGTGTGTGTGGTTGAGCTGTAGGATGAGTTGCTGCGTTGTGGACTGGAGGAGATGAATCCGCTGGTTTTGGCAAATACCGAGGAAAAAGCCATGCTTGTACTATGTGACCGAGGGGTGTGGTAAGTGATTCTATATAGCTTGCTGTGGTAAAGGGGGGTGGTGACGTTGGCTAGAAGAGGTTGGGGGGTTAATGGGAAGAACCTGGACAAAGCCAGGAATGGGAAATGGCCATTGTTACATGAATACAACGGGACTACCGTTTGAACAAAGTTGCTTTGTTCTGAATAAGAAAATTCAGTGGACAATGGGCGAAACAAAAGAGCCTTAATCATTAGATCATTAGATGTGAATTTACATCCGGGTTTTAGATATCTAGAGCTGGGCGCTTAAAGCCGGCGGATGACAGCCCAATCATACTGTGCAGGCCTGGGATATCCAACCGTGGGTCTGCGAAGTTTCTCACGATTCAATAAATTCTGTCGACACTAGATAAAATCTCTACATACTGTCTTCTTCGGTGTTCTAGACAAAACATTGTTGTTGTATACTCATTTGTGCTTTTCCTGGTCGGCGTCTTGCCCTTTCATGACCCATTGGCTATGCATCTTCTGATATTCTTCCTCGCCCTCCTACACTTGATGTCAGCTTTGTGTGCCTATCTTACCCTACAAGCGCGGCATCTGACCTTGGTTTGCATTTTCTTCTTCATTTCAAATGGCTCAGGGACATCCAACCCCTTTTGGATTGCTGGTCTAGCATTGATCCGATCCAGCCATCCTTCGAGGTGTTTGAACTCTTTTACCTCAACACCTGCCCATTCAGCCCAGTTGATCCAGGCAAAGGAAGCAAGATCCGCAATAGTCATCTTATCACCAACAGTCCATGGCCCACTTGAACCGTTTTTAGACTGGTATTCGAGGCGGTCTTCCAGCACTTGGTACAAGCGCTTGGTCTCAGTCTGATAACGGTTGATGCCATACTGAATCTTCTCCGGAGCATAGCGGTAGAAGTGGTTCGCTTGACCCTAATTCTCTCAAAATCAAAGCCTCAAGTCGGGTTCTGGCCCATGTCAATATACCTGCATGGGGCCGAGTCCGCTTTGCATCCAGACCAACCATTCCACAACCTCCCAATATTCATCCGAATCGTATGGGTACGAGAGCTTGTGTTCTGGGTCGTATCTCTCGCAAAGGTAAAGCATCAGTGCTCCAGATTCAAATACTCTCTTTTCTCGCGGCTTCCCATCAGATGAAGGCGTCTTATCGACAATGGCTGGGATTCGGCCATTGGGATTGATCTTCAAGTACCAGTCTTCCTTCTGGATATTCTTGCTAATCTGAATGTTTTGCACTTCGTAGGGTAGACCGAGCTCTTCCAGCGTAATGCTAGCTTTCTGCCCATTAGGTGTGCCGGATGTGTAGAGCACGATGTCTGGCTTTGCAGGTGCCATTGCGATCGGTCAAGTGGTGTCGGTTGCAAAGAATTTCTTAATGAAGCTGAACAGGCTGGATGCTGTTTCTTGTTGTGTAGAAGAATGGACAATGTTGAAAAGAAGAACTTCGTAGAGGAGATAGGGGTCCATGTGATCATCAACAGCGGCTCCTAGCTATGACGTGAGGGACTCTAGGGAGTGCCTCATCCGCGAACGTTCCCCGAGCTCGCTCCATTTCTTGCGTGAATATGTTTGTCGGAAGTCTGGTCGAAGAGGCGACATCGATGCCGAGATTGGCTTGACTGGCTGCCAACCAGAGCATGATCTGAAAGCGAACAGGTGTAGATCTACCGCCTCGCCATCGCAGTACCAGCAGAGCCGTCTGATTTTTCACCTCTGGCACCCGGCATTCAAAATCATGCACACGAAATCTCCGCCCCAGCACACCACCCCTCGGTCCAAACTCCGAAGCTATACCATTGCTGAAGAGTAATGCGGCCAATGTTTGGGCGAGCCACAGCTTCACCTATTCAAGGCCTATTAAGATATGCTCCGCAACTGTTAGGTCTTCCGCGAGCTGCTCGTGGGGAGCAGCTAATTTCAAAGCTATGGATTTGCCAGCGATGCTACCATCACAATCAACGCGCGGTGGATTCGGAACGGATACATACTGCACAACAAGATAAATGTCGCAAAACCCGAGCACCCAGAACAGCATTCTTCAATTCTCCTAGCCGCGCTTTGTCAACAAGTAGTAGCAATGTAGCAGACAAGCCACGAAGCGATCTACCCTCGCAAGAGGAGGGCCGACGGTCTCACATATCTAAAAGGTTTTCCCATGTGATGGACCATCTACAGTCCAACATTTTCATCGCTGGCCAAAGACTTAATGACTTGACTGGCTACTCGGGCATCGAGGCTCTGAAGAAGGACATCGAGCAACAAGGTCGGTCATCAACCCATCTTCGGCGATGTCGACCCTGACCCTTGCCAGAGATTCATGTTCAAACTACTCGAACAACCTTGCAGAAGGCAAAAGAGGATTATACTCTAGCTATAAGCCAGCGCTCCCGCTCTCAGCGCGAAGTAAACGAACTCCTGCAGCGAAAGCACGCCTGGACTCCCAATGACCTAGAGCGCTTCACGGAGCTCTACCGCTCAGACCACGCGAACGAGCAAGCTGAAACTGCCGCCCAAGACAATCTGTTGACGATAGAGCGGCGGGCAGAGGAGGCAGCAGCGAAGTTGAGCGCGAGCATATTGGCTAGGTATCACGAAGAGCAGATCTGGAGTGACAAGATACGGAGGATGAGTACTTGGGGAACTTGGGGACTGATGGGGGTGAATGTGTTGCTGTTTTTGGTGTTCCAGATTGGAGTTGAGCCATGGAGGAGGAAGAGGCTGGTGAAAGGTTTCGAGGATAAAGTGATGGAGGCGCTAGAAAAGGAAGGCTCACCTGTTGGAGCAACGCCAACAGAGGCTCAGATGGCCCAAGGGGCGACTTCCGCCGAGACGCAAGAAGCCCAGGAAGAGATAGTGCCAGCAAATGTTGAGGACGCACAGATACCAGCAGCTGCAGATCCTTCAATAGAAGCGCCGCTGCCACTACAGGAAGACATACCGTTCGAAGTCGTACCCATGGAGTCTTCCAGCGGCTCGAAGCCAGATCTGCTCGCACAACCACAGGTTCCTACATGGACATTCGACAGTATCAAAGAATGGATACGAGACTTGTTCAGTGAGCGACAGGTTGTGCTCCGGCGCTTAGATGTGACCACAGCGGCTTTTGAGGGCGCTGCAGTCGGAGTGGCATTTGGCGGAGTGATCGTGCTGCTGTTACGGCTCAGGTCATGATGTGGCACCCTTACCTGGCTCCCGGCTGCGTTTACTTGGGCCAGTCTCAAGCTTTGCCACTTTAGTCAAAATAGCACTAAAGCTCGCAATGAAATACACCATGTAAATCAAACGATTAATAATAGTAGGGATCCAGCGGAGAAAAGTCCTGGGTATCTTCGCGATATACATCTAAGGATCTACCGATCCTGCAACTCGACCCCCGTATCCTCATCCTCCGTCCCATCCAATATAGCATGCCTCGAAGCCCGAATGGGCTCTAACCGGTCTCTCGGATCCATCGTCTCAGACTGCAGCAAGCCCGGACTCCTCGCCGACCCACCAAGCTTCAATCGCCCGCCCGAGATACTCATGACTTTATCGGCAACCCAATCAGCCGCTCGACTAATCACATCCCACAATCTCTCCTGCCTTTCATCGAGCATCGAGTCGTCTCTTGTAGTCTCATGAGCTTCGACTTTGAATTGGAATTTGAGGCAGTCTTTGACAGTCACTAGACCAGCGAGGCGGCCTCTGTAGTCGACCAGAATCACTCGAGGTCCCATCTTTTTGAAGAGCTCCATTACAGTCTCGAGCGGTAGGCGTGGATGGACTGCTAGTGGTGTGGGGTCTATGAAACGACTGAAATCGACGTTCTGCTGGCCGCTTACGGATTCAATGGCGTCGAATGTGACTGGTGGCGCTGCGGTTGACGGGGTCTGCAATGCCGTCGAATCTGGTTGAGTAAAAAGGCATTTCGCGTCTGGTGAGATGAAACCCTCCTTTTTGGCTCGATCTATTGCATATCGTAATTCTGTACGCCCGATGTAGCCAATCAAGGCTTTTGTGGTACGGTCTTCGATGATGGGGAATCCTTGATACTTGTTCTGAGACATAATACTCTCCAAAGCTCGAAGGTTGAGACCAGAGGACGGCAGTGAGGTGACTTCGCTTGTCATAACTGAGGAGACAGGAACCCCGAATGTGTGCTCTTCCTTGTTGTCCAGAAAGGGAAAGCCGTTGAACCAGATCATTCGGTCCGCTATGCCGCCCTTTCCAAAGCGCTCGCTTACGGCTTTCGTGACTCCTACGACAATCTAGGGTCAAGTTGTCAGCTCTTCACAACTTCTGGAACCGAAAGCGTCTCGAACTCACCATTGTCGGTAGTATGTACGTCAAGGCACCAGTCAGTTCGAACATTATAACCACGACCGAGACTGTTATGTGCATGATACCACTGAGAGCTGCTGCGGCACCGAGGAAAGCGTAGGTGCCCGGGGTAATGCATGGTACATCGGGCTCGCAGGCGGCGAAGAACTTTGCATGCGGGAACGATTCGTGGAGAGTCTGAACCAAGATTCCGACCATCCTCCCGAAGGAGGCCCCAATTGCCATGGACGGTACGAATATGCCTGCCGGCACCTTGCAACCATAGGAAATGATGACAAGAAAAGTTCTCATAATCGTGGCGAATAGCAGCGATAGTACCATTGACCACCGATTTTTGGTACTAAAGGCTGTCAGTATAACTAGTCTTAGACTCGTGCAAACACAACTCACTCGCAAAGACCATCGTAGTCATGACCTCCTTCACACTCTAGGAAGAGCTTCTCCATAGCTTCCGTCATGTCGATTCTCAAGAACATGTTAGGATAGCAGAGTAACGCCGTACCCGCCGCAAGAAGCGTAGCCTCTAAGACGGCGTACTTTGAAAGATATTTCTTCCGAAACGCCATTGCCCGTAAATTCCATTTCATAACGAAAGCGCCATATAGTCCTCCGAAGACACCGATAAAGATGAAAAAAATCACCTCGAAGAAATGCCACGATCTATCGTATCTGACCTCGAACATGACAAGCTGGCCAGTTCGAAAAGGATTCATTGCCTACAACAGTCATGATTAGCGTCATTTGAGAGGTCGTGTGTCAAATTGAACCTACCGCTAATACTGCAGTAGCCACCAAAGCACAGAAATAACTCCGCCACATGGTCTTCAGGGGAAAATAAGACGACATTTCCTGGACATGTCAGTCTTGAAGACGGGCTCTGAACAGACATGATTCTCACTTCCAAAGAGAAAAGAACACCACCAATAGGACTCCCAAACGCCACCGCGACTCCCGCCGCAGCACAAGCACTCAATATTTCCCGCGTTTTGGCCGCATTTCGTTTGTACTTGTCGAAGAATCTCGAAATTACATTGCCAGTACACACCGCATAGTGTACACTTGGCCCTTCCTTTCCTACCGAGAGGCCAGATGCAATTGCCAGCGGCAAGCAGATTGACTTGATCAACAGCGTCCAGAATCCAAGGAACCCTTTCATAACGAAGCCCGCAATGATGCACTTGATCTCTGATATGCCTGAACCGGCAGCGTAGGGAGCATAAGCCTTGACCAGGCTTGCGGAGGTCAGGGCAAAGATAATCTGGACCCTAGTCAGCAGTGTTGCGTTGCTAATCTTTCTCTGCCTTACCGAGAAGACAAAATATAGAAAGTAATTGACCGGCCACAAGGACGTCCACCTATGCCAGTCATCGCAGGCTATTCCAATCAGTCCAAGTTTACTAACAGGGTCATCGACCTACTATCTTCGCCCCAGCAGCAGAAGTCCTCATTCAAATAAAAGGCTGTCGTGCAGTAGCCCAGCTTCACATCAGACAGCCACTCCGTAACGATGTTTAGAAACGCCGCATTCAATCCTATGGCCGCCCCAACCAATGTGACAACAATCCACGCCTGGCCAGCATCGTATGAATCTCGAAGCTTCCGTCTCCAGCCTAGCTGCCCATCACGCTCGAAAAAGCCTGCATTCTCCTTTCGTCTTGCTCTTCTCCTGAGTTGTTCCCTTGCCGCATCTTGCACCCAATCTATCGTAGTAAAGTCCTCGTATCTCTTGATTTTCTCGATTTCCTCGGTAAACTCTTGCTCGGTGCTACCTGTCGGAGCTCCATTTTGCCCGTGTTCGGCGCTTGAAAGGGCGGACAGCCGTCTTGATATCCTTCTTTCCGGCAATGACGGTCGGCGCGGGGGCTGCGCAGAAAAGGATGTCGTTCGAGCGGTCATATCAAGTCATCATTGTATAGTAGTGTGGTTGGGTGCCCTGAGGCTGCAATGCATGTCCATGATTCGGTAAATCCTCGGCTGTCCGGCGCGTAAGTTGCGTGGAAGTGAACTCTTCGACCGCGAAGTGAATGGCTCCTTCCTTACGAAGTGACCACACTTCACAAGCAGGAGTCTCCTGTTGAAAGAGTCTTTCCGTATGTATGCTCTCTCTTCTTCTTCTTCGTGCATGCTATCAGTATGGCTAACAGGATACTGGGGTTCAAGTCTACAAGGGCTACTAGTCCGCAAGCAGTACCTCCGGATAGCCCACTTCATGCACGATATCTACCTCGAATTTTCGAGGAAGAATCGCTTGTGCCAATCAGAATCAGCCGTCTATCTATCAAGAAAAAGTCATACGAGGTTGACACAGGAACTCCGCCGTCCAAAAACTTCAAAGCTCCCTCGTTCGAAACATCTCAAATATTCTCACACCGTTGGATCCTCTTACCACCAGAAGAACTTGCGAACGCCCATACGCACCCGTACTCTCTCGACACCCAAACACCATCGTCACAAACTCCCTATCATCCTTTTCAGACATTGACTCTATCGGACGCTACATATAAACACAACAGAGCTCAAATTGCTACGATGCCTTATAACAATACCGCTATCCCTCCTCCAGAAGAGATTACTGGAGTAGCGTCTCTCCCATGTTAGTCTTCTTAGTGATCTCGGTCTTGGCACGTGAGATTGACATCTGTAGTGGCTCGTGTCAAGAAGATTCTTCACATAGATGAAGAGATCATTGCGTGTTCAAACAATGGAGCTTTTGCGATCACTATAGCCACGGTACGTTCCACCAATCCTTCTCCCGTGCGAACGAGTGCCTAATGGCCTCAGGAAATGTTCATACGCTATCTTGCGGAGCAAGCATTGAACGTGGTCAAGTCTGAGAAGAAGCCTAGACGCAATATACAATACAAGGATATGGGTAAGTCTACCGGCTAAAAGGCTTACTTCATGCAAACTCACTATCAAAGCAAACGCTGTTGCTCGAATGGACTGCCTTCAATTTCTTGAAGACGTAATACCCCGGACCTCGACTTTCAGAGAGTACAAGGCAAAGAAAGCTAGCAAGGCAACTAAAGGAAACCAGCCTTTACAAAATGGACAGACTACATTGGATGCAGGACGATCACTGCCGCAACGGCCAATTGGAACGAATGAGCAGAATGGAGCCCCAGTGGACGACGGTAAAATGTCGGATGGTACCATTAGTGAGGCAGACCCTGAGGAAACCCGTGCCCCAGCGCCAAACACAAATGGTGGACTCGTCTTTGAGCACTACGAGCCCAATGGTTCTCATCGGCGGGACGAGTCTGGAGATGTTGAGATGGGTTGAAGCTCTCGTCTAGGATAGAGCTATGCTCGGGATGGTGCATTTGGGAAGGCGTAGGAGGAGATCAACAAAAATTGCAGCTGAACCTGGGGCATAGCCATGGCGCAATGGGAGAAATTTCCCAAAAAGTACATGCCGGAAACGTGCGAATTACAGGACCAGGACTATGGGGCACTGGTCACAATATGGGTAATGATGATTATAACAACCATCCACCAAACGCTCTCGTGCTTCTCCCTTGTTTCCTCCAAAAGTTCCTTCCTGTCAATCTTCGGGCCGACGCGCAATTCTTCCCTTCCAGTATGCTCCTCCGCTTCAACCTACTAATCCTCCGGGCTATGCAACTGATTTTGTTGAGCACAAACTGATCAAGTGTTGGACTCCTAAGGTCTTTGCCGTCGCGCTCGTGCTCAATGCTTTCATTACGAACAAGCGGGGTTGAAAGCTACAGGCAACATGTGTCAGGAGAAGTGGCAGATGAAGCGGGTACATATCCTCCAGCGTTTGACGAAACCATATCAGCAAGCAAATTTCCGGCCTCTTCAACGCTCTTTCTGGGGCAATTTCGAATTTAGAACGGGTAGCGATAGGTAATCCAGACTGGAACGCGTGTGAACCCTGTGTTTTCGCCGCTATCTTTCACCTTAGGGAGGATGCTCGATAGGTTGAACAGCGCTAAGGATACGCTAAGGGATGTTGATAAAGCGTCTAGTGTCTACACAAACGCGTTTGGCCCTTTCGTTCATTGAACAGGATCCGATCCATCGAATGCATTACCGCATAACCTTCTTGCTCGTAGCTGCATCGAAAGTGGCTATTCTCCCCCTGTGTTGGTGGTGTTACTGTATTCGGGCTACATGTAAACAAAATTATGCAGAGTTGTGAGTCGATCACAGCAGGTCAAAGACGTGCAGGCTAGCCTCAGCTTTAGATCTCGAATTTTCCCACCTGTCAAGCTCCCCCTATGGACATTGGAAGCCTGTTCGAGTCTCACTGTCTGGGTTGGGCGAGATGAACCAAGCGTTTCACATATATTTGCTTCCTCTATCAGCTCGTGCTTCGACCGGAGCAAGGCTGACTCAAGGACTCGATGAGTCGCAATTGCGCGGAAGTCTTTCAAACCTTAATGCTGGCATCAATGAATTTCCTAGGAGCTGCTGGCGATATCGAAAACGAGACCGAAGTTTACCTTGAGTAGTTTTGTATTCAGAATGCCGAATTATGGAGATGGAGGAGTAAATAATGGTGATGCTTTTCTACTGTTTTGAGACTTTGGGCCTGTTCACCAGATCTAATGGCAGCGTAGCCACTAAGACTCTCTCTTTGGCAACGGACCTATCCTCGCTCGCGCTATCAATACCCGTAACTGGTAAATCTTCCTCTACTGCTTCCATTACGACTAGCTACCAAAGTTCAGTGACAGGAGCCTCCGGCACAAACACTGGCTCTGGAGCCGCATCAAGGAATGGAGCAGCTCGTACCAATACCACGAATGTCAAATCAGCGTTGTTCGCGGACTCGTCTCCAAGGATCAGACCAGCTCCCTACGAAATGCTCAAAATGCTCCGGTCCCGAACCCCAACCAGACTAGCTCCTCAAGGTCCGTTGTCACTCTGAGCGCTGTCATGGTTTCTGTGAACACCCCGGCTTTATCTCCGTCCTTGCGATCGCCAGGTGTATATGCAGCATCTCCTCTGCCAATAATTCAGCCGACTTCAGCGACAAGGCAGCCTGCGGCAGAAACTATATCAGCAAGTCCCAGCGCGCAAAGCGGCCTCTCATGGTCTCACGTCGCTGGTGGATCAGTCCCCGCCGTAGGCTTAAACACTCCCAGGTCAACATCAACGATTGCCGGGAAGAGCGGAATTCCAGCTGAAGGCCAAGCTTTCCCAATCAGCGTCAACTACTACAGGAAGCAATTCGACTAATAGTACAGCTGGTGGGGACTTACTTCTAGTCGCTCAGTCGGATGCTGCACTGGCAGAAAGTTTGACCGCTGCGTTGTTGGGGCAGCAGCTGTCCACCATCACTACTGTTCCTCCTGGAATGGTCGTGCAGAGTATCACGACGAGTACGAAATGCTCGCATGCTTTCGCGCTGGCAAGTACTACATCATCTGCTAGTACTGTTGTCACTGTTGTTCCCAAAATTTGCCGCGACGATGCCGCGTTTCTGCTGTTCGCTGGGGCCGCAATCCCACTGCTTTGTAAAACAGTGCTTAGCTTGCTTGGATTTCTTCTTCGATGGATTTGTGATCCCAGGACAGGGAAACTAGTTGGAATTGACGACATCACTATTTTACCTCCTGGCCCCGCTGTAGGCGCAGGTTCGGCGGAGGGTTCGTCGCCAAATCCGAAGGACGACCCACAAAGCGAGGATGATGAGCCAACCAACTCTCGAGATTCATCTGATCATGCATCTTCCACAAGCTTTCCTTCTACCAACCGCCGATCTTCGACAATGACAAGTTCCGCATCTAGCGCCGTGACCGGTCCGTACTATCTCTTCGGTGGCGTTGGTGACGAGGATGAGGTCTCTGATCTTCTTGGGGCGCTGAACTCCAAATATAAAGCACTTCAACCTGCTGTCGGCTCAACCCCGATGAGTGCAGCTGATTGGGTAAACATTAATTTGACTATAATCAAGTAGCGAATCTCAGTCCCAATCCAGATATGCTTCTAATTGCTACATACATCAGTCTCACCGAATCCGCTTCTGTAACCGGCAACGAAGTCTCTGCCTCAGCATCTTTCAGCACCTTGTCTAGCTACCCTTCAACTACATTATCTACTCTCTCTGCATCATCTGCTTCCTCCGAATCATCTTTTCCCTCTGGATTTTCCATGGCAAAAATTCGCCGGCTGTCACCATCTCATCAGATCCGAGGCAGTGAACTTTCTCCCCGCGAGCACAACGGTACCGAGAGGGTAGTGCTAACCAAGAGAGATCCTGGAAGGAACATACTCGCGCAATATGGTTCAGACAAAATGCCCTGTCCAAGGGATTTGGCGGTGATCTCTTGGGCTCCTGGAGTTCCAGCTGTTTTGAATTATCCATACCTTTTCCAGCAGTCCCAAGGTGATGGTTCGTCTGGTTAAGGGGATCACACTTTCATCGATAAAATTACCGCCGAGACTAGATTGTCAAATTGCACCGCCTTGTACCACTCTCTATATCAATGGCCTGGTGGGGAATGCGAAAAGAAGAAAATTACCACCAGCTACGTTAGAGGCAAGTGCACCCGATACAAGACGGAGTATGTACCCTAGTTTGACGACGTGGTAGATGTCCACCTACGACAAAAGAACGGGTGGGAGGAGCTGAAGCCAGAAGCGAAGTTTGGAATCATTGATGGCGTTAAGGCGTGGTTGAAAAGGAAGATTGAGAAGCAGGATGCAGAGAACATTGAGCTACGCTCTCAAGATAGTCGATTGCTTCACGTCGAATGTGAAACAATTGAATGGCGAGTCTGGCCCAGATGTTGGAGACTAGGTAGCAAGGGGACAAGCTTACCGCCGCGGTAAAACTTACAACCCTACCCTTGGTGCCAGTGGGCATGGATGTTATGTCCTGATGGAGCACTGTCGCTGCTTTGGGAGCTAGATGTTTCTGGCGTATCCCTCTTTCACACCCTGCGCCCCATTCAATGACCATTGCGTTCAATGAGGTTTAATAGGGCGAGTTTGGTATTTGCCGACGTACCTCTCATCATGTATACTTCTTTCTTTACCATTCATGAGCCATGTCATTATGTGAGCGAGCATGCTGCCGTCGTTTTAAGGAAAGGCTAGTCTGGATCCGCAGCCTATGAGACTGTCCTCACTGGGCTTAGCCGTCTTGGCATTGGGATGGCATGTAGCCAAATATCGCCTCCCAAGCATACAGATCGTCTCACACATTGTCATATTCATTCAGTACCCACCGTCTGCCACAATCAGCGAATACTTTTGTCCTAATGAAAGTCGAAGCTATCACTCTAATCTTCTCCCACTGAAGGTAACATGAGAGACTCGGCTTCAATAACCCAGTCGACGACTATGCATTTATTCTGAAATCAAGTCGAGTTGATCTGCTCTTGACCGTACCTTTTCATAATTCTTTTTCTTTCCTTTTTTCTGCGGCTTTTAGGAAGTTGAAGGCGGTGAAGCAGGAGGTTTTTTCGAGACGCTTCGCTAATGCACGCTACTGCGAAGCGGACCTCCTCGATGCGCTGCCAGCCTGCCAACCCTCCCGGGTCCCTAGGGTTGGCTGGGCAGGCTGGGCAGGACTGGGCGATGGAATCAGTGATGAGCCAATGCATAAGGTTAGGTTTTTTTGGGTATTAACACGAGTAATGGAAGGTCTTGAATCAACTTGCTAATCAAGTCAAAGGTGGCAACTGGCAATGTCGTCCTCTCGTAGCTAATCAGCGAAGAAGATGGATTTTATGATTTTAGTGTGTCTGAGCATGTTTCATACATAAGGTAGTTGGCGTGCGATGGCGTCTTGCTTCATGTGCCGTAAGTTGTAACCATTCCCAGCCTCAACGACTCGGTCGACGCCGATGATATCTATTTCCCTCGAGCGCATAAAAAGTAAAGTGGGGGAAGGAGCGGTTAGTCGAGATGGGAATTTTAGCTTGAAACAGCCTGCTGATATCTTACTAGATCTAGATTAGCCTGAGCTTTAGCGTCCTGAAATTACCTCCTATAGTGCTAGCTTAGGACTTAGCATGGCGCTAATTCTCTGTTCCCAAGTACCTCCCTCGCCTCCCAAAAGCTTCCCTCTCCCCATCAACGAGCGCAGCATCCACATTATCATATCATCAACCTCTACCGTATTCATCTGCTTCAATTCCATCAAATACTTCTTCATCATAATCTTTCTTTCCAACTTCTGTTAACTAATCGTTATCAGTCAATTCTACTTCCACAGCAGCCATCATTGCTCGGCTTTATTGACTTGCATCTGCCTTTGTTTGTTACGCCGCAAGCGTCCGCTGCACTGCCCAGCCCCACAGCACAGACCAACTTGAATCCTCTCATCATCCTTCTTCATCCATAATTCTTACATCTTACACCACCGCAACAATGTCGGCTTACTATTACGGACCTCAGCATCATCAGCCTTCGTCGTCTTCCTCACATTCCTCCTCGTCGCACAATCACCATGGTGGTCGATCACGGAGAGCGCCACGGCTCTCAGCGTCCCAGAACTCGCATCGCCCATTTCGTGGGGTTCGGAGCATGAAGGAGCTCACCGAGAGCCCACCGACCTCGGCTTTCCGTGTCCGATTCGAGGCCGGGAGGTCTTTTGACTTGGATGACGACTTGGAGTTCTGCCCGGGACTTTTGACTGAGGACGACGTAAGTGACACATATCATTAGACTATCTGTTTGTTGTGGACAGCGTTATGTGTGGTGGATGTATGCTTATCTATGTCTCATTTACAGTTACAATCTATCCACTCCTCCTCATCCGATGGCTCTCTCTCCAGCGGCTCGCCTCACTCATCTCCACTCCAACCCCAGATCCAGCCTCAGCAACAAGCCACTCCTAGCTTCTCTCTCTCTTCCGCTGCGTCAAACAACTCCTACAACCCCATTACTGGCTTCCAATCAAACAATAGCCAGCAGATGAAGATCCACCAACCTTCTGCCTTGCGCACACGCAATGCCATCCCGATAGTCAACCCTAGTACGGGCATGCGGGTGCCAAGTCCACCTTCTTCGATATCGCCCGCCATGATGCAGCAGCAGACGTATGTTCGTCACTGGTAGCAGAGCCGCGGGATTCGGAACTCTGCGCTTCGCTTTTGACAACTGTTTGCTGCATCATTGTGTCTCATGGCGGGCGCCACACTCTTTGGTACCCACTGGCTACTACTCTTTGCTGTCGTCATCCCTTACAACTTGATACCCTTCTCGTGGACGACATTTGGATCGGCGGCCTCGACAAATACTCCTATTTTGAGTATGGTGTTTCTCGGACCTAGCTTTAGAGAAGTGATATGTATCGAACGTTTGATTTGAGCGATTTTTCAGAGTTTCAGTCCGGCAACCTTGCTTCAGCATATGCACTACTGGTGGTTTACGATCGATAAATGGTGGGATTGCATGGCATTTGAATAAACAGCGAATCATGGCATCGGATCTGGGAGCTGGGTATATTGGATGTTATACCATGTTTTATAGCTGCGAGATGACTGGGAAGGTTTGATTTGATCACGATGGTGTTTTTGATGTTGATGAGAAAGATATTCATGATTGCACATACTACGTACAACATGTTCCGGTTTTGTTCTACTATTTAGCGAGCTCGTTCGAGCACTGTACTCTATCAGGAATCAATAGACGATCTCCTCTTGTTCACTATCTATTGTTACACAAATCCAAACATCTACTGCCACAGATTCCTGGCCTCGAAGACGACTGGCTACTTCATCGAGCCTTCTTCTCCTATGTTAAGCCCGTGAGATTAAGAGTCGCATACACCATCCGATGTTCTAAATTTGTGCACCATGTACTCCGTACCATGATATGCTTCAAAGGTCAAGTTTCATTCTTCCATAAGAAACTTCAAAAAGGCCTGAGCAACCATCACGCCGTCATGCGGCTTTCCCACCCTCGCCATGGCTTCTCCATATATCTCTTCACTGAAGATCATCTGCTCGCGCCTCTTTTCCAACAGCTCCGCCACGATCTCCTCTGTGAACTCCGGGTGGCCCTGCACTGTAATTACCTTCTTCGGGACATACATGCCCTGGACCTTACATGGCCCCGACGATCCGAGTTCCTCGACACCTGTGGGGTAGTGGTATACGAGATCTTTGTGCATTTGGAATATGCTCTGCGGGTCACTCAGCAAATTAGTCCTGAATGGCACATTGTTTTCTTCACGTCGGAAAAACAACAACACATCCACCACTCACCAGAGCATCTTTCCCACCAAACAACTCCTTCCCCTTCTCCGTCTGAACGACCTGGCATACACTGACTTCCCATGCACCGCCCTCGCTCTTCGCGACCTTGGCTCCCAGCGCCCTCCCCACTATCTGATGCCCGTAGCACACCCCAACAACCTTCACCCGACCTTGCGCGAGCACCTCCTTCACAAACTCAACCAACCGTACAACCCACGCGTCATTGCCGAAGGCATTGAACCCTGCAGCCCGGGCGCTATTAGCCAATCAGCCACATCCCATCCCATCCCATCCCATCCCACCTCCTCCCTCCTCCTCACCCCCACCCCCAAGCCAAACAACGAACAAAGAAAACTCCACCTACGACTCCCGGTGATCAACACGGCGTCCACGTCCCCCATCCTCGGATACCCCTTCCGCCTCACGACCGCCCACTCCCCGCCCATGTCCTCGACTTCCCCCCCCCTCCTCCCCCTCCTCCTCCGCCGCGCCGTCGACGACGTCCCACCCCGTGATCTCCAACCGCTCCCGCGGCACGTGCGAGGCGTCGGCCGCCCGGTGCAGGAGCGAGGTGAAGACGCCGCCGTAGCTGCCGTATTTGGCCCGGGCGCGGCCGATGGGCGTGTCGGCTTCTAGGATGGCGAGGCGGAGGGGGGTCCGGGTGGGGGGCATGGTGGGGGTGGGTTGGGTGAGGGGGGAGGGTATGGAAATGGGAAGGGAGGCGCGGTGGGTTTCGTCTGTCTAAGTGGTTATCTGTTTTGGGCGTATCTTATCGCGCACGGTAAATCCCTTGCTTGGCGTTTCTGGACCTCACGGGCCTTGCGCTCACTTCGGTGCTTGCGATTTAGGGACTTGGATTCGGGTGTAGGGGTGCGAAGATTTCTCCGAGTGGTTTGTACGCTTACAGCTTCGGGTTGGAATCTTCTGCTCGTTGGGCTTATCTGGGATGGGATCTGATTGATTGATTGATTGATTGGTTGAGCTTGGTGTCCCGGACCTGCCAAGCTCGCTAAGCTCTTTGGAGTTAGCACTCTTGATCACTGCAGACGGCACGTCTGAGCCGAAAATACGCGCAGGTTCAACGTCGCAAAGACACAATAACGCAATGATATGTTACAGTTGCGAACAGTGAAACAGACTTGAAGACAGGCATCGTGAGTCGAGAAGAAGCGTTTCTAGATTTACGCAAAGAGATCTGACTGCAAAAAATCTTCTACCTCTATCGTTGTGTCGAGGCTTAATCTTTAGAATATACCAATCATCTTCTTGCGTTTATCAGGATTGAAAAATATATATATACAATTTTTCTAAGATTAGGAGCTATAACTTGTGAACCATGCACTTAACAAGATCGATTGCATATCGATCGAGGCTCTTAACCTGACATACAGGACTCCTGCTGCATGACCCCGTCAGTGCTGAGCACGGCCGGAACGTCGACGAGCAGTCGCACCAAAAGCGGAAGAAGCTGCAGCTCCGTAGGACTCAACACGAAGCCCAAGGGCGATTCCCGGATCCACAACACGCCTGTCGAGTGTGTGCGAATGACATGTCAGTGCTACCGACATCCCCATATCTGACGGCGACTTCATGTGTCGACCATCCGCGTGCTACATACGGCCCACCTCCGACGCGCCTAGAAGGATAGAAATCTCCTCAGTGGGACTCAGATGCTGTATGGGAACCTCGCGTGCCGGTCCTTTATGTGTTATGGACCATGGCCAGCTCGAGAGCCTCTGGCTCAGCGCTGCTCTGGGATAGACACGCCCGACCAGCGTTGTCCTACGGGGTTGCACCCGAGGCGAGTTAGGACCTTGCTAGACGCATTGCACTCGCATTGCCCTTGGGGCCTGCATTTAGGAGTACCGGTTGTCGGTCTGCACGGACCTTTGGTCGAAGATGTAGGGATGAGCCATCTTCGAATGGAAGTGGCGGGCTAACGATTCTCGTGCTCGTGCTCTGCAAGAAGTTGAGATGAGGCTCAGCCTTGATGCTGGAGTTTCGTCTGTCTCTGGGGAGCGGTCTCAAGAGGTATTCTCTGGCACGAGTATGCCCTTTACAGATAAGGTGCGTCATTGAGACTTCTCCTAGAGCTCACAACAGTCCCAGAGATTCCCTCAAAGCAGCAATTTAGTCTACAGAAAGTATCGCCAAGCGTTTTAATCCGGTTTCTTAATCCCAGGCGACCGCTCCTGGGAGGACTATCCTAGGGCTCACATCTAGCTCAGGTTGTTTGCTTCTGGAAGGTAGGTTCTCAGAGCATTTGTTCTAGCCTAGGACAATGCGACTCCAGGGGTAGTTTACCCAGGACAGAAACCCTCCTTGGGAGACTAGTCTTGGGAGGAATGTAGCTCCTAGGACAGGCAGAAAACATTCATCTACATTGCAACCTAGCCAAGAAAATCGAAAAACCACGGGGGTTTGAAAAGAGTAAACTTCTTTTGCTACAGAAGAGTCGTGGTCCTGCCGATGGTAAAGAGGGGAAGTATGGGTCTACTTTGTGATCAATGCAGAACCTAGGAAGAATGTCTCCTACGCCCGTAATGCATCTCCTGGCCCAAATGCCTTCAAAACAAGCTTCGTTGTCATATCATGCATATGCACAATCGGCTGAATGCACGGTTCACAGATTTGGCAAAAGAGATGAGTCAGTGTGAGCAATCGTAGGCCTAGTCAATATTTTCTCCCTACTCTAATGTGGGAAGCAGGACACAATTGTGAGAAACCTTCAATCAGGTGGGTGACGAGTCCGCCTTACCCTTTTTGGAAATAAAAACATGCAAAGACAACACTGTCGCGCTCTAATCCTGACAACACCAAACCTCGGGCATACTTTTACCAAGCTATCGATCAAGATGTCGGGTTCATACCCAGCATGGGAGATGGATAGCATGGCTGGGTACCCATCATATCCTCCAGTGCCTCTTTCTGAACAATGTTGCCCGACAGAGCACTCCCTTCCTTTGGAGTCTTACGAACCACATCCTCCGGCCCATAACGCGCACTACCCACCATATTCACCAGTGCCCCCTTTTGACCATTTTCACCCGACAGAGTACTCACTCCTTTGAAGTCTTACAAACCATACCCTCCAATCAATGACGCGCAGTCATTCACATCGAGCAACAATGCATTTCTTTCAACCAACAACACTTGTCCACAGCCGTGTTATCCACCAATGCAAGGATACAATTATGCCCGCTCAGATCCATTCCAGCAACCGCAGCAAAGTCATAAACCAGTGTACCTTTCGCCATCATATGACCTCACATCGAACGGATCAGCCCATTATCCACACAACACAAGCACCATCACCACTCCAACGTGGTCAGAGGCAGCAAACCCGCCAGCTCCAGCGCCAGTCGACGGACCGGAAGACCACGCGTCATCCTATCACCTCACACCAGCTACACCAACAACTTCCCCGTACCAAACCGAGCAATCACACCAACTCATCAACGTCAGCACATCCACCGATCCCACCGTCCGCAAAGTCAATCAACCCCCCCTCCTCCAGCAGCGTCAGCGAACCCGCCATCCGACCGCTCCAGGCAATACAGAGCCCGACTCGGTGCGGTCAACGGCGTCCGAACGGCCTCGAAACAACCCGTCGGGAAAGCCACCACCGCCCAGCTCCCGGACAACCCTTGCCCCATCTGTGGCCTCGGTCACAAACGGCCGTACCATCTCGAATCCCATTTCATCGGGTGTGCGGAAAGCCACGGCAATCCCGAAGGCTACTTCTGGAACGAGCTGCTCGTGTACAAGAGACGGGTCCGCAGTGCGAGGGAGCGGGATCAGGCCCGGAAGGGCGCGGGGCACGGCGGTGGGAAGCGCGCGGGGGTCGAGGAGGGGGACGAGACGCCGAGTGGGAGGGGAGGGGGAGGTGGCGGGAAGCGCACGGGGGTCGAGGAGGGGGACGAGACGCCGAGGGGGGAGGGAGGTGGTGGTGGTGGAAAGCGCGCTCGGGTTGCGGGAGGCGGGTTGAGATTCGGCGAGGCGCTGTCCGTCGCGCTGGGCTACGAGGATTTACTGTCGCTGGCGGAGCGGGTGCACCGTTCATGTTTTTTCGACGCGTAGAGCCATCCGATCACATCCGTACCTCAGCTCAACGATCATATGACCTTCCCAAGTCTCCCAAAAGCCTTCACAGCGTCAAAGACCACCGCGGCCCGAAGACGGAGAATGCAAGGTTCGGGTGAAGCGCATCCAGGCACCCACCAGTTCGATCGCGCCGTGGCCTTTACCTCTACAACCAACTCCCCATCACATTCCATCCGGTCTTCCAGACAACCCTTGCTCCCACCTTCCCAGTCCCGCAATCTCACGCGTCGAAACAACGTAACACCCTCGTCGCCACCGCGTCGACCCGGATTTTGCACATCAATCAAATCAAACGCATTTCTTTTCTTCTTCTTCTTCTTCTTCTCCGCCGTAGATTTCCACCCCACGAGGTACATCCACCCGCGGAGCCCTACCTCGGCCCCACCGAAGCGGAATCCGCGATCCGAATTTTCAGTAGACCGGTCGGAATAGTTTAGGTATTGTTCTTCGTTGGCCGAAACCCCGCGAAACGGACCCCGTCCGCTCTTGTCACGTCGGTGATTTTTTATTACTTTTTTTTTGGCATACGAAATGAATGCTCTGCTCGGATACTGACTGTTACGCCGACAACACCCCTTTCCTGATCGGGAGTCGAAGGCAGGTCCGAGTGCTGTTGGAAGGAGCTCCCGTGGCGATAAGTGCCCGCTGGGTATTGAATTTTTTCTTCTCTGAAGAGCGGCAGGATTCAGGACGGCTGTATTACTTTGGCGAACGAGGCTGGCGAGCCATCATGATGTGCCAGGGGTGGTAGTATTGCCAGATATTATCACCCGGACGGTAGATTTGCGGCTCGGATATTTGTTTTTCGGTCGAAATATGGGCATGATGTATGTACCAAGAACGGAATATGTCATTCAAAAAGTGGCATTCGTGACATGCCGACGGCTACTTAGTAAGAGCGATGAACCATCGAGGCGCAGAGCCCGAGAGAAATGCCTTGGGAACGCTGTGCCAGATTTCAAGAACCCCTCATTCCATGAATGGGACGATTCTAGTACGCCTGACGTTCCAATGCTCCCTTCCGAAATACCGCTCCGTCTTGAAGCTCCAATTGAGGTTCGCGACGACCATATTCCGACAGCCTTGGATGTATACCTGGACCTGCTTATCGACATCTTCACCCCACATGGGCAGCTCGGCCAAGGCGATATACCAATCGCGGTAGCGGTCCTTCATAAGCTGATCCACACAATCGTAGGCCTCTGTTTGGGTCTTGCCCTGCCGGATGTAGATGCTAATCAGGTTGTGCTCAAAGCCGAGTCGCTATGCGGGGTCAGCTGTGTGTATGCTGCATGGTTCCAGATAGGGTGACCCAACCTTTTCCTTGTGATATGACAGGACATCGTTCTGTCTGTAGGATCGTCAGCATAGCGAGATGGTCCTTCGACAGGGGAAGACTCACAGTACGGTCAACTCGGTAGAAAGTCGCTGGATGGTCTGAATGGATTTGCAGGCGATGACTTCGTCACTGATCGCGATGCCATAGCAATACTCGACCATTGCATACAAGGGGTATGCCGCTATCGTCTGGCACCTTGTCGCCAAATACCCATTCAAGTCAAAGTTGTTGGGGTCGATGCAAGCTTCAGTCTGCTGAACGAGTCCATTGCAGTAATCCGTCATCGAGCCCCTGAATCTCCGTTGCGTCTCTTTCGACGAGTCCCGCGCCAGACGAAGCCAGACGCTCCGAAACACCTCCACAAGTATGTTCTCGCTCACCACTACGCCTTCCATGCTGGTCGCCTCCATCGTGGCCAGTAGGTTATCCACCAGCTTCTTCGCTTCTTCCGGTCTATCTCTCAATTCGCCCTCGTCAAAGGGGTCGTCGAAGTCGAATGCCCAATTGAGCCAATCGCACACGTTCCGGAACTCGTCGGGCCCAGCATCTGGTACGAGGATAGCTCCAAGATAGGGAAAGTCTCCCATGATATGCACTTTGCTCTCCCTTTCGTTGAAGCCGAAGACTGCTCGGATGAAGGTGTCTGAGTCTATTTTGATTTGATCATAATGTTTGTTCATCGCTGGGGGTATGGAACAGAAAGAAACAAACATATCGGGTAAATAGACCATTTGTTGTCGCACCGTTCCATTTTCCCCATATGCCTTGTCTGCTGGAGAGGGAACATCTTCTTCGTGAGAGCTGGCATTGGCCTGGTGTGGCTCTTCTCTCGGGACGGAAGCTTTGTACTTGACGACAACCTCATGGATTAACTTTTGAGGAGTTGATCCTCCCAGACGTGACGCTTCGGAATTGCGTAGCATTATTTCACAGGCGGGAGCTTGGTCCTTGGAATGTGATTCGTGTGCTATCATCGTCTCTGTAGAACCCATGCTGAAGAAAGCTTTGTTGGTTGCAAGGTTTCAGATTGTCAAAAAGTTATCGATGGGATCATGGGACACCACATTCCAGAAAACCTAACCCTAAAAGTTTGCGATAAGCAGCTGTTGAAGCGCCAACATTAGTGTGATGCACACGAGATAGATACTCGTGAGATTTTGGGCGGCGCCATATCTTGGAGATTGATTCCGCCCAGGCCGGGATAATCGCACTCTAACCAACAGTGTTCATGCGCATATGGGACGTGCAGGACCTCGACTTGGCGCTGGTGCATGGACCGAATTTATGGTGTGCACGTAGCGAGGTGGAAGGTAGCATAGCCAAGAGCCATGCCGCCCGTCGAGATGGGCCATGATTAGTCTGAAGAAAGCCTCCGAAAGGCTCTATCGATTGAGGTGTCAGTGAGCTCGTAAGCCTCCTATCTGCATTTGAATCTTACGTCTGTTGAAGTCAACTTTGCCTTCAGGAACCTCTCTCGTAGTGGCATTTGGATTTTTCTCTCCCCTTTGTGCAGAAAGTCTAGCCAGCTGAAAGATCAACTTCGGCGGTGACACGTGGTATGTTATGTTGCATGTATTAGGTGTTCTTTTGGCACCTAGCGTCCATAGCTCACAGCGCAGCGTTTCTAGAATCAAGTTCGTACATATACATGAAGCAGGGACGATCATGCGGGGGTTGCAAAGGCCTCCCCAGTCATAACTCATAAGCTTTATGGCTAGGCCTATGATATTTAGCTATGCAGCTTGAAATAGAGTTCTGGGTACGTCATACATGTATGTACATGTAGGCTGTAGTGAGATCATTGATCATCTTTACACAGCACGATAGCGAATCACTTCAACGGCTGATCATTCATTGGCCATTGGTCACGTTCTGGAAAAAGCTCCGTGACGGGGATGCCCGGATGCTACAACATAGTGCATCATTTATTCATCATAATTCATCGAAACTTCTGGAGATAGTCCCTCTTTCACAGGAGATAGGTTTCGCAAGGATGTTGAAGATGAGTTTAAAGGATTGATAAGGATCAACAAGGTCCACGCTGGTTTCCTAGTTGTGCGGTAAGTCTTCCCGATCCCTTACCTTAATCGATGCCGGATGCCCGCTGTGATAGCGCCCGCAACGGTGTCTGGTAGTGTGCTGCTTACAAGTACTAGTACTCCACAGAGGCAAACCAGGTTACTCGTAGGTATTTTTCTTTAACCATGACTGGATCGCCAGCAGGGATTAAATTTGACCGCTTTCCAGCTGCTGAACTCCGCCGTTTCGCGATGAACGTCCGACTTGGAAATTTGAGATTATTGCCCTTTGCCTAAAGGGATGCGTCAAGGGTAAATTACAAATTTACCCTGACTTAATTCCTTTTTACCCTCCTCAAAGCTTCGGTTTACGGCGGCATGAACGTCCCTAAAGACTTGGGAAATTTGAGATTAGCCCTTTTGAGGGAACCAAACCGTTTCGCACCCGAAGTAGGTATGGTAAATTCGTCAACCCCGCATAACGATTCATACCTTTTTTTTTATATTTAGTTATCAACCTTTCTTTTCCTCCATCATCCATCCCTTCACATCAACGAATCTCCTCTTAGCAGATGTACTTTCAAAGTTCGACCAATCTCACACACGGCACCTCAGCTCTTCACGATCGTGTCATTTTCCCTGAAGTGAAGGTGGAGTGGATTTGGCGAGGTGGGAAAAGCGGTCAAATTAAGCCAGTCATGCTATCTTCTACCTCAGTTCCGCGCCGGCGCCGCTTCGAAACACGCGCCGCCCAGCCTCAACCCGAGGCCATAAAATAGATCGCTCCCAACTGTCGGCGCTTAGAGGCACCCATCCGGTCCCGTTTATCGCAGTGCGGATACGCCTCTGTACCTTACTTGCTTACCCTTCTTGCAGTGTGGTCCGAAGACCATGCTTGTCGGACGTTGGCCAGACTTCCACGGCACGAGGCGGCGCGATGGAGGACGGTGACGACCTGACTTGGTGAAAGATTCCAGGCTTCTTCCTTTCCTTATTCTTCCTTGTTTACCCCCTACCTCTCTCTCCGGGGTTGGACTTCCTTTCTCCTTCGTCACTTATTCCTTTCTCTTTCTGCCTCCGCCGCGCTCTTTAGTGTCCGGATTTAACGACGGGCGGTGCGGCAGAGCGGGATACGTACTAGTACCCTGAAATCCGGGTGATTGCCGCATGGTTGGATGCGACGACGAATGCGTGGGATGTGATACTGACTGGGAGTGTGTTTAGTGGAGCAGAAGCAGGGGTAGGAGCGGCACGAATCGGGACTTGGGAAGGCACATTGAAATCGTGCTTATTTGAATGCTACACTCGGTCAGGGTATCCCGCTGTTCGGTCGAGGTGCTGATGAAATATATACAAGGCACACCAGTAATCACACCATCACCTTCCCAAATGCATGGTTCCAACACTTGGGCCACCGTCTGGGCGTGATCATTTACCTCCCACTCATTCACTCATGATTACCGTTATACTCGTACACACATAAACTGGCCTGGTATCATTCCATGCATTACCCATGACCCATTACCTCCTCGGGAATAATTTCAACGCCGCTCGCGGTGATGAAAAGTGTTGCACATGGAAGATGGTGACGCATAGACCTGTCCTTTTGGGACAGCACACGAGAGAAGCTGTTAGATGTTTAGGTCGGATCATCGTCGTACCAGTCGTTGAGGGAGCCTAGCAGCTGCTTCCAGACGTTGCCATCCCAGTAGGTGTGATCCACAATATCCCTGATTTTCGCGAACGGTCCATCAGTCAATGGATGACAAAAGCAGGTATGGAGTCAGCTTACATGCCAATGGCCTTGAGACCGAGACCGTGGTCTAGTTTATCAAGCTTATCTATGCTCGCTTGATCATCGCCAAACCGGATGAACTGGATGGCAACATGTTCCTTAGGGCATCTTTTGGCAATCATACTTTGGACCAGGTCTCTGATGAGACCCTCAACGTCAGTGGGCTGCCACTTAGCGTCTGTCAGGATGTAGAAGCTCAGGGGCCTTTGCGGTTGCGGAGGAGGTTGACGTCCGTACACCGTTCTCGGGGGGTAAATCAATGTGCCAAATTTATTTATATGCTCTTGCAGAATGTTTTGTAGCCTTCCTCGCATGTCTGATACCCCCACGAAGGGCTCTTGGTGTATCGAGGACGAGAGTTTCGAGGATTTCCGCGAATTGACCTTTTTCCGGCTCTGGGTGAAAAAGATGTCGAGGCCGTCTTTGTCTGACTTCTTTACCATGTATGCCAACAATGAGATGACGCGTTCTATTTCTCTACTGTACTGCTTCATCGTGGCCGAGGTATCAATCAAAAAAATCTAGAGCCACCCCTTAGCGAGCTTCATGTGTTTGATCTTGGAAGGACATGACTCACATGATCTCTCTTATCCAGAGAAGTCAGGTTTTCCTCTCCACGCAACACGGTATATTCACCACTTTTCTTCTTCCTCTTCCATTCATGGCCTTCATTGATGGATAGAGTAGGTCGTACCGGCTCCTCTTGAGGCTGCTGTACATGCTGCTGCGGAGAATTTTGATGAGTGTTAGCAACGGTTGAAGACGGGGTTGCTGGGAGAGGAATGACATGTGAGCCTTGTGCGCCAGCTGGTGAGCTTCCTTTGGCACCAGTGCTGCGTGGTCTACTGCTTTGGCTTGCTGACTTATGGTGATGCCTGTGAGAAGATGATTGCGATCTCGAAGACGAAGACGACCACGCGGAATCGTCGTCAGGCGGAAGAGGTTCCCGCAGTGGCAACTCTCTTTCCCCTCGTACGCGATAATGGTCATGTGGGACTTGAGGAGGACTCCTAGCCCCGACCCTGGCTTCGTTAGAATCGACAAGCTCGCCATTAATGTTTCCCACGAGCCCAACCACAGAGACATCGAATTTCTTTTCGGCATCTTTAATAAGTCGCTTTGACTTGTCGAAAAGATACTTAGCGTGGGGCCGGGTCTCATGCTGCAACATCTCAACAACAAGGCGGTCCACTACTGACCGAGTAATATGATCCTTGGTCTGTTTTGCCCTTAATATATCTTGATGTATGTTGTCAACCGCGTCGAGGAGATTGCCATCAAAGTGAAAGACGTGTTCACCCTCATCACCTCCTTTAGCCTTGATCTCCAAGCTTCGCTGACGTCTGTATTCAACAACTCTTTTCCAGCCGTGATGAGCCCAAACCGATGCTTCGCTGAACACACAGCCAATCGACCATACGTCCACGGCCTGTGTAACTTGTAAAGGGGAAGCTTCCATGTCTATGTGGGATCTGAAAGTCTCCGGTGCACCTAAGCGCTCATCAGTCAGATTTGAGAAGGCGGGTTTAAAGGTCCGGCCTACCATATGCGCGAGTACCAAAGGCGTCCAAGTCTGTCTGAGGGATCATTTGGCTGGGAGACGTTGGGTTTGAAATGAGCGAGTCCAAGGTCTGCGATCTTGAAATGACAGTCATATGGTGAATCTCCGTTTCCACTAAATACTAAAATGTTGGCTGGTTTTAACGTCTTGATGCCAGCTGTTGGCAAAAACATTAGAGGTGACAGATATCGGATTGGGCACAACACATACCCGTTTATGATCTGAGATACCGAGCTGTCGTTCCCAATGTTACCATGAATGGTCATTATGCCATGTGTGACACCAAAAAGCCTATCCCAGAATATTGCGGTATCTTCGATTGTTGACGGCGACTTCGTGTTTCTCATGAAATCCTCTAGCGTTCCTTGGTCTGCATACTCCAAAATGATGTTGTATGAATCGCCGTGAATGAAGCCACCGTATTAGTGTTCTCATCCTCACGCATCACACATACACACAGGGCATATAGATCTGAGGTATCAAGTGGTTGGGCCGTCCCCAACGCCGGGATAACAGCTGAATAGAGGCCTGAACAGACGTATTCGTACCTCATCTGCAAATCTGAAAAATTAATTTCCGCACGATTTCCGCCGGGTCCGCACGATCAGCACGATTTAGCCTATTCAGCAGACTTTGCCTACAAGTATGTCCAAACCCTTTCCGCCAGTTCTGCCAGTTTAGCAACTTCAAAAATTTTCAGCAACTTCAAAATTTTTGCGCAATGCACTCTAATACACTCTAAGTACTATTCTACATACATATGGCATCAATATGCATCATTATCAACATACGCATCATTATGCGCTATACCAGAGTATCACCCACGCGACTAATTTCATTGAATCGTCCAATTCCGTAGCCAAATTTGAGTTGGCGTTGATACTCGTCGCCGTAGAACCTTGCCGTCGCAACGTCGATCATTAGAACTTTTTTTTTCGTGCGTATTGCTGCTAAACTGGCAGAACTGGCGGAAAAGGTTGGGACAGTTGCTGAACCGGCGGAATTTAGGCGGATTCTAATCAGATTTGCTGATCCGGCGGATTTTGTGATTTCCGCGACACACGCGCGATCAGCAATTTCAAATTTTGCAGGAACTTTTCAGATTTGCAGATGCTCAGCGCCGAGAAAACTCCCATGCCTATGGCATAGACCTGGGGTGAAATAGTAGCTAGCTATATATGTAGGTGTGGGTAGATAGAATAAAAAGTATACAATGGCTCTGAAAGAGACGAAATCGAATGAAGAGCCATTAGGGGCTATCAAAGTTACTTCTACTTATGAAATAAGTCACTTATTTACCCCTCCAGCCCTATATCAGCCCTATGATAAGTAGAAAAAAATCTCCTGAGTTGCTCCTCTGGAGGAACAATACTAAAATGTTGGCTGCTATTAACACGCTCTCTGATGCTACAGGCTGTCATAGCCAGAAAGCAAGAAACGCTGCCCTGACAGACGTCTGCATCAGCTATCTACTTACCAAGGAGGTAACCATGGCTTTAAGTAGCAGCGATTCCAGCCCGTTTAACTTGAAGGGATCCTGTGATGCAGACAGAAGTCATGATGCTGCGCTAGGTATTATTGTCGTTGCAATGGCTTTAGGGGGTGTTTTATATGGCCATGAAGGCGTTCTCCGGCCGTTTTATCCGCCAAAGGCCCTATATCGAATGTAGTTAACACAGTATCATTACTACGAGACTATTTAAGAAGAAGAAGAAATAATTATTATTCATAAGTCGAAATAGATGAGGTGCTGTCAAAGAGCTAGTAGCTTATTGTATTTCTACTTATCATAAGTAGAAGTAACTTTGATAGCCCCTATTGCTAGGTGCAAAACAGGTGGATATATAGCTCGTAGTGAACAGGTGTCTCCTACAAATGACGGGGTATGAATCGCCGTATTGAAACCCACTAACCCCAGTCCCACTCTGGCTAGTAGGCAATTATGTTGAGGAGATGGCTTTCCCGCCCATCTCAGTTTCATGTATGCGTCACGCTCAGCTTTGTAGTTTTCTTCAGCATCCGCAGCTCGATAAGTTTTCAGAACAAACGTGTTTCTTGTGCTGGCGGCGGCGCTTCTGCTTCCATTCAGCTGACTGCGAGTCTATTGGGTAGAGGAGCCGAGCATACCGGTATGACATGACCACGCGGTCGTAGCGAATTGTAGTTTTCGTCAACCACAATTTTGTAGATGATGGCGCTTCCCCCTTCTCCGATCTTCTCTTTGCGTGTTATAGGCAGGATGTCCTCCTCTTTGAAGCGATCATTCATGTTGTATTCGAGTTGTGACTCTGTTCTTCTTGCCTGGAACTTTTATATCTGTAGGTCAGAATTTTCTATCGGTAAGCCTCGTGGTGTACAGCACGACAACGACTCATCCCTTTTGTCTTCGTCATTATTCAGTGTAAGCCAAGACACATTTGAAGCTGATTTGCCAATTTGCCCGTGCTTAGACACTCATGAGCACCGAAATCTTCCAATCAGACTATACCGGGCGCGGGATGCCGAATCCCTACGCCAATCTCAATCCTGTACAGATATACCTCGCCCTGAGCTTGCCGCTTACCGTCGTCACGCCTTCTCTTCTGGGCTGGCTTCCACTTCTGGGAGATGCGTCATGAGAAGCAGAAGAAGAAGCACCATAAAGCTGCTGGTTGGCAAGTCTGACCTTCCAATGCTGTATCCTTCGATTGTCTGCGCCTATGCATAATCCTGGCAGATATCATCATCTCACCGCTACAGTCTGCGATATCACCCAAGATTGTGTGGGTTACAGTTTCATAGAACGAATAAGGGACCCGTTATGTATGAAGTCACTGTGGGATCTTCTGCGTATCAGACTTTTGTGCCTTGGCAGCCGCAAGGTGGATGGTTGTCATTTCTTGAATGCGTCTCTCTCACGTGGACTGGAATGACGATTTTTTGAACGATCCGAACAACATTGAGATGACTGATAGACGTCTAAATCTATAAGCTGCGAGAAGACAAACACCAGTAGAAGGTCTATTCAGTCTTCAATTCCTCCTATCAAAGTGAAATCAAACCTTGGCTACGTCGATGGAACACGAATACTCTACGAGTACAGATAGACTAGTCAAGCACCCCCAGATGAAAGCCACGGCCACCACCATAGTGTCCTTCATCTCGACGCAAGACGTGGCCGCCTGCCGCTCGTGATCACGCTGTCCACTATCAGCAAATGCCCGAGTTCCCCTCGAAGAAGGAAAGTCGAAACGGGTTAAAACACAGCCTTGGCATTCCTGACGCAGAAATTGCTCGATCTACGGTTCATCCGAACCGTGCCGTGCCAGTAGGCGGCGTGCCAGCATCTGGGGGGTAATGCAACGTACCCAACATGGGAAACGATTGACCCCGCATGTTCAGCTTGCCCGAGATGCATAACTAGCGTGGAACTGTGGTTGGGTTGTAAGTTCTAGCCTAGCGTATCCCGCCATGCAACGACCCAGTCTGCAACAAGATCGTTGGAGACATTGTGAGTCCACGGTTCTTGAAAATTCGCACGGTGATGGATATGTAGTAAGGGGCGTCAAGGTTTGTAAGTTTCTACTCTCCAGGCTTGTCCTTGGGGAGAAACTACGGCAAGCGGAGTCGATGTTTGATCGGTTAGATTCTCAGCCTTGTCCGCAATGCTGCACGCTGTGCCATTTCCGGTGGGCTCGAAGATTACGGGCCGCAGCCAAGCCATGTTTCGGGTTGTCAGTGATCAGTATGCATCTTACCTTGCTAAGGGCTATGTATGGAACCATCTTGCCCAGCCGTGTGATCTCGGTCTATGTTATTTTTACCGCGGTATACCGAGATCTATATTGAGCTCTGCCAGATGATTCACTACCTCCGAAAAAGAATCTTTCCTAAGTCCCGAGTTGGCAATGGTCAACGCGCTACCGCATCAGCCTCGCCTGCTGAATGCCGCTTATGCGGCTCAGGTTAGGTTCCAGAGTCCTCTCACGATGTATAAGACCCATGCCGACCTGCTGAGGGATAGAGGGGTAGGGAGTACATCGCTCGTTAAGACGCTCTTCAGACATTTCATTCAAATTCATTCCATCTGTGATTTATACTTCCCCTAAACCCCATAAGCTACCACCATGAAATTCACCAAATCCAAAAAAGAGACCAAGAAGTCCCCCGAAGAGGAATACGCCGAACAAATCTCCACCCTCACAGAAAGCGAACTGCGCGACCTCCACAAAGACCTCAAAATCGACCATTATGTCAACAGCACCGCTGCCGTCATCAACACCGCATCTGGCGTCGGCCTTCTCAGCATGCGCTCAACCACTCGCAGGTACCGAACCGAACGCATGCAGATCGAAGCCATGGAGGCTCGCATGAAAGAAATGGGATGGACGGCCCACCCGAATCGATACAGGGATGCGGTGCCGATTGCGCTTGGGAGTCGCCGCCGGGACCACGGCCGGGATGTCGTTTGGGCTCATCAATGTTGAGAAGAACGCGAAACGTACTACGGACTATGTGAAGAAGAAGGACCTGTTCAAGACGAAGGAGCTGGTCGAGACGAAAGAAATTGATGTTGACACTGAGACTGAGGAGGCTGACGTTGCCGAAGAGGTAGAAGTTGCAGAGTCTTCTCTGGAACGCACACAGACTCCTGAAAAGACCACCGAACCCGTCATCGTCTCGCACAGTATCGCCAGAAAACCCGTCCCCGCCCCAGCACCAACCAACACCATCGCAGCACCTTCGCAGCCCGAGGATCTCAACACCGCCGTCGAGATCACCCACGACACCCCCGTGGTCTCCATAGAACCAACCGCCACCGAACCACCCGCCCCTTCCGTCGATGCGTGCCCGGCCGCGGAGCCGAAGCCGACGAAGAAGGAAGCGCTCTTCTCCCAGGTCTCGGTCGTGAACAAGAAAATGCGCAGCTTCGGGTTCAAGAGGGACGGAGAGGAGAAGGGAGACGACGGTTTCTGTCGCGGAGATTGCGTGCGATGCGCGGAGTCCTGCGATGGATGCGGAGGCAGGTGCGGTCGTTGGTCACGGCGTTGTCGAAAAGCTGGATGGGCCGCCGCTGTACACCGCGGAGGCGATGGAGTGTGTTGGTTGAGGGGTCCTGGGTTGGAGATGATGCCGGGGTTGTTTTCGGGTTGGCGTCGTTCTGCATCTGGGTTGCCAATTTTTTCTTTGCTTGAGACCTGGAACAGGTGAGGTGAATGGTTATGTTGTTGGAATGGGGCTTGATACCGTGCTGTTCAATTTTATAGGTAATCCTTCCCCTGAGGAAAAGAAGCACCAGTTTTAAAAAAAAAAAAAAAAAAATAAAAAAATTTTTTTTAAGGGAAAAAATAAAAAAAAAAAAAAAAACTTTGTTTTTTTTTAAAAAAAAAAAAAAAAAAAAAAATAAAAAAAAAAAAAACCCCCCGCCGCCCCCAAAAAAAAAAAAAAAAAAAACGGCTGGAGGATGCCGAAAGAAAGTCTTACTGGGAGGAGGTAGCCAATGAATCGGACTATAGGACCGTCACGCTTTCCCCAGAGAATGCAACCTCGCTGTTTTGCTTTGATTAGGCAGCCGTACAATATTAATGGCAGATACTGCAGGATCCACTAACTGGCTGTGTGCTGGCGTCTCGGCTTCTGCTCGCATTGCTCCTGATCATCGGGCTCCACAGATATAGGCTCAGATGATGCGGTTCGATCGGTCGTCTCAAGCTCTATCAATTGATGGTTTAGACCATGAAGAGACAGATTGGATTCCATCCGGATCATATGAAGAGAATCCCAGCATGGCGCAAGAGGTTTGCCGAGGGTACGACTGAGAAGAAGCAGGGGAGGAAAGCATGACGATTAGTTACAATTCATATCCTTGTGCAAGCCGGCGAAGTTATCTAGCCAGATGTCCCGAATTGCTGGAAAGCGGGCAGGAGTAGTCCTCTTGATGTCTGGTCTCTTCGATAACGACATCGCACAACGACATAATTGGAAGGTTCATTTCAACGAAATGTCCCACAGTGTTGAATTCACAATTGGGATGTAAACTGTAGCAGAGCTTCTAGTCAGGTCCGAGTAGCAGAATCCATCATCGAACTCAAAGCACGAAGCGCAGTTCAGCTCGTAAGGATCACGATTTGCAGCCATGCATGTTGCATGGACCGCTGCAACGATGATAAGGCAGGTAGGTGGTCTTTGTCAAACAAGTCCTTCTCGGCAGCCTACAGGCTGATGCTAGATAACATACTCTACTCAGTCTTATCTGATCTTTGAAAACATCGTCTGATGGCCTGATCCTTCCCTATATGCATGACCTTTGCTACATGCTCTTAGTTTACAAGGTAGGTTATAGCTTTATAAGTAACTAAAGTAGGGTGCCTGCAGGCGGCTAAACACGGCGAGACAGGCTCCGCGACTCCGCGCGTAGCCTGGACAGCTTCTTATCAGCACTGCGTCATTATTGCATGCCAAGTAGAGGGGAAAGGCCAGCGAAGAAAACGATCTACGGTACGGTATACCTGGTGAGGCTGCTGAATGCGAGTTGGGCATGTATCACTTTCTCTTTTGAGCGGACCATGTCTGCCCGCTATGTTGTTTTGTCCATGCTCGATTTCACATCTCATCCCTTCGGCGGAATTGGCAAACTTGAACCTCCCCAAGAGAAGAATTCGAATGGCACGCCGACTGAGCCTGTCATCCTCTTCCAGACCGCCTCCCCTCCTCAAAATCCGCTCGGCGCCTCGCTTCATTATCTTTATTGCGTGTTATGGCATCTTCACAGTTAGTGGATAGCTTTCAATACGACCTTTCATCCTGAAGAATCTCTGCTAATACGAACAATTGTTTAGCACTTGTTTTTCTATGGCATGGTAAGCCCGCTTGAACCCACACCGTTATCCTTTACGCTAACATACCACAGCTTGTCCCTGTCACGCCGACCGCCTTAATACAAAGAGCTGGTGTGCCCCCGAAAGACTGTACGTTGAGTTTTGCCACGCTGCGGCTTCTGTCCTCAGGTCATTCTACTGATGGATACGACGCCCTAGTACAGAAATGGAACTCAATTCTCCAGGCCATCTATGGCGGCGCCACACTGGCAATATCCCGTGAGTCTACTGTTCTTGTGCCGTTGAGAGTTTTTGGTCTCTGACGTGTTCTCAACCCTTCCAGCGGCCGCTGGCTTGTTCATGGATCGCATGGGGTCCCGTCGCACTCCTTTCCTGCTCTGTCTTGTCTGTCTCACAGGCGCCACGGCGCTTCTTGCCGTCGGGACAAACATCGGCCTCTGGGTTGCAGGACGCCTTCTCCAAGGTGTATCCGCGGGAGTGTTATGGGTCGTGTGCCTGGCTCTTCTCACTGATACCGTTGGCCCGGCAGGCATCGGCCAAGCGGTCGGGGTCATTGGCATCCCAATGAGTATAGGACCAATTGTAGGGCCCCTACTTGGCGGCGTCATCTACGCCCACGGTGGATACTACGCCGTCTTCGGACTGATGTTCGCCATGCTGGGCGTGGACGCCGTGCTGCGGCTCGTCATGATTGAGAAGAGAGTTGCCCAGAAGTGGTTGGAGGCCGAGGCTGTCCAATCTGACATACCCGATGTTCGTCCCGAGTCCGATTCACCAGTGAGTCTGACTCCGTGTCCCGAATCTTCCGATACTTCCTATACGATGACAGGAAACGACGATGAGAGGACCAATGGGGCGCCTCCTTCAAGTCAAATTCTGCACTACCAGCTTCCCCCAATACTAAGGCTTCTACTGTCCTTCCGAATGCTTGTGGGTCTCGCTGGTGGACTGCTGCAGTCCTGCTTAAACGTCGCGTTAGACAGCACTCTACCCCTGGTTGTCAACGCGCTCTTCGGATGGCAGCAGACCGGACAGGGTCTAATCTTCATCACAATCTTGCTTCCATCCCTCCTACAGCCCGTCTTCGGCGCGATAACCGATAGATATCAGCAAGGGAGACGACTGCTCGCAGCCGGTGGTTGTCTTCTGGCCACCCCGGCCTACGTGCTCTTACGTCTTGTCACGGAGGACACGCTGAGCCAAAAGACCCTGCTTTGCGTTCTCCTGGTGATCATCGGCCTGGCGATGGCCATTGCCATGCCGGCGATTATTGCAGAGATTGGTGCCACTGTTGCAGACGCGGAGAAGAATGACCCGCAAGCCGTCAAGGGATCCGTCATTGCCACGGGATGGAGCCTTGTCAATGCTGCCTACGCGGCCGGTTGCTTGATTGGCCCCTTGTTCGCAGGCCTCATCCGCAACGCGGCTGGTTGGCAAACAACGACGTGGTGCCTAGGACTTTTGAGTGCAGTTACGGGAGTGTTTCTGCTGCTGTGTCTAGGGGGTTGGGTAGGGAAGCTTCGACCAAAAGCATTCGTACACAGGGTACCTAGATGAAAGTATAAGCCCATTCACCTGTTCGCTGGAACCTATCCGCCTAATTGCGCTGTCAAAATCGAACTAATTCACCACCTGGAAACCCCCCCAAAAAATGTACCCCATTATTTGTTTTATACGCTTTTCAACATATATTAATTGAACTTTTGGGAAAGTGGGAAGAGAAATGAGAAGGCCCATAGGGAGGGTTTGCTTGCATTCATGATCGAAATCCTAAAGACAGAAGAAGGGAGAAGGCATTATATGAAGTGAGCGGGCAGCGGAGCAGCTCTCAAGAATAACAGATCCTATATATCCCCAACTTACCCAGCATATCTTCACTTACCTTGGGGAAATGCGAGTCGTCCGCCGTTTGCTTTTCAAGATTGGAATCAGTACGACTAGCAATGACACTGCGCTTCCGCGATATTGGCTGGATACCAGAAAAGAAGAGATCCCATATACTGCTGGGAAAGGATGTTCGACCAGCTTTTCGGAGAGGAGAGGGTTTATCACAAGGTACTCGAGACATTTCTCAAGGACACCACTGAATAAAGAAATAGTTATAACCCTGACAACACGCCGACGCAAATGTCAGGCGGAGGTGGGGACGTCAATCAGGAACGATTTCTCGACGCGGAGAGCAGATTTCGAACTTTCCAAATCTCGTACGGCTTTGCGGCATGTTACTGTGGTAGTAGCAGACTTAGTCAACTTCCCACCACCGGACAGATAACGACGTATATGGCCTATAGGAAGTTGCCTACAACTCTCTAAACCTCGTCCGCTATGGCCAAGAAGCGCCACCAGCGCCGGCTATCTTTGGAGACCGGTCGGGCATTCAAGATTCCTCCGAGGACGTCAAAAAACAGGCGCCGCAATCAACTGTCAACGCGCCTCCATCTACTTCGATTCCGCAATTGATGGAACCCCTGCCTGTCAAGTGGAACATAATTCCTCCCATTCGATTACCATCGACACGTGCGTCGTCTGTCTTTCGCTGTGAGGAGAAAGCACCTGATTGTGGAAAACCAGTGAATATACGGTACAGATACTCATCACTGGAGCCACAGACCGTCACCTTGAAGTAAGGGAACCTTTGGCGGAGTACTGAAAAAGTTGAAGGAGAAAAAAGGCTTTACAACTCTTAATGTAATTGAATGTCTACTCTTTGTTGGGTAGAGTGCTGCGTGCAGAAGCGCAATCTGATCTGAGCGCCAGTTGGCACTGTCTAAACTTCGATATGTATGTAACATCGTCGAGCATAAAAAACTGATTTCAAAACCAAGAACCTCTGCCCTGTTGATCTGGCGAGGGATTGCTGAATCTCTCCATTGTACGAGTAAGGCCAAGCACACGTTGCCAAGTTCATCGCACCCCAATCGGATTTCTTGCTGACCGCACTGACTGCCCTTAAAATGATAGCTTCCAATCCTATTCCCCCAATAGCGGACAACGCACAACGAGCTTGAGGTCGCCTCTCTGGCCGTTTGCTACGTGAACAGCTAGACGAATTCGTCTCAATAGCGCCTGTGATAATTCAAGTTCTCTGGATTCTCCTGGGAGAACCAGGAAGCTGAAATGAAAAATCTCGATCCGAGTATGGTAGAAAGTAGATCGATCAATGCTCACCGGGGGGCAACTCGATGACAAAAACCTGGCAGAAGATAAAGGGTCGATCAGGACGGGTCATGATCTAAAGGAGTTATCCTCGCCGGTCACCTATACGACGTAGATCTAATTCACCGCCGTAGAACTGGGTGATAGTGGAGCACATGATATTGCCAAAGACAGGTGTCCAGTACGAGCCATCTCCGGACCAATTACAAATCCATACCCCAAAACCATGGGATCCTTACAAACTCATACCCCATCTTACATTTTCACACCCCTCACCAAAAAAAATGGGGGAATAAATTTGTAAGTTGCTAGTCTTTGGGGTATGAATTTGTAAGTGACCATTTCTTGGGGTATGAAAATGTAAGATACCCACAAACTTGTAGATGTAGTTATCCCTATACCTGTAAATCATTAGAAGGGTATCGAGGTTGTTCCAGGCCCCCTACCCCAATCGTTAGTAACCCGTGCACTTCACGCTGCAGACACCCCTACAACAGTAAGGGGCCCGCAGGGCCCCCGGAGGAACAATTCCTAACACCAACCCGCCCGATAGATGGCAACTTACCAAATCATATCCCTATCAATGGTATCCTTACAAATTCATACCCCATTGGCGGTATGGAAATGTAGGATGGGGTATGAATTTGCGAGAATGCCATGGTGTAATTTGCCCAGCCATCTACTCTAGACTGCTGTTTTTGCACCTGCACTTAGCTCTTCATTCGAGTCTGTCTCTTTCGGAGCCATTGCATGCTTTTCGCCCCACCTACCCACGCCGGTAGATGGTCGTCGCACTCCGGTCTATGCCATAGGCATGGGAGTCTTCTTGCGCTCGGGTATGAGAATATGCGAACCCGGCTCGCAGAGGTCAAGGCTGTACGTTAGACAAAGCATGGTACGATTCTATGGAAGCACTACCGTACATCCCGCAGATCTGACTTCGTCCTAGAGGCTGAGCAACGCCTGAGCCCATAGCGTAAAACGTCCCTTCGACCTACGCGATCTGTGCATATAGGAAACAAGACGCTATCTTGCCAAAATCGAGGCGCTCGCCAGACTTGACACACTATTTCACATTTCGTGAGGACTCCCACTTTCGCTATATCATATCTTCACCCACTCCACTGCTTGCAGATCTTCGCCAGCGGCACAATAATATCCCCACAGATCACGCTCCAGAGCTTCGTATCCTCCCAGTCCAAGAACCTTGTATCACCGCTAATATTCACCCGCAAGCAATGCGCGACCGCCTTGTCGTACAGGTCTGGCAGCGGCTCGTCGACGTCGTCGAGCCACTCGACCCCGCGCGCCATGCGGTCGTAGTAGGCCGTCGGCGCGTTTTCCAGGCCGAAGCGCGCCTCGAGCGTCGTCTTGTGCCAGATCTCGAGCAGCAGGATCCCAAGCTCGAGCAGCGCTACCTTGGGCTCGATGCTGCGCGACGCCGTCCGCAAGCCGCCGAACGGACACCGCACGAAAGGGCGGTTGAGAAAGACCTCTGCCTGTGCGCCGGGCCGGACCAGGAAGAAGACGACGTCCTTGGACCACGCACGATCGAGCCAGCATGTCTGTAGGAGCTGCAGTAGGCTGGAGGCGAGGCGGAGAGCGAGCAGCATGCGGAATTTCCAGGGGAGGGGGGTGCCTTCGGCCTGTAGGATCTCCTTGAGGGAGATTGCGTCGTTAGGTTCTTCCTGGAGCTGATGGGCTAGAGAGGCGTTGTCGGAGATGGTCCCGATGGGTTGGTTGCCCACGAGCGCGAATGAGATGCGGCGTTGGGAGCCGCCGGCTTCTTTGATCGCGGCGCAGATGCTGGCGACCGAGGCGATCGCAGGCTTCGAGGGCGATGAGGCCCTCTGCGACACGAAGGACAGTCCTACCAGCGTGTTTGGGCGGCTATCCCGACGAGTTTGGTTGTCTAGTGAGAGGTTGAAATTGTCATCGCAGTCATCCTCGTCGAATACTTGCACGACAGTTTCGTAAAAGACTCGCTCCTTTGGGCAGGTGCCGGCGGTGAAGACGAGGTCGAAGATCATGAGGGGGGTTACGGAGTTCGCTTTTCCAACCCGTCGCAAGATGTCGGCGGCAATGTCGACCCGGTCATCGAGATACAGCCTCGTCTCGTGACTGTCGTGGCATTCTTCTCGAAAGCCGTCGGTGATGGCGAGATACAAGGTGCTAGCAAAGGTCCGGATATGGCGGAAAGCCTTTGCGAGCTTGACCGCCTTTCGGGAAGAATCGCTCTGGATGGTCTGGCGGTTTGACAAGATGAGCCTTGAAAAGCGGTCAAGCGCAGCCGTGCCATCATCAATCTCTTGAATGGTGGCCTTGATATCAGTTATTCCGAGTAACAGCTTCACCCGTGGAGCCAGATCGACCAGTATACTCGTCTTTTCTTGATTGGCATTGATGATAGCAACCAGGTCATCTGTCGGTTCCTGCGACTGTACTTAGCGTGGAATCCTGATATATGGCGGATCACTATTGGGACTGGAAACGGAAACCTTACCTGGTGCGCCGGTACAAGACCTGATATGTTCTCGGCGACTTTTTTGACAATGTCATTGCTCGCCGTGAGCAGGCCAACGAAGGCGATACTGTTCTTCGGCCCCAAGTAGTCCTCTACCCGCTCTCGAACGTCCTCGTTGCTGAAATACCCGAACGGGTCTTCCTCCAAGGCGCCGATATTCTCACACCCGCACGCGAGAACGACCGACTTGACGGTTTCCTCGAGGATTTGCTGCTGAAGGAGGAGCGCACGGGCGAGTTTCTCGACATGTTTGCGCTTCCGAATCGTCGTTCCGACCCGGCGAATGCTGTCTTTATACGCGTCGACGGAGTGCAGCACTATCGGAAGAACCCCTAGCGCAATGCCCACAACTTCGAAGCCTGACATGAACGAGATACGCTTGTGAAAAGAACTTTATGAGATAAGTAGCAACGAAGTTAAAAAGTTGTGGGACCATCATTGCTAGGGTCCCTTTACCGACCCTAAGAGCGGGGTAGCGGGACTCGCTTCCACCATGGCCTGTCTAGTGCTTACTATAAGGGGCTCAGACACCGCAGGGGGCAAGTGGGGGCGGCTCGTCGAGCTAAAAATATACCTAATCTCGATTAGAATAGCAGACGCTATAATAAAGTAGGGCTAGCGTAAACTATACGCGTAAACTCTTTACTACTTATCCTCTATATAGATTAAATAATAGTAGCGAGATAGCTATAAAGATTACCTCGACGATTGTTGAAAAGATATCTATTGAAACTATACGCGTCTTCGTTATTTATCTCTTAATCTATATAAGAATTAGTAAAGAAGGTGACTTACATTAGCGTCTGCCATTCTAATCGAGATCGAAAACGTGCCCGAGATAGCAGCTCAATTTTGAGACATTTTCTGCGAAGCTGCACACGTAGACCTTCGGTACCACGGTACCACCCAATCTATTAGGGCTAGTAGCATGTACGCTGCATCAGCTTTTGATCAAGGCAATCGGCTTTACATCGTTAACCACTACGCAGCTCAATCTACAGGCAGCGCTCGTCTTTCAAGGCTCAGATCCCAGAGCCTTACCACTCTATCGCGAGATCCCGACGCGATCCGCTGACCGTCCCGTGAGAATGCTACGCCGTAGACATCCGCTGAATGGCCTCTAAGGACACCGACGTTTGTCCAAGTCGTCGTCTCCCAAATTTTAATCATGTGGTCATAAGACCCAGACGCCATAAGTGAGCCGTCAGGCGAGAATGCTAATGCGGTAATGCCTTTCTCATGAGATTTGATGGAGCGAAGCAACATTCCTGAGCCCAAATCCCAAAGCTTGATAATCCAGTCGTTACCCGCGGTCGCAAGTATCTGGCTGTCTGGCGTGAATGCGAGGGCGTAGATCACTCGACCATGGCCCTTGAGCGTGCGAAGTAGTGCCCCCGTAGCCAGGTCCCAGATCTTAACCGTCCTGTCGTTGGAGCCCGACACAATATACTTGTCGTTTGGGCTGATGCCTATAGAGAAGACACCAGCTGTATGTCCCTCGAGAGTAAAACGCGCCGTTCCTGTGCTCACGTCCCAGAGCTTGCATGTCTTGTCGTGAGATGCAGAGGCCAACAATTTGTCGTCCGACGAGAAAGAAAGACCGCTGACGGCTCCTCCGTGCCCCGGAAGCGTATGGAGGCATGTGTTCGTACTGACGTCCCAAAGCTTGGTCGTCTTGTCGTATGATCCCGACGCTATTGTCCGGCCATCGTGAGACCATGCTAGAGACCTGAATCCGCTTTTATGCCCCTTAAGGGGTGTGGGCGCTGCTTCACTTTCCAGATCCCAGAGCCTGACCACCTTATCATCAGACACGGAGGCTAGGAGTTTGTCGTCTAGAGAGAACGCCACCATGTAGACCGGAGTATTGTGATCCTCGAATACGTTGACTGTCGTCCCAGTCACCACCAAATTATCCTCGGATTCAGCACTCTTCGCTTCCACGGCCACGTTGACTTTACTGTCGATTGCCTGAACCGCTTCCTCAGTGAGTTCGAATTTGGCTTCGGGCAACCTACTTACTTCCTCAGATGCTTTCTTATCGGGTGCGTCGGGGGTTCCTCCGCCACTTCAATTTTGCTCTCGGGCGCCTCGCTCGCTTCCCCGCCTTCTTCGACTTCACCGCCGGTGTTCTCACTCTTAATGTCCAAATCCCCTTCAAAATCCTCGTCCCGAGAGTCCTCAATCGTACCATTGGCCTTGTCCGAGTCAGCATCAGCAACGTCGTCATCGTCGTCGCCACCGCAGGCAACAGATCGCGGCAACGAAAAGAGGGAAAATCTCTCCAGATGCAACGCGATGTGGTTTTGCAGTGCTCTCGGAGTGTCGAAGACTATCGAGCATACCGGGCAAGGCCTGTCTGTAGCCGTCATGATGGATTCACTGGCACGGATAATTCGATTCGCCGATGCATCGTCACCATAGTCGGTGTGTTCGTTGCGAAGATGTTCTCGGTACGTCCCCAGCAGAGTGAACACTTGACCCGAGTGCTCCGGACAACGCCATACCTTCCGATGGCACGAATTCTCGTGATGGGCCCAGTCGTGGCGGTCGTCGTACAATTGGTCTGGGTTCCTGCAGTCCTCGTATGTGCAGATATAAGGGCTGAGATCGTGGATAAGATGGGCCCTGTGAATTGCGTCAGCTCTGTTGTAGTTGTCAGTGCTTCCATAAGGTCCTCCTTACTTCCACGCCTTAGCGGCAAGAGCTCCTCTAGAGCAAAAAGTGAAGCAGTACGGGCACTCGAAGAACTTTTCACCCGACTGCGTTGTTGGTGCGGGAGGGAAAGCCACTGCATCTCGGGCCGGCTGCCACGTTGAAGGAGCATACTCGGATACCGTAAACATCGACTGATTATCCACGAGTTCGAGTCGGGCCAGGTTCAGATTCGTAGCGGTAGTGACGGACGCCGCAGGAGGAGCCAATTCAGCCTGCGGTATGAACGAACTGTTGGACACATGCCTGTCGAACGAGGGCTGGGAGGGGATCTCGGTCCCTGGAGTGAAAACGCTTTGTGTAGATATAGAGGCCCTCGCTTGACGAGCCAGTTTCTCCCGATGCATCTTTCGATACGCAAACTGCTGCCTTCGGCGCACGTTTGCGCGGGCGACGCGGCGAATGAGAAAGAAGTCGGCGGCTCCATGCTGAGATAGGACGGTCCGGATCGGCTCCCCAGACACCATCTCCATTATCTTCTCTTCCAACCGTATCCTTGGTGGGTTCCACCGTGTCACGCTCCTGGAGCGCCCTGGCCTTTTGGTACTGGAGGAACAGCGACCTGATGTGTTCGTAGTCGGCTTGTTCAATAGCGCGCAGGAAGTCGACACCGGTTTCTTCGTCGATCTGCTGGTGGTTCGTCGCTCTGGATGAGCCGAGCCTGGACGACGGATTTCGGATCTTGGTTGACACTTTGTAGAGTCGGTCGATTGGGTCTCGGACACCATCTAGAAGGAGGTCCAAGTCCGATTCCTCCGTATCATCGTCGCTGGAAGGCTCCGAGTCTGACTCTTCTGCCTCTGGGTCATCATCATCATCACCACTTCCATCATCGTTATCATCATTATCATCATTATTATCATCATCGGGCGACTGCTCATCGCCGCCACCGATGCGCATCTGGATCACTATTGGAGCCTGCGTCAGCGATTTAACATGCGCGTTCCAACAAGGGACGGCCCACCTTCGGCCAGAGAATCCATCAGCTCCTGCAAGAATCTCCGGATCGTTTGCGCCAGCCTATCCGCCTCCCGAACGCGATAGTCCAGAGAGCCATGGCCTACGACGAAGAGCCCCAGATTCACAGCCCAGAGCTCGAATCGCTCGGCTTCGGCGGTGAATGAGGCTGCGGGCCAGTCTTGGGATGTCTTGTCGCTATTTACAGTCTGGACGCGCTGAAAGAGGCTCAGCGCTTCGAAGCCCAGGTCAGCTAGCGAGGCACTCATGGGCAGGCCGCCCAGGAACATTGCGGAAGCCATGGAAGACGAGAAACGCAGGCACGAGACTCATTAAACGCCGAGATGAACGCTGATGGGGCATCGAAGCTTCTGCGGGAAAAACCACAGCAACGCTCTCGAGCAGAGGGGGCCAAAACGCAGGAGCTGCATGAGCGGGCGGCAAACGCTCGTTGGAACGCCCAAATCCAGACTTCTTTCCTGCATCGATAACGGCAAAGGCGGCTCAAAATCTGACGGTAAAGAATCAAATATGCTAATGGTAAGTGAGAATGACCCACGAATCACGCATTAATCGCAATAGCTAGGGGGAAGGGGCCTTGTGGTGGGGTTGCCGGTTCGTCATGTTCCCCTCTCTTGTAAGAGCATGCAGCAAAGGTTATGCATAAAAGGAAGGATCAGACGACGTTTTCCATGATCAGATGAAGGCTGAACGGAGAACACCATTGAGAATCAACGTGCATCTCGACACTCTGACGGCGCAACAGGCTTGAAAACATTTAATCAGCTAACTAATAATCTTTCTGCTTGCCCATTGACTTGAGAATCTCTCTATTATTGGTACGTGTATCGTGACTTTATGAGCGCCGAGCAGCCTTACTCGGATTCACCTACCTCCCTACCTACATAGTGACCGGGACATGCAATGTCCGATAAGTCCGGCCGCTAAAGTGTCTCGCGGGTAGCAAAAAACCCGGATTGGCCTGCGAGCCTTAGCCCTCAAATCTAACGTGACAAAACCGAGTGGCACTTCTGAATCCACTTCACTTGTCCTGTAGTTAGCTATCGTGATAAGTCTCAAAGTTGTAGAGAATAAGCAAGAAATTTTCTCTTCCATAGCGAATATTTCAAAGCAGTCTCGCACAAAAGAGATGTCTTGGTACGGGTGCCAATCCGGCTTCTTTTGTATCACAAGAATTTTAATTTAAAATTAAAATTAATTTTTTTTTTAATTTAAAAAAAAAATTTAGAACCGGAGGCAACAAATGCGATTTCTACCACTATTATCAATACTACCACTCCATGACTACTATATAATCTACACTCAATGGTCCAGATCCATTCTATAGACTCTATTCAATCCTTCCTATCATGGAATCGTTCTACACAGTTCCCTTTGCGACATAAAGAGACTTTACATACAGCGCATCCCCCTCTGGTCTTTGGTGCTCCCCCACTATTACCACTAATTTCTCTGCCAAAACGCCTCTTCTGAATGTCGAAACGACACATAAGACACTGTCGAATAGTGTTTAAATCTTGCCAGTCATGATTGCCTCGTAGTGGTTTCGGTAGAGTAGTAATCGGGGTGGGAGGCGGCCGAGATCGAATACCTTCTCTGCCTTCTTCAACCAATCCCACTACTACCAGCTCGAGAAACTTCTGATGCTCCTGACGAAACGTTCCTATTGGTTCACAGAGCTTGAAGGCATTCGAAAGACTTCCATCCAAATGCCAATGAAGTAGAGGTATCCAGTTCCGATTGCAAGCCCGCTGAGAAGAATATGCAGCCACCAGAGCATTAAATCGATCAATCTCCCCCATGTACTTGTTGTAGTAGTAGAAAAGCTTGGGAACTTGAAACTCCTTCTCCCACACATCCTGATTGTTCTCTTTGAAAGCAGGTAGAACTACACGACTATTTGTACTGGTCTTGCTGGGACGTTTTCTCTTTTTGGAGACAGAGTCATCAACCTCTCTCACACCATATGCAGTGGTCAGGGCTAGAACGAGATTGTTATCTTGCCAGGCCACCATTAACACATCATTCTGAACCACTGCAGCGAGAACTCCGTACGGAATATCCCTTGCAAAGACTTGTTTCATCTCTACAAGCAATTTTGGGAGATCTGATCGATTTGGCTTCATGGTTCCACACACCGCAATTCCTCTATCTTTCAGAGCCACAGCCAGCTTGGGTTCGGTGAAATAGTTGTCCATAAAGAGAATAGAGTCACGGGGTAGTGTATCAGTGGCCAATTTGAACACCATGGCTGATGTGTCTCCAAGATTCTTGACTTTTGGCCTACCCTCAAGGCCCTGCACAGGAGAATACCAGGCATAATTGTAGACATAGCCCTCATCGCCAATTGCGAAAAGCTTGTATCCCTCCTTAATTGGCTTGCCTGGAGCCATTGTGGAATGGTATGTGCGTCCCGTCTCCTTGACCATACATTCATCAATTGCGGTGTGAGAACTTGGGGTACGAAGCTTCTTCCAATTGCTCCGTATCTCACTCGCAAATGGCTGAAGCTTTTTGTACCATACAGGCTGTTTATATCTGCCTGTTCCAATGGTTCTGGAGTCCTCTTCGGTAGGGTCTGAGCAATGAATGAATTTCCGGAGAAGAACATAGCGATTCCGAGTCATATTCCCAGTAATCAATGAAGCCACCGGAGCAATTCCATCAGTCCTCCAATAATCATGAATAGTAGGAAAATGAAAGATTCCCATGTAGATTGTAATAGCGACGAAGATTTTCAGCTCCGGAATATCGGTGGGCTTCCAGGTAGAATCTGAAGTACTCTGCAGAGAGGCATACAAATTGGTATTCCTACAAAGCATATCCCAGACAGCAGTAGTCCATATGAGACTAAACACCGTACATGGAGTGATTCCTATGTCGCTTGGAAGGTGACTGACAGCTGCACGATACTCAATTTTCATTGGCTGATACTCTGGTAGTGGAGGTATGCTCTGAAGAAGAATGTCACGCTGTTCAAGTTTCTCCTTTCTTGCATTGGTCTGGGCGTCTCTTTTCTGACGTTTTGTGGCCCGATCTAATTCTTCCTTATCAGGAGTAGGCAGAGTAGCAATTTTAGCCATATTGGACTTGATATGGTGGAGTTGTTATGAAGAATAAAAAAAGTCGCGTGGTTGAGACGCGGAGAAAAACCACGCTAATTTGTTGCCTCGGTCTGGGCGGTTATCGGCTATCATAGGGCTGCGAAGAGGGACTGCCCAAAATTAAAAATTTCGAGAATTTTCTCGAGTCTCTATAATCGCCGTCCAACCCTTTCCTTTATGCTCCTACAGGGCTAGAGTGATTGGCCCTGCCAAGGCTTCTGGCCCCCCGCTCTTCGATGAATTGTTGTCCACGGTAAACACACACACTGCAACCACCTTGACAAGCTCTACAGTCTACTACGTCTGTGGAAGCCTGGAAACCTCATTCAATCCCGTACAAGGATACTAAGAAAACGGGACGAAGATGGAGTCTGTAGGTCGATTGCTCCGATTTAAGAGCTTGAATTAGGTGATCAGCCTTTACTTTGTCACTCATGATTGAGGCTCACAAGATTTCGACCGGCGATTGCTCCATGTTGGAGCGGAGGATTTTCAGTGTTGGAATTCAGTAACTCAGCCCTGTTATGCTTGGCATAGACTATAAGTAGCAAGCAGTACTCCTCCATAGAAAAACAATAAGCCGTCATCAACTTCAACATTTTCGCCACAGCAATCAGCTCGGTTCGTCATGTTTAGAGAGTAACGGAGGCTACCTCCAATCTTATTACTCGCAATGGATGCAATGATGAGGCTTCATGTACGCATTACCGTGGTGGGATCTCCCATGATCGCACCTCGGTTATGTATTGCAATCCTTTGATTACAAGTCCTCGTGTACGGCGCAGCAGGCTTTATGCATGTCTCACACCATCATTCCGCAGCCACAAATGCGATGCACCAATGCTTCCGCATCTTCGTTTCGAATGAGTAAGCTTCTTATCATTGTTCAGCTCTCCGCAGCCTGGCGAATTACCGAATCATACCCCTACACCAAAATCCACCCAAACATGGGGTATGATTCGGTAATTTGCCATTGCTTGGGGTATGATTTGGTAAGTTGTCAAAGTGGCCTCAATCCGCGATCTGGCCTGTCTGACCATAGAAGTAAGGGATTTTCTCCAACCGCTGAAAACATTAGATGATGATCGAGTGGGGGCAATTTCGACCCCTCGAAGGCCACTACGCTTCAGACGCTTCCGGGGCCCTCTTACCCTAAAAGATTTAAATACCCAGGTTAGCTCTAGGGGTCTCACTAGCTAGGTGATCGGCCCGGAGTAGAAATGCAAATATAAGGTACCAAGCTACCGCTAGCTTAAAAGCCATGCCCGGGGGCCCTAAAGGAATAATTTCTAATAGGCACCTAGCTGTATCTATAAGTAGGCTACCACTATGGCAAGGACGAATCCTCACCAAATCATACCCCAAGCAATAGCAAATCACGGAATCATAACCCATATTTGGGTGGATTTTGGTGTAGGGGTATGATTCGGTAAGGATCCATACTTTCGGGGTATGAATTAATCTAGTGATTCGCCCGCAGCCTCGCACGCGAGCCATCAATTCTTTCGCTCGCATCTTCCTTTCGGTTGACATAAGCTTCTTATCAACATTCAGCTCTGCACAGCCTTATGCATATAGGGTCCCTACTTCTGAGAGCAGGAAGGTCCACTGATAGGAGCGAAGCGACCCAAATTGATAGATTTACACACCCGAACATCGGGTAGCGCTAAAGGTCAAAGACTTTCACTTCTTTACCTATCAAAGTGGTCGGGTTCTTGTTCCTGCAGAACTGCCATATGTACCCGTAAGCTTCAGGGGTCCAGTCCTACCCAAAACATTTTACGCGAAAGGCGGCATTAAGGAAAGCACCTTACACCCTAACTTGTTAAAGTAAACAAATCTGTGTTCTGCATAGACATACCCTATCCCCTCAACCCGCATATGTTACTCTGACAATCGCGAACGCTGACCCGACCTGAAGGGGTGTACAGGTATGAGATCGCTTGCAGATTACCGAAACTCGGCAATGGCAGATCTGTTCCAGCAATCTCAGCTGAAATTACGCCGCTACGGAATCGCTTCTCAACATGCTTATCGATCCCTCTTCGCTCCTGGCTAGGTGCCCAGCACAGCCATCCTGTGGGCTGAAATGCCACACTCTTCGCAAACACATGAAACATTGATTTGTCAGGCTGTGCCGTGTGTACAGTGAGCGACCCACGATGCTGTCATCGATGGTAAGATCAGACTCAAATACCAGAGCCTCTAGAAAATGTGTCAACCCTACAAGTCACTCATCAAAAATCCCCCCTCAACAAAAACACCAACGGGCAAGGTTTGACTTTTTTTGTGCCATTGAATTGCAATGGCCACGACAAGCAAAGCTGCATCATCATCTGACCCAAGCAACAAGGGAGGCACTGCCTACCTTGCTACACAGTCAACATTCGTTGCTATTGCGACTCTTCTGGTTTTGATTAGGGTCTATGTTAGGACCGTTGTCGTAAAAAGCATTGGACTAGATGACGCCGTTATTGTCTTGGCTCTGGTATGTACCCTTTTTACCAACACTGATTGCAAGCTAACCGAAATCAGATTCTTTCTCTCATCGTCTGTGCGATGACCAGCCTCACAGTGCACTATAGTGCATTGTACCTCGCCGGAGACTACTCAACAAAGGCTGAAGCGCTCCGCGACGTCACTACAGCTTTGAAGTGGAGCTCGATAGCGGCGCCAATTGGCATCTTTTCCGGACTCTGCACAAGATTGTCGATATGTCTATTCCTTTTGCGCATCTTCCGCACGAAAAGAGAATGGAGATGGGGCTTATATGCTGTCATGGTCTTTGCCACAGCCGTCATCATTCCTACCATTGTCTCTCTTTTGGCCCAGTGTTCACCAGTCCAAAAGCTCTGGGACCCGCTCTTGCCAGGCAGTTGCTGGTCACCCCGGACTGTTATTGACATAGGATACTTCAACGGCGGTAAGTAACCTGAATCATCATCTACTTTACGATCGAGCCAAACCTAAATATTCTTCAGGAGCATCGGTGTTATGCGACTGGATACTCGCCACTTTGCCAATCGTATTCATGTGGAACATACAGATGAGATTCACGGTTAAGATTGGGATTTGTATCTTGATGGGACTGGGTTACTTGTGAGATCTCCTGGCCACGCCATAGATGTTGCGCGGCTAAATAAAGAAATAGCACCGGAATCTGTGCCATTGTCCGGACCACACTGTTCACCGATGGTACCTCTGGAGCAGAACAGGGTAAGTGCTAGCGGCGACAGCCCAATCAGAATCATCTCCAGTCCAACAAGTTGAAGTGTACTGACATACATCATAGGCGGTTCAATCCAATCGGCCGTCTGGGCCATGTAAGTCCAGCTCATTCCAGAAATATCTTCTCGTCCCTCGCTACGTTCTGTAGCCCACTGCTAACCACAATTTATCGTGCCACAGCCTCGAAATAAATGTCGGCATTATAGCCGCCTCAATCCCGACTCTCAAACCCCTCTTCAATCCCTCACGCCCCTCGATCTTTCGTTACTTCAAATACCGCAGAACATCCGAGAGATATCGCAAGACTTCCGAAAACACACTAGCAATAGACACCGACGATCAAGTCCAACTCAACAAACTTACGCTTAATACTATGCCGAGTGCCATGCCTTCTTCTTTGTCTTATTATCAGGACAAGGGTAGAAATCATGGCAAAGTGTGGGAGGACCTGGAGTCTCAGGCTAGCATGTCGATTCCGGAGAAGGTGCATCTTGCGGAGAGGGGCAGGGAGATGGAGACGGGATCGAATTTGGAATATGTGGGTGATGGTGAGGTGCATGCTATTGGGGAGTATGTGGTTTGATTGGTGTAACGACCCGCAATGCCAAGAAGCGAAGTGGTTTTTGCATATGCCAAGTGTGGACTTAGCGCTATTACGGATCACCGTACATAATGGACTGAATAAAACTCGATGATTTGCCTTCTCTGTTGTAAGCAGGTCCTACCGTAGAGTACCTACATGTAATCAAATGAAAGTATGGATATTCTGGTCTCGATCTTATCTAATCTTGATCTGGGCCAGTTTGTTTTACGAGTACGGACGGGGGCGCCTGAAATCTAGGGGCGATCCGACGATCTGACGATCTGTTGATAAGGTCCGACCCAAACTCCGTGTGTTTTCCAGCCTTGCAAGGCTGAAGAGGTTACTACATAAGGTAAGATAGTAGGCTCCAAAGCCCTTCCTTCACCGATAATCAACAACCACCTGCAAACCCACATTACAAAACCCGTACACCATGTCACCGCTCCCCCACGTCCTCGCAACGATCCTCTCCCTCGAGCTCCTCCTCGGCGGTCAAGCCCGTCTCCCCTTCTCCCCAACCCCGTCCCTCTACAACCGCGCCATGGCGAAAGCCGACGGCACCCTCGCCGCCTTCCCCTTCGTGCCCCTGGACGCCGTCACCTTCACGCAGGTCATCGGTGTTGCGATGTGCCTTGCCTCTGTCGGTGTAGCCTTGCCGGCGACGAGAGTGGCGGGGTCGGTCCTGTCGGGGTGTTTGTCGCTGATGGGCGTGTAAGCTACTTCCCCTTTTTCCTTCCCTCTAGATCCATTTCTTCCGCGGAATGTCTTCCTTCTTTGGTTTTTATGTTTGTCAAGAGATGTCTTCCCTCTTGGTTTTTGTTTTTGTCAAGAGACACTTCTGATCCAGATCGAAACAGGTGGAGTCAGTGGAGGATGGAGATACCGTATTGGCTGCCGGTGGTCAACACGGGACTGGCAATGGCTATATGGACTGTTTCATAGGGCGTCGCTAAGGGGTTGTGGAAGTCGGGAAACAGGCATGAGCTCTGCCAACGGAGGCAGCTTCACCCATACACGGGCGCCAGAGACTGAGAAGAGAGACAGCACTTGGCAAGTGTCATGTATTATGAAAGTATCGTCCTGGTAACACGCGATGAAGCTGGTCAGATCAGATGACGTTTCGACATGCGCAATTTCTTCCTCAGATGTATTGCAGTGTCAGTGCATTATGATTCTGCTTGCGCTAGTACCCCCCTAACCCTAATTTCGGAAGATTTTTGTTTTTGAGGGCTTGGGGAAAAAACCAAGGGCTTATAAAAAAAAACAACAACTAGGAAAAAAAACAAGGCTTAAGGCAAAAAAAAATAAAGGGAGAAGGAAAAAAAAAAAAAAAAAAAAAAAAAAAAAAAAAAAAAAAAAAAAAAAAAATAAAAATGTAATAGTAGCTAGACAACAGCTAGGGTAGGATATAGCTATTAAACAACAGCATCTGCAAATCTGAAAAGTTCCTATCCGCACGATTTACGCCTGGAATTCGCACCATAAGCACGATTTAGCACGATTTAGCCTATTAAGCAGACTTTGCCTATGTCTAACCCTTTCCGCCAGTTCTATCAGTTTAGTAACTTTAAAAAATTTTCAGCAACTTTAAAAATTTTATATAATGCACTCTAATACACTCTAAGTATTATTCTATATATATATGATATTAATATATATTATTATTAATATACGTATTATTATACGCTATATTAGAGTATTACTTATACGACTAATTTTATTAAATCGTCTAATTCTATAGCCAAATTTAAGTTGACGTTAATACTCGTCGCTATAAAATCTTATCGTCGTAATGTTAATTATTAGAACTTTTCTTTTTTCTATATATTACTACTAAATTGATAGAACTAAGAACTAATAAAAAGATTAGAATAGTTATTAAATCGGCGGAATTTAGACGAATTCTAATTAGATTTACTAATTTAACGAATTTTGTAATTTCCGCGACAAACGCGCGATTAGCAATTTCAAATTTTATAGAAACTTTTATAGATTTATAGATGAGTAGCTATAAGTAATATAGTTATAAGTAATAGTTATATAGTTATAGCTATAGTATATTAGAGTAATTAGTTTACTTAACGTATATATAAAATTAATATATCTGAAAGACTAAGATATAACTCTTAAAGTAATCTAATTTACTATAGATTATAAGTCGAAATCGAATAACTTAAAGAAACGAATCTCTAGTAATTTAGTAAGCGACTTTTTACATTTATATTAGATCTATATTTACTATATAAAGTTCTTTTCTTATATTCTATCTATCTATATATATAATTTTTTTTTATAATTTTTATATATAGCCCTAGCTCTAATTATATTAAATATAACTTATTATATTATTAATAGATTATAAGCTTAATTAGCTATTAATCGAGATTTTAATCTTTTATTATATCTATTTATTACCGCTATAGCCTCTCTAAATATTAAAGAATATAGTTATCTTAAGAATTTCGTTAAAGAATACTTAAGAATAGAACTATAGTAAGTTAAAGAATAAAATCGTTTATTCGCTAGATAGATAGCGTTATTAACTAAGAGTCTTTTTTATCTAAAAGAAAAAAAAGAGAAGAAAGAAGATCTCTTATTCAATTTAAATAATTTGCTAATAATCGATTTATTAAAGAAATTAAATAAGAAACTTATTAGCAAATTACACGTTAAAATAGAAGTTTTAAAGAACTTAAACTATTATCTATAGATCTAGAATTATTAATAATTTCTCAAGAAATAAGATATCTTTAAAATAGTATTAGAGAAATTATTAATATTTACTTAATTCGATAGAGAGTTAGCTAAATAATAGATTATTTTAAATAAATAAATTATTACGCTAATTAAAGATAACGTTAATCGAAATTAAAAGAGTTATATTATCTATCTTATTACTTTTAAATCTATATAAGATAAGCTTTATCGAATTTATAAAATAAATAATAAAGAACGTCTTTCGATTATATTATAAAAGTTTCTTAGATATATTAAATTAGTAGATTAAACGATTAATTAAATAATAATAGATTTACGAAATCTATAGAATAAAGTTATAAACTTAAATTTAATCTATATATTATATAATCTTACTATAGCGATAATAATTATAAATACTTATTAGAGAAATAAGTTCGATATAATTAAATATAACTTAGAAATTAATAATAATCTTACTATCGAAATAGTTATAGAATATCTATAAATCGTAGAGTAAGATAAATAGATTAAGAATAAAGATTTACTTATATATAATAAACGAAAGAACTAGCTAGATTAAAGACTTTTTAGAAATATAAGTAAGATAAAATACTATAGCTATAAGAAAATCGAGTACTATAAGAGAGAGTATTTAAATAAGAAGAATAAAAAGAATAAGAATTATAAGATAAAGAATTTAAATAAGCGAAATCGTAAATTAAAGAATTAATTAAAGAGTTTAAAGATATTTAAAGATAGTAAATAAGAATACTTAAATTATACTATAGTAGTAGCGAATAAATTAAATAGCGATAGTAATATTAGCGATATAAGCGATATATATAGTTAAAAGAAAAACTTATAGATAACTAAGAAAAAGCTAGAGCCTATAAATAGTATATTATTAGTAAAAAATTTCTTTATAATAGTAGACTTTTTAGAAGATAGTAGCTAACTAATAGACTTCGAAGCGACTCGCTATATAATATTAAATAAGAAACTATTTATTAACTTATAGTCTTATTCGAAAGAAGTAGAATTTAATAATTAAGGCGAGTTAATAGTAATAGATAGAGAAATTATTCGAATTTATATAGATAATCACATATAGACTATAATAGATACTTTATATATTCTAGAAATAAATAATAATCTACTATCTATTATAGCACTAAATCGAAAGAATTTTAAGATACAATTCGGAAATATATATATTAGAATTATTAATATATTTATAAGCGAGATAGTAATAAGAAGTTATACGAGGAATAGTCTATATTAATTAATTAAATTAATATTTAATAGAGTATTCGCTTCTAGAAAGTCGAGACCTCTTAATAAAAATATATCTATATCTACGAAATAAGAATAAGTTAATTATTTTCGACTAATGTATTAACGATTAAGCTATATCGAAGTATATTATTTAAAGAATCTATATCTCTACGTAAGAGGTATAGAGGAAATAAAATTATCGAAAGGATTTTAATATAATACGTGTAACTTTACAAAAATAATTTAATAGATTAATAAGAATTCTAGATTAAAGGAAATAGTACTAGAAGCTTAAATATATATCGACTTCTAAGAATTATATTTTATAACTAATATTATAAGAGATAGTAAGTAATTTATATCTCTTATCGATAAGACTATTAATTAATTAAATCTCGAGTCTATTATATTAAAGAAATAGATCTATATCTTTATTCTTAGAAATATAATTATAATTAATAAAATAATTAGAGTAAAAGAAGTAGTATTAGTTAGAATTAATAATGTAGGAGAGTATAAGTTAGTTAAGAATATACTTAAAAAACGAGATATTATTATAAAATTTATAATTATCTACACTCTATATTAGAATAATATCGTAAAATAATTTAATAAAACGTTAATTAAATTTATAAGACTTATATTTAGTTAGTTAGATCTATCTATAAGCTTCTAATTAGAGATCGTAATCTATATAAATCATCTAAAAAATAGATTATTATATAATAGTAGAGAGAGTAAATTACTCTATAAATTATAATTTAATAAGAAATTAAATCTAAGTTATAAAAAAGTCTTTAATTATCTATACTTAATTTATTTATTAAAAGAGAAATAAGAGAATAAGCTATATATTATAGCTTACTAGAGTATATATATTAATTATTATTTATCTACTTAATATCGAGTTTATAACTCTTAAAATAATCGATTTAAATAGTCTATAAATATTTATTTTTATAAGAATTATAAGGGAGTCTAACTAATAACTCTAACTTCGTTCTTAATAATCTATAACTCTATACGAGTAGATATCGCCTCTACTCGCTAAAATAATAATAATTTTAATAACGCTTTTATCTAGAGTAATATTAAGATTATATCTAGCGATAACGATAAGAAAAAGAATTATAAGAGATCTATATCGAATATTATATCATTATTATAAATCGAAGAAATTAAAGATATATAGAATTCTTAAGTAGAGAGAGAAGTTTTTATTAACTTTTTAGAGAATATAAATAATAGTAGAGATTTGAGATTAAGTAATCTAAATATATATTAAAGTAAATCGAAATCTTCGTTAGACTTTTACGAAGTTAAAGAAACTCTTAATATCTTAAGTAATAAGAAAATAATAAACTAAGAAATAATATCTAAGGTTGATATTTAATAATTTATTATATCTATATCTATCTCTAACTCTTCTAATTATATTAAATAATATCTTATATCTTAGACTATTATCTTTATATAATAGTTTTATATTAAGAAGTTAGATTATAACTCTTATAAGTTCTATAATAACTTCGATATAAAGAATAAAGCTAAGCTTATAAATATTATAATCGAATTTTTTATTTATTAGAAAGCTATTTATAGATTAAATATTCGCGAATAAAAGTAAGTTATTATTAAGAAAATCATCGCCTTAATTATTAAAGAAATTTAAAGACTCGCTACTCTATTAGCTAATAGACGCCTAGTTATATATAAATAAGTTTTTAAAATTAAATATAATAGCGATAAGATTATTAATAAGTTTAAGATTAAATTCGTTACTAGAGGGTTTACGTAAGTAGAAAATATCGACTTTTATAAGATCTTTACCCTCACTCTACGATTTAACTCGTTATATCTATTTCTATTATATATAGTAATAATAAATCTTCTAATAGAATAAATGAACGTTAATAATACTTATCTTAATGGCGACCTTTATAAGAAAATCTATATAATTTTATTAT